TAATCCATTATACCAATGTGAGACTGTTAAACTTACCAGTGTGTTTTCACAAGTCATTTTGTGCTTCTAAGAAGTATTATTCACTTTGATTATCAGAGCATGTTTTTTGAATTTATTAGCAAAAACATAGACAGAGTAAAAACTGAAGTACATAATACTTTTTTTTGTACACAAAATGAATTGAGTGGAAAACTAGAATATCATCTTAGTATTATTTTATGAGCCTGAATGTGATCCTGGATACAGTCTTGTGAAGGGCAGTTGGTTAACTGTCGGGGATGCTCTTTAAGAACTCCTATGATGGGAACTCCAAGGTAAAAATCAGAAACATCTTTGTTAATTATCAAGTTACTTTGTGTGAGATATTGTTTATTAATAAATAGTGCCAGTTAATTAATGGTAGCAGTTTGATAAGAATCAGTAGGAGCCCAATATACAGGGTGTTCCAAAAGTAACAGGACTGGTGCTGGCATTTTTTTAAATATGCACCAATCATCTTCAAAATTTTACATAATGTACTTTCATGTAACGTTACTAAGACTGCAAAGTTTCGACAAAATATATGAGATTTGGGTAGAGTTATGGTTGCTATAGTAACATGACATCACAATACCCGGGGCAACATTCCACGCAAAAAGTTACAGAGACATTAAGCATTTTGTACATGCCATATCATTTTGTAAATGCCATCTCAAAGTTGAAATGCAACAACTGGTGGGAATTACATTTGTTTTACATCATTTGATATTCCTATGTATCCTCTACTTTGAAAATAGGCTCCTCTTTGGTCAGTACAAGAGTAGTACTATGTACCCATTTCCCAAACACATGAGTGAACCCATTTTAGGACATGCTACGCAGGGTCGATTGGACAATTTGGAGAAGGTCATTCTTACCTTTAAAGGTCTTACAGCACTGTTTAGCATTCCGTTCTCAATATAAGTAAAAATTAAATATTGCATGATCAGAGGAGTATGGTGCATGGTTTTAAACCTCAATACCTCTATAGCTATAGCTCTATAGCTGCATGGTATTTATGGTGACCTGCGGGCAGGCGCGCTATCAAGGTAGATGACTGGCTTCAAATTGGGTCTTTTCAAAAACTCAACCGCGAATTCTTCAGACTGTTATACATAGTGATATTCCAGGAAATTGAATTCATATTATTATCATTATGATATTATACTTAAATCTGAGTTGTATAGCAACACCTTTACAACAAAGGAACTAATAAAATAAACAAGAAATGATGTATTACAAGAGGTGAATTAGATACTTTCTTCAGTAATACAAAAATGTTAGATATCACATTTTCAGGAAAAACGTTGCCCCGGGTATTGGAATGCCATGTTACTATAGTTACCATAACTCTAATCGCATTTCATCAATTTTTCTGAAACTTTATAATTTAAGTTGCAATACTTCAAAGTACAATTTGCGAAAATTTGAAGATACTCCGTGCAAAATTGACAAAATACCAGCACCAGTCCTGTTACTTTTGGAACACCCTGTACTCAGCCAAGATTCTCAATATAACTCATACACAAGTTTTAACCAGCAGTTTGTTCAGCTCACTGTGGATCCTCAAATGCTCACAAATACGCCGTGGGAGTTGAAAAGGGACTATTTTCAACAAATTTTGACTATTTTTCCATCTACCCACCATATTGCCTCAGGGGTCTCACAAGGAAATATTTAGGCTTCAGCATAATTATTCAATCAGGATAAATCATATATTTATTCTTTTTACATGCTATTATTGTATATTATTGCAAAATCCTGATTTGTCAATAGGTTGTGGTGGGAGCTAAATAGAGTGTGGTGCTGCGCCACAGTCTAAAAGCCTAGCGAGAGCCCTGTGTCTATTCTGAACACCACCATGGGAGTTCGAGCTCACACAGTATGTTTGTGATGAGGCCTATATTTTATTCAAAAAATGCAGATGATGCTCTTTTTTTATTAAGGATTTAAGCCCTGGGCTCATTGTGTGCTGAATCATTCTATTGAAGGTGTTGTTTCCAAATCTTTGCATGACAACGCATCAGGAATGCAAAGTTAAGGAATGAGTGGAATGAAGCAGCCACAATGCATTGAGTCTTGGGCTTAAATTCTTTTTACATATTGTAAAATATTTTTGACAAAATCACCTAAAATATACAAAATATATATTTTCAATGAAACATTTTGTAAGGGTCAAGTTTGGCAAAGCATCAATTTCAATCTGTAGCCCAAGCTTTCACCTTGGCAACCATACAGCAAATGCGTTATTGGTTATATAACTGAATGCAATAACGTGAAATCGCATGTTCCGACAGTCTAGAATGGACACATCTTGCCAAGCTATATGTGAAAGACTAATCTTTTGAAAGGGCAGTATATACAGAATCTACAATGTGCTATGATATGATAAGGTTAATGCAAGGTTTAACCTTGATATCACCCCTGCATTTATCACGGAGACCTGACAGGTACAATCATTGATAACGATGATGGAATATTTTAGTTATTCCTTTAATCCCCAGGATAGAGTTGAATGGAATGTGATATGGAGAATGAATTGAAACACCCAGAGATCAGATGAGGACAGAGACTGTACAAACACATCTGAAAACCCGTAGTGGCCCATGGGGATGGTATTATAAGGGCCACACCCTGCCTTATATATTTTATTAAATCATGCTTCTGAGAAGGTAGCATTTTGTATAATATTCATACCAAAGTACCAAAGAAGATATACGATATATCGTATATGGGGGAAGTGCCATAAAAATTCTGATTACTATATCAGTCAAAATTGAATTACCTGCTAATCGTCATATACATATTTGATTAGATAAAGCAATGCTTATGCCACACCCTGCCTTATATATTATCTTAATATCATGCTTCTGAGAAATGAGTGATTCATATCGAATTCATGACTACAGCATAGAACATCGTATAAAAGATTGCTGGACAGTAGACAGTTGACATGTTCAATTGAAGCAATATCTCAGAGAGCGTATACAAATTATAAAAGACTTCATGAAGAAAATTATAGAGTATAAATATTCATTTACTTTTTTAACATTGGGAATTTAACGAAGCAAAAATCATGGTATGATTTATGGAGGCATGTTGATCTAGTCTATCATTGAAATGAGCCTACCAAATATTTTCCAATTAGATGAATGAATGGTAAATGTATCAAAGTGGTGTTTTCTGAAGAAGATAAGCTCATCTGCTGTGTTCTCTTGCAAAATTTATTTTACGATTACAGACTATTATGGCAGGGCTGTCAACTTGGGACCACCTAATATGAGTGACTTCAAAATGTTGGACACCTAAGTCCAAATCTGAACACTTTTGTCCAAATTTTGAACACCTTTGGCCAACTTTTAAACACCTTTGGCCAAAGTTTGAGCACCTTTGCCAAACTTTGAACACCTCAAATTTTTCGCGCTCGCTACACTCGCGATGTCGTCAACGGGGGGGGGGGGGGGGGGGGGGGGGGGGTAGGTACGAAAAATTTCCAATGAACATGCGTGACACATACGGGATTCGCGTGACAAATCCGAACAAATTGCGTTCGGTTTTTCCCGGCGTTCGTATTTTTACCGTATCGTAAACATATTTCGAAAAAATTTCTACAGAAATATTTTTGCTTGACAATTACCAGGTAAAATGCGTATTTTGCGTGACATTTTCTGTCACGCAAAAAAAACTGGCGTGACTTCAAATTCTTCAGCAAATGCGTGACAAATACGCAAATTGCGGGACAGTTGACAGGCCTGATTATGGGATAAAGAGAGCATCAATACTATGGGTTCCCCTGGAGAATATGGAGATATTAATTCATTAGGAGTAACATTTGCATGTTATTTATTAAGATTATGACATTTAAAACAGCATATAGTAACATTCTATGTAATATTTATTTTTTGGAAGAATCAGACTCTAAATTCTACAGAACTGCGTAAACACATGATTTTCTATATTTCATCTGTGTTTATTCAAATCTGACTGGCTCCTTGAAGTAGATGAGTGTATGGCAGGTTATTCAGATGTAAAGTCAAAATACAGATTCATGGAGTTGCATTTAATAAGCATGTGTCAAGTTTTATAAAAAAAACTGCAATTGCATTTTGTATTATTTTTTAATATCTTATTTGTTTACTCTAATTGTCTAGCATTAAATTAATAGGGTCTGCACTAAATACCAATAGGAGAGTGTATCAGGGCATATACTTGATCAAAGTTTTCATTGAAAATATGGAATAATGTGTTTTATTCGAAAAAAAATGGAAGAATTATATGGAGGATTTAATCCACTCATGCCTTGTATCTTAGACTTTGAATTCAAGTTGCCACACTCATTCAAAGTCTGGAAACATGACACACATTGTTAAATCATCCTACAATTTGTCGAATCCTGGGCTTAAATCATTTATTCAATGTATATCTTTGTTCTGATTGATTGAAGCAAAAAGCAGAGATTTTTGTAAAACATGATTTTGATGAATAGTGGCCCTAAATTCCTGTGCTCTCTGTTTATAAATTATACATTTCTATCATTGTATTTAAATCTCTCCCTCTATCAAAGTTCAGATACACATTTAAAATTTAGATTCTTTATCAGTACATGTTTATCTATGTCGTATCACCTATTCCGTTTTATCATGTATTATCGGCTTCATTACTTCAATAAATTGTTCAGTTCTCCATCAGTCTTATCAGATATCTTGGTGGACCATGTGCCGAGACCACAGTGAAACCTACTGAACAGATTTTGCGGAGAAAAATTAATTGTTGGTAGGTATTCACTACAGAGAGAGTCAATTGAGTATGTGTGAAAACAGGGTGTCTACTAGTGCCAGGTGTTCGTTCACTAGAGAAAGGTGTTCACTAAGACAGGTTTTTCTATAATTAGATGACCAAACGATACAACCTGTATGAGGTCACTAACCTGTAATATATCAGATCAGTGTATTATTATAGATTATTATTTTGTGTGCTTGCAGAATTGATTGTGCCTAGAATTACCTCCCATCACCTCTACTAGATTGAATCTTTCTCCATGGATAAGCTATCAGAAGGAGATCTATCGAAGTAGATCAATGGAAACGACAGTTTTATATGGATGATTACATTACCATGATGAACTAACCAAAAACTGGACGTTCAAGATTTATTGCGCAGTCTTTACCTCCTTTGTGTTAAAACAAGGCACTGGTTGATAAAATCAAGCCTGTGAATATGAATTAAACCTGATGGGTTCAAAGATTAGATTAAGCTTGGATATATAACACTACAATGTGAAATAAGGTGAGTTTTTTCCTACAAGATAAAATTAAAAATTATTCTCTGTTAATGAGAAAAATAGATATACAGGTATTCGTATCAGTGTTGAAATTTGATTATGCCCGACATGCATACTTTTCAGTGTAAATCTATGCTTGGTGGTCAGGTGGTCTTCAGCTGACAACTGCAAATGCCACGATAGAAAGAGCATAAGTTGCAAAATTAAAATATAAAAATTGAAATTTATCTTTACCATATTTATTGGTGACATCTTTTGAACAATCATAACTTCACATTTATTTATTTATTTGCAAAAATTCATGTACAATGATAATGCATGACAAATACTGACTTCAAGTTGTATTTACATGTACAAGTATAAAGTCAAGTATCAAAAAATGTATCATTGATAAAAAATCTCTATGACTAGTTTACAAGGTTATCTGGGGTACTTGAGATACATATAGATGTATGGTATAAGTATTTATCCCACGATTAATGTGTTATCTGTACAATAACAGCTATTGATATTTCTGATATTATTGAAATCCGTGTGATATTTTCCAGAAAATCGTTTACCAAACTCATATGCGTGTGATATCGTTTATCTCACGCATATCTGTGTGATATCACATTTGCATTTTGCGCCACAATATTGTTGGAAATTAGGTCAGATAATTTATTCTCTTTTTTAGAAAATAGGTCCGTTCATTTATTCTCTTTAAGTTTCATTGGGGTATTGAAATACGAGTGTTATATAATTTGATTAGAACGCTGCTAAATAACGATTAAAAAATGGTATTTATGACGGAACTATATCATGTACAGAAAGTAGTGCATATTACTACGGAGTGAGTAAAGTACAAATCAAAATGACCGGTGCAAATTCAATTGATATTCTAATTTTTAGTTTATATTGTCTGCCAATGTCCTGGAAATTGGATCAGAACATCACAAGGTGATTGTAATCATGGGATAAACCCAATATCACATAATTTCTTGTGATATCATTTTATCGCCTCGTAGATATCAAATATCAACACTCATTCGCTTCGCTCACTCATGTTGATATTTGAAATCAACTCGGCGATAAAAATGATATCACTCAAAATGATGTGATATTCTATATTTACATGATGTAATGAATACTATAATGATAACTAATACAATGTAGTACAATGCAGCCAAACATAGATGTATGAAATATCACTCTACCCTACCTCGTTTGCGTATGCGTGAGATTTTTGGTTTAAGCCCATGCGACTGTTTAGACATTTACTAACTGCATGCTACTTAGTACGCTTGGTGTTATGGATATGTCAATATTGTTATTCGCTGAACTTCGATGGTGAAATAGTAAAATTCATGTTCAAAAGTATATGACTTTACAAGGAAGAGAATATAAATCAGATCATTTTAAAATTTTAAAATATTTGATATGTCCTAGTACAAGTCAATGAATCTGAAAAGTTGATCAATACAAGACACAGGCAATGTAAACTGTTCAACAGCACAAGGTGTTGGAAAATTACAGGTAAATTGATAGTATTTGATACATCCAGTTTTACTTTAAACAAAATACTGAGACTCTCATAATATTCTTTAAAAATCAATATATTTTGTTTATGTCATGAATCGGAGTGGAATCTTCTTTCATCCCAAATTATAGTATTAATATTCAATGCCACCTGCTGAAACCATAATGCTAATTAATACAAGTTACAAGTTGTTTGGGCCACCCTGTATTCTTATATCACCTGCTATACATCAATATCAGCATCGGAGCTCATTATTGTTAATATTAATAGTAGTGTTGTGATTATTAGCCAGGAGACTGGGTTATAAAGCCTTTTATAATTCATAAGAATTCATATATAGTACATAGTGAATCATCTGCAAGTGGATTCGAGGAATACAGAATACTGTATATGCTATAATAGCATTTAAGGAATAAATCATATTAAAAGGTATGGTGTTTTTATTTGTAATGTATCATGTGCCAGTATATCAATTGAGCAACTGCATGTTTCTGCGTGTTAACTCAGCTTTCAGTGGTTTTCCATGAATCAGTTTCTGCAAATGAACAAATTAAAAACAGATAAAATGTTAATCAAAATCTTTTTTTAAAGTACATGTTCATTATACTCAATTACTTCCTGGTATATTTGTCGGTTGACTGTAACAAGTTTAGGAGTGATTAAGCTATAGTCAAATATTCACCTCATAGTTCAACTTGACACGTTTTTTTATTTATTTCATATTTTTTATTTTTATGTATACGTGACATGTGTTCAAAAGGATATTCTGTACTTTTCTGGGTTTGTATTTTACCTTGCATTTTGTGATTCTTTTTTGCATACAGTGAGCCTATAGAATCATCCACTCATTTGACAAACAAATTGAAACTGGCTTTCGTCTAAACCAATGCTTATCTCTTAGTTTCATTATGTCACCACCAGAAGTGACGGCATTCGTTGGCATTGTCTGTAACAAATGTTAGGTGGTGAGATTTTGCCTGATAATGCCTTGTATACCCATGCTGGTAATTTATACCTTTGTCCCAGGTCTTGTTTTTGTCTCATTTTGGAGGGATGGGTATTTACTCCATTTAAGCCCACTAAATGGTGCACTTTGTTTTATAGTATAAAACTGATAGACAAGGATGAGGGAAAGTTTTCCCTCGGGGTGATGCGCCTTGTAAAAAGTGTTTCAGCTTTCAGCAGTTACAAATTGTAATTACTTTATATTTTCCAAGTAATATAAAGCATGCGATCCTCAGAGACATTACATTTTACTGCTCATTTACTTTATTACATCATGGATAATATAAAATATGTGTATCTGTTTTTTTTTTGTACACGTCTATGTATTATGCAACCCTTTATGTTCCTGAGTTAATATAGTCTGCAGGGAAACTTATATAACTTTCTCTTTCCTGGACAAATGAGGAATTTCAAATTTGTATTTTAAGATAAAATATTCCTTTTAATACTGAAAGCCACTTTCGTATTGCATATATGCCATTAATCATTGTAAAAGAAATGAGATTGGGTCCGGAAATGACAGAAAATATCATCAGAGGGAATCTTGTGCAATATTATAGTACTAACCTGGGAATACTGAACAGTGGGAATGGTGACTTATGCCTCCCATTGCCATGTGATGTAGTTCTTCACAAGATGATATGATGAATAGTTCATCTGAACCACCTGAGGTTTGTTATTTTAACAATAGGAGATAGACATATAACAATAGACCAATAGATACAAAATGGAGTCCCATTTCTGTACGTTGATTTTATGGCCGTACTAACTAAAAATGTTATACCCTATTTAGAAAAATAGGTTCATGGTCCTCAATCAGTTATATCTTTTTTATTTTTCTGTATTAACGTATAGTCTAATACCAAACTTTCAGCGGTACAATATGTATATACTTTGACCAAATGGGAAAACTTCCAAAGAATTTCGTAAATATGGTAAAAAAATTGTGAGTGTTGTGAGACTTTTTACCATAAATTGATGTCATGAATACAAGAAATCCAATATCCAACTATGTGCTCAATATGTGAAAAATTGTGAGACACCAAATCAATTTTTTTTTATTAAAATATTTATTTACAAAAATAAAAACAAACATATTACAAAACATATCAAGTATTTAGTTTTGAAATAATATTATCGATTACATGGTTAAAAATACCTGTTGACGTATGGTCTAATAATCTTTTATAAAATATGAAACTTGATTTAACTTTTAACTGTAAATTACAATTTAATAGTGATTGTTCATCTTCAGAGGTTTAAAACAATGTTTCCATTTTATGTTCAAATTTAAACTGGTTCCTATAGTATTCTATATGTCAACAGCATATGTTCCATGGTGTGATTTTATTACAGTGTACACATTTTGAAACAACTTGTCTGTTCCATTTATTAACAATATAACCACAAGGAAGACAATTATTTACAATTTTAAAATTCAATTCTGCTAAATATTTACATGGCATTTTCAAAATCAAATTGTTAGTTCAGTTTAAAGATCCTAGGGATCGGGAGATTTGTCTGCTATTGGGTATCATATATTATTTTTCGTATGGCTTTGAAAACCTCACAATAATCATTTTTACATTCAGATGATTTGTCATACCAAATATTACCTATGTGTGTCTGACAGGGTTCTGGGAATGTCACACATGGGAAGTTAATAAATGCTTAATTTGCCTATTGATACCATGTAAAAATTTGGCTAATAATGTCCAAAAGAACACAGCCAAGGACAAAATTGTTTAAATAAAAAAAACAGGTTCCTGTATATAATAATGAAAAATGGCATTTCACATCTCTCATACAGGTTTTTAATACAACATGCAATAACTTGTTCTTATGGTAACACAAAACGAAAACGAAACTAGCTTGAAAATAATGAAACATACCCAAGTACACTTGAATTCTTGAAAAAAAAGTTTATATTTTACAAAAGAACTTTTTCTGTGTCAAGTGTAGCATAAAAGTGACAACGTCCTAATTAAAACAACTTGAAAGTGAAATTAAAGAGTTTGACAGTTTAAGTATACACCCTCCCATCTTCAGTAAGTCATCTTCAAGAAGCATGTATGTCATGTGATTCATCATTAATGTATTCTTTTATACTATAGTTTGTAACAAAGGTTAAAGGTTACATTTATTCATTTGTATTTTTCAGGAGTAGGCTTTTCATGATGATGCCATGGAGACGGTTGTTACAGACACTCGGCAACCGCAGGTTTGGTTTGTTTGTGGTTGTCATGGTATTCATGTGGGTCATGACAGTCATAAATGTCAACTATAGCAACAGAGAGAAGGAAAGTGAGCAAATCAAAGTAAGATATATGCTTGAATATGCCTGAATTCTGCCACTATATGCAAACCATAAGCCTCTAGGCACCTTTTGCCTAGGGGGTTCACCTTTCAAAAATTTCCAGGGGTGGCAGATTTGACAACTTTGGCTGAAAACCACTGGAAAAGTGCGTAGAATGGTGAAAACTGCATGATTTTGAAAATATTTTGTTCACTCAATCCCCTCCCAAGCCCCCCCCCCCCTGATTATGGCATGCATGTATTTACAAGTATGAAGGCATATTTTACGTTCTCGTAACTGATATATGACATGGGAGTATTGCCTTGGTCACATTTGCTCCGATTCATCAGCTGGTGCCCAGCCGATTGAGTATTTTGTTCAGAATTTCATTCTTTTTCGAACAAAATACTCAATCGGCCGGGCGACGGCCAATTAATCGGAGTAAATGTGAGCTAGGCATATAAAGGGCATTGATGCAGGACTAATTTATCAGTTAACTTTTATGCTTGACTGAGTTGACAGAGTGTTAACAGATGACAGATGAGTTAACCTGGGTCAAGATGACTTAAGAGCATGAACTTATTCAGATGAATTGGGATAGAGAGCTTGCAAATGATGTTTTTTTAAATTGTATGTTTCTGTATAATTTCAGGAAGAGTTAATCGAGTTGAGCTCTAAATATGTGAAGGCTTTGGCAAGAGAAAATGCTAATATTGTGGATGGGCCTTTTGCTGGGAGATTCACAGGATACGGTAGGAAACTATTAGCAGGAGAGTACCCTGTGCTATACAGTATAATTATTATTAACATATTGTTACAATCTCCAACATTTTTGTGACAGGTGTTCAGTGGTTGGTGTTCAGCATCTGTAACAAATGACAGGTGGTGACATTTCACATTTTAATACCTTTGTTTATCAATGAGATAATATCCTTCATATCTTTAATAATCATATGACGCTATGATAAAAATAGAACTATTGGTCTACCGGTTAAGATACTGGAAAACCCTTTGTTTTAAACCTCATACTTGGTTCTGCAGATTTAAAAAAGACAATGGCTGTGTTATTGGAAAGTATCCTTGGCAGGCTGGAGTCACTGGAAATTAAAGTAGACCATGTTCTAAACGGGACAACAAATGCAACAAAAGTGGAGAGGGATCAACCAGAGAAACTACTGCAGGCAGTGGGTATGTATTATTTATCCCCCTCCTACTCCCTTCATAGATTTACTTATTGCTATCTATATTGTTATAGTCTCCAACCTTTTTGTGGATGGTGGTTGGTGTTTGGCATTCGGCAGTTTGGCTCTGTGCCAAATGGCAGGTTGTGACAATACTTTTTAAATAACATATGTACTGTATTCTCAATATGGGGTATTGTAAAATATCCAAACAAGTTTTTAGTTTCTTGTAAAGCATTGGCTAACTAAATTGTCAGATTTGTGATTCACAGACCATTATTTAACCCCCTATTTCTTTTCACGATTCAAAAAAGCACTGTAGTTTTGTTAGTCTAAACCAGAGTTTTATAATAAATAAATAATTTAATGTTGTTGGTTAAGTCAATCTACCAAGCTCCCGTATAATGCACTATTTGCTTTAATCCTTTCACTCTGGAATCACAATGAGAATTCAGTTTATTGAAAACGATTATGCCTGTTTGTTGTCAAAATAAGAAATAAAAATATATGATTTTCATTGAGAACAGATATTTTTCAAAGGAGAAACATAAATTATTAAAAAAATCAATCTCGTCATGAGAGCAAAAAATGTAGTCGGCTACTTCTGCTTGATTTATATTACAAACATATTGAAAAAATGTCACACTCTAAGTACTAGATCCCTAGGGGCAATTAGTCGAATATCAGCCAGGTTAGTAAATTCCTTTGTCCATAAGTTGTCAAAAACACTGACAAATTAACCTACTGGATATACAACCCTAGGGTTGTTGTATGGTTTTCAGAGAGGATCTATTAGGTTTTCTTGGAATGAACCGAAAATTCAGAGGTTGGTCGTGATAAAAGCCCATGGGCTGGTACAGGAGCAATGGTATATAACTTAAAAGGATTCTATGCATACTTTTCAGTGTTCCTTAACAAATAAAGGCTTAAAATAAATGCTCCTAATTTTATTGGATATTATCTTAAGGGAATAAGCTGTTGAGAAAATATTTCTAGAATTTGGCAAAAAGAGACAATGCATGTAATGTTTAAAATGACAAGTGATAAATTGCTTTATTTGGTGGGATTTGCTGCTCTGGGGAGTTGCTGTTTTCTAGTAATGTTTCTGTAATAACTTTGCAGGTGTTTGATTGAATATGTAGACCTTTAGATAACCATCTCTTTAAGTATTATTGGCATGTACAGTATACCAATGTAATAATTTCAATACACCTTCAATTTATACTGAACTTGCATAGCAGTATATTGATCACCATCAATAATTTTCCTCTTGTTTTTAAATGTATTACTCAGATCATTGTGTCATCATTTTACATCAGGTAATAGTGAACATCTGATTAATAGTACAATAACGTCATTTCTAAGGGCAATATAGTGAAATATTGGACCGAGGGCCAAAGGCCCAAGATATCGGTTGGAAGAAAAGGATGACACTATAAACGGATGACACTACAAAAGGATGACACTAGATTGAACTTTGCACACTCTTTGTTATGATGTGTTTGTTTACATCTAAAGGTCGCTTGTACTATTAAACCCCCAATGAAGATCAGGTGTACCAGACTATTCCACTATTCTGTACATAAAATATCAAGTTTGGCAAGGATTGTCCCACTTGCCTGTTCATAAGATATAAAGTTTTGTCATGGAATTGTTTTGAAACATGCTTTATTTTAGTTCTTTTTAATCATTTTTGACCTTAGAAGCCAGCTATGAAAAATAAATTTAAATCCAATATTAGTTTTCATATATTATTTGGAAGAACATACTTAAAGGTGGTCTCATTGTAGATACTAAAAGGTAAATATGGGGAAATGTTACTGCATGCTTGTGCAATTTGTTGAGGCCCATTTATTGTTACAGGAAAGATATGCATCTGAGTGTCAATGAATTTTCCCTTCCTGATAAATGTTGAGGGACTTTTAAACAAGCTTCAGCAAATATTCAATAATTACGTAGAAAATGTGATGAGTTGTATTTTAGATTCATTTTACAATGAAATAGTTCTGTTAGTTTATTTGTATTCTTTCTTTCTCATTGTATTATTTAACTATCTATGTTATCTATTTGCAAGGTTGAGTCTAAAGATGAATCTTCTTAAGTAGTTCATTGCATGTGATGACACCTTTAAACTATTTAATCATACAATCTAAGAGCTTTATAATTTTAGGGAATGACCACACTTGACTTAATTTACATAATCGTTTGTAAATTGAATTAATTCATCAGTTCTTGAATATTTTCATCATGAAAAGCATTTCCCAAGAAAGGTCTGCATATTAATCTTACTTAGGAAGAGAACGACAACAAATTATATATAAACAAAATAATAAATTAGATCTAATATAAAAGGTTTATTTAGATGAGATACAGTATTTCAAAAAGAGGATCTGTTCGGACCATTCTACTTTTGATGTAATTGGAGACAGGAGGCAATTCTGCAAATTCACAAAATCTGACAAGATATAGTTGGAAACTCCATTGGCCTTCATACGGGAAACACATTTTGTTATCCTACCAAATGAAGTTTGCATGGATATAGAGAAGCCATCTGTCCATTCGTTTGTTTGTCTGAGGGATTACAAAATACCGGTTGATTTTGATTCATTTTTGACTTTGATTCAATTTTATAGGCTTTGCCTTATAGGTGTAGGACCTCTGTCAAAATGGAATTTTAATATGGCTGCGCCATTCAAAATGGCCATCATTTTTTGTAAAATTGTAACTTTTATTATTTTATAATTGTAACTCAAATACTAGAATAGTTGATTTGTTTCCAATTTTATATGCTGATGCCGAGGGACGTTCGGTCTCTGCTCAATAAGAGATTTTCAAGATGGCCATTTAGTTTCAAGGGACTAGGGACACAGGAGCTCCGCTGGAGAAGAAATATGGCAGCTGAATTTTAAAAGGGCCACCATTTTTCATAGAAGAAAGTAATCCTTGATTATTTAATACAATGGCCACCATTTTTCATAAAAGAATGTAATACTTGATTACTTAATACAAGATTACAATTACAAATACAAGATGATTTGGTTAAAATTTTATATACTGATGCTGAGGACAAAGGACCTCTGCTCAAGAAAAAATTGTTTAAGATGGCAGCTGAATTTCAAAATGGCTTTTGATTATAACAGTTTGAGATTCCTTAGACTTGTAGCTATTTTTGCATGGCAGATCATTGGATTTCTCAAATTACAATGTGCATTCATAATAATAACTGTACAATGATGATAGTCTTTTTCAACTCAACCCCTAATTCATCTTAGCTCCTATAATTGTTCCTCTTGCTTTATTCTCATTTTCATCATTTGCATAAGTGAAAGCTAATTTCATATATTTAGCAAAGTATTTGGTTCAAAGGGATTATGAAATATAGAAATCAAGCATTGTCATCTATTTCTTATAACATTTTACAAGGATCATCCTTTTTCTACTAGTGTCATCCTTTTGTGGTGTCATCTTTTTATGGTGTCATCCTTTTGTGGTGTCATCCTTTTCTTCCAACCGCCAAGATATGACGTTATTATTAGTATTATTACCACCGTTAACGACCAGGGCTGAAATAGCAAGAAAATCTTACGCACTGAACGATATCTAATTTCCCCGGGAAAAATTGCCGGTCCAGAATAGATTCTAGACCGGTCCATATGGACCGCCACTATGACGTCACACATTTCTCAGGTCGATATAGTAAAATGAATGCCTTCTAAACTAGCACTAAAACCCCTGTTCTTATTATCCTACACTTACAAGGAGTGTAGTAAATGTATAATATCATTGCAAAATGAATTTCATGCCAAATAGAGTCATTTTGGCGAGAAATCAACAAGCGGAGTATATCGTCACAATATCCTCCGCATATTGGGTTTTCCGGAGTATATCGTCACGATATCCTCCGCCCGGAGTATATCGTAACGATATCCTCCGGTTATTCATTTTGCCAATAAATATCAAATTTATTTTTTAATGTTATTATACATTTAGTACACTAAGTGTAGGATAATATTTAAACTCAGCATTTAATCTAATGCTCAATGTTCCTCCAAATAACCTGGCTCAAATGCATTGGTTTAGAATATTAGCCATTGAACTCATTTCACAGTTGGGTTGTTTGCCTTGCATGGTAATTACCTCCCTGGTGTTTACAAAGGATATGTACAGTTCTAACAACTGATGATACATTGCGCTAATTAATGAGAAACTTGTATCAAATAAATACAAACATTGAGAAAAATTGTTCTATGAATTAACAAGAGTACCATGAACCAATTGATGTGCTAATATTTTAAAGTGCTCTTTAGATAAGGATTTGTATAATAAAATGCCCATGTAAATATTTATAACCACTTGTCAGTACAGTAATATTGTAAGTAATTACATGAAAATGTAATGTTTGTGCCCAGCCACGTGATATATAAAGTTGTTATAAATAGGTTTTGATAATGACATATAAAAATAATTTTTTGAAAAACATCGTGTGTACATTTCCATATTTTCTTCTGTATGATTTGTGAACAAATACAGAAACAAAATAATGGTTTTTGAAAGAAAATTGAGAAAAATGAATGACTCATCTGTATTGATATTTTTACATATTTTTTACTTTTACCAAGATTTTTCTTCAAGTTTTAATAAATTGACCCAAATAACCGCTTTTAAAATCAGTGCACATCATTAAACTTATACAAATAAATTTAGTTTTATTTCTGGTAAAACTAATTTATAGTCCCATAAAATATCCAGTATTTGTAAGCATACCCATAAATCCGATTTCTTATAAATAGAAACGAGTCTTATATTGTATAACTTATACAATGTTTGGAAAGAAAAAACATTTCAATATAAAAGTAGATGTGTACTATTGAAAGGTTTTCAGTAAGCATTTTGTCGTAATATTGTTCTCGTACTGTTGTACTATTTCATTCCAAGTTATGTTTTTGGTTGGTTTTAAAGGGGAATACTATACAAATATTTCACTCTTCTGTGGTGAATACCGCCAGATACTCCATGACATGTGACCCAATTTTGACCAATCATACAAATGCTAGCTTGACATTGATGATATAATAATACCTAATTTTTAGCTAAAACTGAATTTTCTATCAACTCACATATTCAGAGTAAATGATAAACCTTTATGATGTTTAATTTGTTTAATAGAAACAGGAAATTGAAGTATTAATAATGACAAATTAATCATTTTTGCATGTAAATATTTAACTCTAACAAAGTACCGAGATAACTGGATAATTATGTTGTTTTAACATTATTAATAATGATTGTGTCATTTTATGTTTGCAGTATTTCATTGAGATAATGTCTGAACTTGGTGATTTTTTTATACTATTTAAATATTTAAGCCCTGGACTCGTGCATCGTGAACTGATTATTCCTCAAAGGTATTGTTTCAAACTTTGCATGAGAGACGTATCATCAGGTGCTTAGTTTAGGAAACAATGCCCGAGTGAAATGAATCAGTTTTTTAAAAGTAGTTTGTTATGTCTAATTCAATCTCTGATTTGTACATTTTGTATATTTTAGATCTTATCTCTGGAAAGCAGGAGAAATGCTCCCTAACGGATGAAGATAATATGAACTTCCCTAACTGTGCAACTAAATTAGCTGTAAGTATAGATAATTTTTGTGACATTTTGGGATAATCTACAACTTTTTTGTAAATGGTGTTTGGTGGTTGGCTTTTGGCATCTATAACAGATGGTGACATTTTGCATATTAATGCCTTGTGTTATAAATGTTGAGATATTTCGCTATTCTTTTTGGTGACAAAATCTCCAGTTTCACCACTTGTAACATTGTAGACATACAAAAATATAATATTGTTACAATGCACTATATCGAGAATCCAACTGACCTACCTAGCTAAAAATCACTTTCTCAAATGAAATTGGTGAACGATTTTTGAAAATACAAAATCACACTCTTACTGATGTGATTTGTATGTAGATTTTGAACATAATACTCAATCGGCCGGGCGCCGGTGCTGAAAATCGGAGCATATGTGACCACGGCATTACTGATGTGATTTGTATTTGTATGTAGAACACTGCCTAGACTAATTTTGAATACTTAACGATAACAATCAACATTATTTCTACAGGTATCTAGTCTGTATCGTATCCTGTTGCACATTATAATCTTTGCTATTTCTCCCTTAAATCCTGAGATCTTCTTACATGAAAGAAAGATACCTCGAGTATCAGAATGAGTGAGTGAATTAAATTGGAAAATTCTGTTGCTATGTAACTGATTGCAGTATAATGTGTTGAGGTGGTTTCGAGTGCTAACTGCATATTGTGTTCTCATTTAAAGCTCCAATTTCATTAACAGTCTGTCAGAAGAGTATGTTATACATGCATTTTCCATTTCATGTTAATAATTAATCCGTGTAATTTATTACTGATGGTTGTACATGCTCAGGTTTCAGCTATTGTATATTTCAAGAGGCTACAGTAGCTTGGGGTTTCAGGTATTCTATATTTCCTGAAGCGAGTAAATGTACAATTGTATAGTACTTCTGAGCTTCAACTCTCTTAAGAATAAAATGGAAATGATTATCGTGCTATTTCGTGTTATATTGCAATCCATTAATGTCATATTGGTCAGTGATGTCAAGAATTCTATTACTGATTAATTTGGGATTTTTATGTCAACACCACAACTGGTGACAAATTGTTATAGTCTCAAACTTTTTTGGACCGTGTTTGGCATTTGTAACAAATGGCAGGTGGTGACATTTTGCATGTTAATGCCTTGTTTTATTATTGCATTCAAAGTCACATATGTCATCTCCATGGGCTCATTATATGGAGAGGTTATGAGCTACTACCTGTGTGCTATAGATCTGTTTCCTATCAAAATAGTCCAGTTGAAGTTGCATTCTCATTATTATTATTAACAAATTGTTACATGATTTTCAACTTAAGAATTATGCACTTTACTAGCACCAAAGGCTACAAATAAAGTAAATATTGTAAAAAAAATGAAGAATTACATTATGAAACAAATTAGCTTTTCTTAGAAAATCAGATATTTTCTACTATGGGAAAAGTAAGATTGATTTCTGGCACATTACACCGGGAATCTTATCGAACACGTGACTTATGCCAGCATAATACAAATTAATATGCTTCATAATATAGCATCAGATTGTAGTTAACTTCAATGTCAATATACTGCAGGTTTTCCATGAATCCATGATGCTTAAAAGCCCTTAGCCAGGATTTGCCAAGGGGGTTCACTTTTTGAAAATTTCCAGGGGGGTTATTTTGGTCCAAAAAATGGCCAAAATCACTTAAAATGTGCTCAGAATGATGAAAAACATGATTTTTAAATAATTTTTGGCCATCGGGGGCCACGCTCAAACCCCTTGATCCCCCCCCCCTTGGCTCCGGGCCTGGCTTATATACAAGTATGTCTAACCATGGGTTTAATATTTCTTTGTTTCCAGTGGATGCGAGACCATTGGAAGACAGATCCATGCTACTCTACATATGGAGTTGATGGAACAGAGTGTTCCTTTATATACTACCTTGGTGAGGTAAGATGATTTATATCCCATGGATATCATAATTCAGATATTATCCCACCTTCACAAGTGGGACATATTGTTATAGTTTTCAAATTTTTGTGTAGGTTAGGTTGTCGTTTGGTAGTTGGTGTTCGGCATCTGTAACAAATGGCAAATCATAATAAACTTGAGTTCATGAGCTACCCAATTATTTAACTTAGATTTCTTAATATGACTTCAAGTGGGTTGAATTATCTTCAAAGAAGTTTTCGAGTACATGCACAGATATGTATGTTAAAGACAAAATTACAAAACATATATAAACCTGTCTCAATGAATCAATATATTCATTAGCCTATATCACTGGGGGGTATCGTGATGCAACAACACCGTGTTGTTGCATCAAGATGGCCAGACTTCCGGTGATAGATTTTCGTACGATGTTTTGTTTTCCCAATTTACACCCATTTCTAGGACGAGTTGCTCAATAATCATACACATGCAGTTAGCACATGATCTATATTTTAAAAAACTGTCATTGGTATACATGTAGCATCATCAAGAAGCGATAAATTCGTGGTTTTAATTCCTCACTATTGATGCAACAACACCACTCTGTTTCTTATCGATGATGCAACAACACCAATGTGCTGATGCAAAAACGCCAATATAATGTATCATGGAACAACAAGAGAAACTGTTTTATGTTCTATTTACAGGTGTAGGTCGGGACATGAATAAAACGCGTGAGTCAGAGGACCATGAACGAAACGTATTTTGTTTGGTTTCTTTGTCTATATCAAAGTTAAAAGGATATACAAGGCAAACTAAATAAAATACAGAATCCCCGGGAGGCAATCTCATTGATATTGTATCTGAAAAATAAAGATTATACATTTTCTAGATTAAATGCCCTTGATTTACCGTATGGAAATTGCTTACAAATAACTAATATAATTTTGGAAAGACAACAGATATCAGTAATTTTGTGTTGTTAGTACCTCAAGTGAAATACTCAATTCTGATTGGTTGATGAGCGGGCAACAAAATGTATTGTTAGTACCTCAACTGAAATACTCGATTCTGATTGGGTGATTAGCGGTCAAAATTATGTACTGTTGACCGCTACTAGGTACTGTTGGCCGCTACTTCTGAAAAAAGTTTCATGACGTCACAAAAAAACATGGAAGACGGACATTTTGTAAATGTTGATGAAAATGACTTTACTAGGCGACAAGTATAGCAAAGATACAAATAGAAACTTAAAATTAACATTAATTCACTAACGAGTACGCCGTGATGTGCCAAATACAGAGTTAAGCTTCTTGCAATGTCTCCATATTTTCTAAAAAAAAATATTGCTAACGTGGTTTCGGAGAAAAGGTTGTGAAATGAAGCCATGCCGATTGATGATCGTCGTCTATATGTGTATTATTAGTTTACTCGGACTAACAAAACAATTGTAGACCTCTCCATTCGATCAACCGTCAAAATCATATACCTCGACTGTAAACCTTGAAACTACTGTTGACCTCGACCTTCGGTCTCTGTCAACAGTATTTTTCGGTTAACAGTCTCGGTATACAATTTTGCCGGTTGGCCTCTGGGGAGGTCAACAATTGTAAACTGTTGACCACTACTAGGTACTGTTGACCCCTATTTTTGAAAAATTGTTATTTAATGTTGAAATTTTTTTAATTTTGAAAAAATAAGTTGTATAAAAAATTACAAGTATTCGACGGTTTGGGGATTTTTTGCTAAAATATGATACCTTTACTTATCAAATATGAACGTGATATTCGATTATATATTCGTCCAATTATTATATTATTTGGACTAACAGAACAATTGTTAACCTCTCTTTTCGGTCAACTGGCAAAAGTGTCCTCGACCTCTGGTCTTGATCAACAGTACTTTCAAGGTTTACAGTATCGGTATACAATTTTGCCAGTTGACCTCATGAGGGGTCTACAATTGTATATTGTATATCCTTTGTTATCCCACCCAAAGTATGATGTCATATATCAAGTTGAAGAGTTGTATACGCTGCTCAGGAGTTTACGCTATCCAGGAGTTGTACATCGTTCTCAAGAGTTGTATAGGATGAGTGTTGGTTTAATGATATTGCAGTTATACAATGCTATTATATAAAAGTTATTTACTGAGAGGGATTCAATATTGGTTTTATTTCGAGAGACAATATGATATTTCCCGAGGGCCCGGTGTAAAAGAAATGATGGTCCCCCAGGGATTATGGTCCCCTATCTTAACGGCCCTTACTGGCCCTGATTGCGTATAAGATAATGAGGGAAAGAGCTGTATTTAGGTCACCATATAAATCAATGGAGAGTAGGACCATAATTTGATAGGACCTCCTACCCTTTTACACCTGGATATCTGGGATAACTGTACCCCTATCAATTTACCTTTTTGGGCCCTAAATCTTATCACTTTTGTTTACCTTTTTACTCAGTCGGAGAGAAGGAATCCAAAGAGAGCAATAATTCTACATGTGCGTCGTGTAACTAAACGGCCTCTCTAATAAAGTCAATTAGACGTTTTTACACGTTGGCTCTCCAAATTGTAGGAAATAAAGAATCATGTCATATTATATCATAGATGAAGCAATCATCCCATCAACATAAGCTCACGAATGTCACAGTTAAACTGTTTTAGTTATAATTTGATAAACAGTGGTAACGTACATCTACTAGTTTATCACTGTTCCACAGATGGATGACAGATAATATCATGATAATATCCAATAGCTAATCATGTTTACCGAGAACGAAAGATGTTTGTCCACCATTTTGAATGATACTAACTGGAGTCAGGGTCATCAAGCTATGGAACAGTGGTTTATGAAAATAGATTGGGTTACTAAAGCTTGCCATGCGATTGAACTATGTTATAGAATAACGTCCAGTACATTATAATATGTAAAAGTATAAAATTTTGAAAACACATATAAAGGATCTTCGCCCGCAGGACGTGTATTTTGAATGCCTTGAGAAGAACGCAAATTTGGGTAGGCTAATTGGTAACGGTATTGCAATAGTAGCATTTAAAAATCTGTTCCTCTCGAGATTTATGGTCTTCTGAAATTATACTATTAATTGGTGTTGCTGCATCATTGCTCAAATCTAGAGGGGTGTTGTTGCATCTTCGGTTTGGTGTTGTTGCATCAATAGTGAGGAACTAAAACCGTGAACTTATTGCTTCTTGGTGATGGTACATGTATACTAATGACAGTTTCTTTAAATATAGATCGTGCGCTAACTGCACGTGTATGGTTATTGAGCAACTCGTCCTAGAAATGGGTTTAATTGGGGAAACAAAATATCGTACGAAAATCGATCACCGGAAGTCTGGCCATCTTGATGCAACAACACGGTGTTGTTGCATCACGATACTCCCCAGTGTATATGATGTTTTGTCAATGTCTCTCATTTATTAAAGCACAGCATTGTTAAGGTCAACAATAATATGTATAGCATATGGATATGCTTCAATTTCTCAGGTATCAAAGCACATCATTGCTAAGTTGAACAACAGGCAGCCAGGATTTCTCAAGTGGGGTTCTTTTTTGCTTTTTCATGGATATTTGCATCACATGCGATGCGTTACCTAAATCTAAGAGATATGCCTGTCTTCATGGTCAGAAAATAGTTATAATCCCAAGATATATAACTTTATATATGTCTGTCTGAAATTGTTTGTGATAACCTACGTGGCATTCTTTCTTACCAGTGTAATGTAATTGCGAGATTACTTTTAACGTCAACAATCCATTCATTCTGACAAAAAACAGGCAAAATTAATGTAAATCATAGATTTAACTAAACAACAGGCGATTTCCTGAAAACAACCGGTGAAAATCGCCTGTTGCCTGCTGCTAATGAAACCCCTGTCCTATTGTAGTATCTGTTATAATATTCTAATGAAATAATATTGCTTAAGATCTATATGAGACAGTAAATAGTTGAACTAAATCTAATTAAATTCTTGGGAAATTTTACCTGGGGTTCACAGAAACCCCTCAAGCCCCCCCCCCCCTCCCATTGCTACAGTTGTTCACGGCCCAGGAATTATATGGATCTAATTAGATGATGTTTCCTGTCAAAGTTATCACCAGCATTATGATTAACATGCAAGTCTGGTATATTAATGACTATTTAATTACATGTACATGTATATAAGCATTACAGGCCTTTCCAAAATAATTCCAATGTGGCTCACATTTGACGACTTTGGCCCAAGATCAATTGTTCACTTTTAACCCCCCCCCCATCCGCATCCCCCCTGCATTAATTGATTTGAAAATAGCATATGTATGAATGTTTCAACCAACTTATTTAAATGTCTTGTATCAGCATACAATTTTACTTGTAATTGTACTCCTTGTTTCATTGTTTCAGATTGAAAACTGGTGTCCAAAAAGTACGGGAAATTATGCCCAAAAACGAATAAGTGACCAGAAAAAAGGAGAATTTGTAAGTTATACAGAAGGAAATTTGTAAATCTGAACAAACTGATCTATATAATTTATAATATAAGTACCTCAATGTTACGCTATTGCAAATCCTTATCACTATAGTCACATATTTTAATGATCTGTAATGTTTTAAAATGCCTGTCTCTACAGATATTATCTAACATTTCAAAACCTATAATTGCAGGCTCAAATAAACACACAACTTGAAGGTTTGATGGAACTGCTTAAAGACCCCAACCCAGAGCGGGCAAATTATGCATGGGTTAGGATGCGTATCACACGCATGTGGGGCAAGTGGACCTCAGATATAAAAATGCTGCAAGCAAATCAAAATATGAATGGAAGAGTGAAGAAAAAGGTATGTTGTTTTATCGCTTTTATAGTTTTACATATTATACATATTGAACCTATAAAGAGCTAAAAGCAACCATACAAATTGTGAGGTCACTATGACCTATTTTTGTTGAGATATAGGTCATTTATGGTTATGTCAAAATGTTGGATTTGATTCAATTGATAATAGCAGTACATATTTGTTAATATATATCAATATATAATGTATGGTACATATGGTAATATATGGTACATATGATATGGTTAATATATGGTACATGTACTTCAATAATGTGATTGAGTACACTGTAAAGGTGAACAAAAGCTAATTTAATGTTAACATGTTAAGAGTTGGACAAATTGTGACCTGTTTTTGCATGCTGTACATATGCTAGCTGGATTTGCATGTTCATGTACTGGCATGTACCCACTTGAAAATTAATTTGCACCCACTTGAAAATGTGGAAAAAATGAAAATTTTGCACCTTTCTTGAGGAAAATAGTCTGCTGCAGTTGTTAGAATTGCATGGATTTTAGAAACAAATAATTTAATAAAAAATAACCTATATTGTTCAAATAAAAGAAGCCATTGAAAACATACAGAGGAGAGCAACTAGACTATTACCAAACCTCAGGCAATTAACATACCCCGAAAGACTAGCAACACTTGACATGACAACACTGGCATTTAGGAGGTTACGAGGAGATATGATTGAGCTGTACAAGATCCTGAACAATTTCTATGACATCAGCCCCAAGACTATCTTTCCTCAATTGAACCATATAACAAGGCAGCCAACAAGAGGACACACAATGTACCTGAAACGACAACACTGTAGACTAAACACAAGACAGCATTTCTTTACCAACAGAGTCATATCACCCTGGAACAAACTGCCTGAATATGTTATTCAAGCAAGAAGTGTTGACCAGTTCAAGAACAAGTTGGATGACCATTGGTACAACCACCCACTGAAATTAGACTGGGAGCACAAGCCTTAAGGGTACATATGCCAAATATGACTTGATGTGTATAACAAATACACACACCTATACAGGCAAAAGGCTACACCAGCCTACAAGCCGGTGCTTATCTTATCTTATCTTAAAAGATAATAAAAGATGTGCTCGGTTTGTTTAATTCAATAATTGACCACAAACATTTTTTTATTATTGCATAGACTGGTTTATTAATAAGGGTATAGATACCCATGATTTTGAGTGACATCAACAAATGAATTTAAAAAAAGATCATAAAAAGCAGAGGATGTTCCATTTATCCCATAGTTTCTGTATACACTAGTATCTCTAGCAATGCATAATATTATAAGCATACAGACAAGTTAATATAGTACATCACCATACGTCTCACATTGTATCTTGGGTCTAAATTTTGCCTCTTTGGGATAAGATTCATTAAGTAATGCCTCTTGTCTTGAAATCTACTGAAACCCCTAGTCTTATTCCCTTTAAATTATCCTCCAGATTGCAGGCCTTTAGAACTTGTAAGTCGTTTCTTGAAGAAGGAAGGGACGTAGTTGACTATATCTGGAGCCCTACATTCGGAGAATCCGAATGCTTTAAACCATAATAAAACTACCTGTATGTATATTGATATAGATAGTACGATACTAAAACCTGTCTAATTGGAGCACCTTTGGTACCTTTAAAAAGTGTGACTTACAAGGTTCGTTTAACATGATCTGAAAAGTGTTCCTCAAAGTCGATATTATTTTATCATCTCTATGGAGGTAATGCATTGGCCTAACATGTACCTGTTCAAATCCTCCAGACTGCAGGCCTTTAGAACAAGTCGTTCCACTAACAGAGGTGTTTTACTTCAAGAGGTGTTCCACTTTACAGGTTTCACTGTACTCCTATGCACATTTCAATTTAATTTGTTTCTCCACTTCATGAAAGCAAATAACTTCTCTCCAATTATTTTGCATGTATTCATTTATGTTTCAGATAATTTTATATTTAGGACTTTTATCGAGAGAATCCCATTGGGGTATTGTAGAAAGTCAGTTTAAGGGTATGCTTTAAAATATTTATTTTAATTACTTTTACTTTTATGTTGTCTCATATTGATTAAAAAGTATTTGATCTCACAGCTTGAAGTGGTTTATTTGCTTTAAGATTGAATAGCTTCTTTCTATATATATATAGTAATTTATTTAGTGAAGCTATCACATCTCTCAAATGTACCTATCTTTATACAGGGTGCAGCATAAGTGTGTATGGGTCGAAAGTCACTCAAATGTACTTATCTTTATACAAGGGCAACATAAGTGTGTATAGTTCAAAAGTCACTCAAATGTACCTATCTTTATACAGGGGCAACAGAAGTGTATATGGTTTCAAAGTCACTCAAATGTACTTATTTTTATACACAGGCAACATAAGTGTGTATGGGTCAAAAGTCACTCAAATGTACTTATCTTTATACAGGGGCAACATAAGTGTGTATGGGTCGAAAGTCACTCAAATGTTCTTATCTTTATACAGGGGCAACATAAGTGTATATGGTTTCAAAGTCACTCAAATGTACTTATTTTTATACACGGGCAACATAAGTGTGTATGGGTCAAAAGTCACTCAAATGTACTTATCTTTATACAGGGGCAACTAAGTGTGTATGGGTCGAAAGTCACTCAAATGTACTTATCTTTATACAGGGGCAACATAAGTGTATATGGTTTCAAAGTCACTCAAATGTACTTATTTTTATACACGGGCAACATAAGTGTGTATGGGTCAAAAGTCACTCAAATGTACTTATCTTTATACAGGGGCAACATAAGTGTGTATGGTTCGAAAGTCACTCAAATGTACTTATCTTTATACGGGGGCAACATAAGTGTGTATGGGTCGAAAGTCACTCAAATGTACTTATCTTTATACAGGGGCAACATAAGTGTATATGGTTTCAAAGTCACTCAAATGCACTTATTTTTATACAGGGGCAACATAAGTGTGTATGGGTCAAAAGTCACTCAAATGTACTTATCTTTATACAGGGGCAACATAAGTGTGTATGGTTCCAAAGTCACTCAAATGTAATTATCTTTATACAGGGGCAACATAAGTATGTATATGGTTTGAAAGTCACTCAAATGTACTCATCTTTATACAGGGGCAACATAAGTGTATATGGTTTGAAAGTCACTCCAATGTACTTATCTTTATACAGGGGCAACATAAGTGTGTATGGGTCAAAAGTCACTCAAATGTACTTATCTTTATACAGGGGCAACATAAGTGTGTATGGGTCGAAAGTCACTCAAATGTACTTATCTTTATACAGGGGCAACATAAGTGTATATGGTTTCAAAGTCACTCAAATGTACTTATTTTTATACACGGACAACAAAAGTGTGTATGGGTCAAAAGTCACTCAAATGTACTTATCTTTATACAGGGGCAACATAAGTGTGTATGGTTCGAAAGTCACTCAAATGTACTTATCTTTATACGGGGGCAACATAAGTGTGTATGGGTCGAAAGTCACTCAAATGTACTTATCTTTATACAGGGGCAACATAAGTGTATATGGTTTCAAAGTCACTCAAATGCACTTATTTTTATACAGGGGCAACATAAGTGTGTATGGGTCAAAATTCACTCAAATGTACTTATCTTTATACAGGGGCAACATAAGTGTGTATGGTTCGAAAGTCACTCAAATGTACTTATCTTTATACGGGGGCAACATAAGTGTATATGGGTCGAAAGTCACTCAAATGTACTTATCTTTATACAGGGGCAACATAAGTGTATATGGTTTCAAAGTCACTCAAATGTACTTATTTTTATACACGGGCAACAAAAGTGTGTATGGGTCAAAAGTCACTCAAATGTACTTATCTTTATACAGGGGCAACATAAGTGTGTATGGTTCGAAAGTCACTCAAATGTACTTATCTTTATACAGGGGCAACATAAGTGTGTATGGTTCGAAAGTCACTCAAATGTACTTATCTTTATACGGGGGCAACATAAGTGTGTATGGGTCGAAAGTCACTCAAATGTACTTATCTTTATACAGGGGCAACATAAGTGTATATGGTTTCAAAGTCACTCAAATGTACTTATTTTTATACACGGGCAACATAAGTGTGTATGGGTCAAAAGTCACTCAAATGTACTTATCTTTATACAGGGGCAACATAAGTGTGTATGGTTCGAAAGTCACTCAAATGTACTTATCTTTATACGGGGGCAACATAAGTGTGTATGGGTTGAAAGTCACTCAAATGTACTTATCTTTATACAGGGGCAACATAAGTGTATATGGTTTCAAAGTCACTCAAATGCACTTATTTTTATACAGGGGCAACATAAGTGTGTATGGGTCAAAAGTCACTCAAATGTACTTATCTTTATACAGGGGCAACATAAGTGTGTATGGTTCGAAAGTCACTCAAATGTAATTATCTTTATACAGGGGCAACATAAGTCTGTATATGGTTTGAAAGTCACTCAAATGTACTCATCTTTATACAGGGGCAACATAAGTGTATATGGTTTGACAGTCACTCCAATGTACTTATCTTTATACAGGGGCAACATAAGTGTGTATGGTTCGAAAGTCACTCAAATGTACTTATCTTTATACAGGGGCAACATAAGTATGTATATGGTTTGAAAGTCACTCAAATGTACTCATCTTTATACAGGGGCAACATAAGTGTATATGGTTTGAAAGTCACTCAAATGTACTTATCTTTATACAGGGGCAACATAAGTATGTATATACATGTAGTTCGAAAGTCTTGTAAAATGGTAGTATGCAAAACTAGGAGGAAATTTTGTTATTTCAAGTTCTATGAATTATGTCACTAGATATTGAATGCGACAGCTTGTTTTTATTATATAAACAAACAAACAAACAAACAAAACAAAGGCAATGATGTCCAACTTATTTTTTTTTCAAGTAATAAACACTTGTACTTTGTTTGTACTTTGCTTTGTTTGTTGCATCATCTCATGACATCTATAGAGCTTGAAAACCGCAAAATGACACTATTAGACCATGCACCTTGGAGTCTGGTCAGTTTGATCACATTTTAGGGATCTTATGATGCACCCTGTAACCAATGCTTATATTACCTAATTCACTTCTTTTTCTATTTGGTCTTCACAGGTATCGTCATACATGTACAGTAAAACCTGTATATAGTGAGCACCTTATGAAGCCACAAAAATATATTCACTATAGGTAGGTGTTCACTAAAGAGAGGCAATTCTATACAGTGGAGTATGTGCTGAGAAAAGGAAAGGTGTTCACAAGACACATGTGTTCACTAGAGAGATGTGTTCAGTGAGACAGGTTTTACTGTACATGTATATTTACACATATAACCTACAAACTCTGCATGCCTTATAGTTAATTATAGAATTGACAAAATCAAGCTTTGAACATCCTCAAGCAGACTACCTTGAACATGTTACTACTTTATGGTAACTTTGTTCTAATCATTCAATCGTCCCTCCTTGAGGTTTACAATCATTGTATTACTTACAGTGCCGCTATCCTTGGCTGGATATATCCAGAGGGTATCCTGGGATAGATCATGCTTCCTGATCTATTTTGAATATAACTGGGTCCAAGTTGACAAGGGTTCGTGTTAACTAGGGTCCGAGTTGACTTGGAACCCTTGGAGATATAGCCATTCTGATATTCTGAAATTATCTCAAAATATCAGGCAAAAGTACAGCACTGTGTTAGTGTAACGACCCTTGATATCAAGTTGCTACTACGGCCCAGCTGTAGTAGCTAAAGCCTTTATAGCTCAGTCGGTAGAGCATCAGACTTTGGGTCCAAGGGTCCTAGGTTCGATTCCTACTCAGGGCATTGAATTTAGCACACTTTCTTTCAATTTTTTTTATCTGGCTTGTTACACTATGCTCGTTAGTTAGTCATTCCCCTGGGGCACCCTCAGTCATTACACTAGTTTTTCATTCATAACTAAGCTCAATCAGTACTGTCAAGTGCTTATAAAACTCTAAAGTACAGTGCTGTTTGAGATTCGCTTAGTAAATGTCACTATTGGCTTGCTCTAATTCAGAAACTTCTTACCGCCTTTCCAGTGGTTTATAAAACCTCCATGAGCCAAGACCCTGACCTGTAGCTTTTATGCAACCCAGCTTAAAAAAGGTGCATAATCAATATGAAATTGTACATATTTTTTTTTATTATATTTGGCAATAGATCATCGTCCACTTAGGCCTGTTAACTAAGAAATCTGGTACGATGTTTGCAGAGAATGCTTTCAAGGGTAATTATATCATCACTTCTATAACAGAAGTATAGAGCATTACATATGTTGCATTTTTAATAAAATGCATGAATGATTTAAACATTGCTATATTAGAATTAGTATTGTCTAGCAGTACTGTGATACTACAGGATTTAAAGTGGCATTAGTGAGGAACAGCATGTAATTGTTTTTGAGTTTTTATGTCACCACCAAAAAGTGGTGACATATTGTTATGGTCTCCGTTTTTTTGACGTCGGTAGGTGGTTGGCAATCTGTGTCTGTAACAAATTCTTACAACTTCAGATAACTTAACAAATACTGTTTAGACTGACTTTAATTTTTTTCAAAATCATCTACAAGTTTTCAAAAATTCAATTCTCACTTTATATTTAAAATTTGCCCTTCAATGACCTTTTCAAGGTCAAAAAAAGTCAAAAAGGTAATTTTGGCTCACACTATGAGCCTATGGGATCGACCAGGCATCCGTCCGTCCGTTGGTCCGTCCGTTGGTCCGTCCGTTGGTCCGTCCGTCAACATTGGCCGCACAAATTAAAACTGCTATTCGGATTAAGTCATGTCCACAGTCATTTTATGCATATCCATAATGTCTATTTGACCTATCATCGCCATTTCCCAAGTTCGCCTGGTTTCCGAGAAATCGCTGATTTTGACGTCAAAAAGTCAAATTTTCAGTAAATACTAGACACTTTGTTGAAGTAGGACTTTCAAATAACTTGTAGTAGTTGCTGTATATGCAACTTATGTCCTCTGAAGATTTCAAAGCTCTTGGAATTACAGTTTTTGGTGTTTACTCTATAAAATTTGACAAAAAGTAAGACTTAGTCATTTTCAGGAAACTTTCTCATGTATAAAGTCAATGGCAGGTTTTGTGATTGACAAGTTTCTCAAAGTTTGCCTTATACTTGATCATTTCTTGCAATGAATTACATCATAACTAGATTTAAGCATTCCCTACATATTGCTCAATGTTTGTCGGCATCAAATTTTTACCGTTTTTGAGATATTTGACGTCAAAAAACAGTAAAAATAAGTTATTTTTTAACTTGCTTCAATTTGACCAAATTTTTTTTTGGAAATCATCTACAAGTTACCAGGAGTTCAAATCTGACATTCGTTTTAGGATTTGACCTTTACTTTGACCTTCAGTAACCTTTTAAGGTCAAAAAAGTTAATTTTTCAAATTGATTTTTGGATGTAAATTTTGGTCAGCTTGATCACAAAAGACCTTACTGAGCTCTAAATAAGTTAAATTTTCAAGGTCAAAGATCATCAAACTAGGTCACACAACTGCGCTGTCTAAGTTTCTCAAAGTTCGAGACTACAAATCCAAATCAATATTTTTGTTTGAAAGTCAGGATATACATTCTTCTGAAGGTTCCAAACTGTGTGAGCACAGGACCGTGGGTCCTATTTTTAAAGCTTGTTTCAAATTGACCAATTTTTTTTCAAAATCATCTACAAGTTATCAGAAGTTCATATCTGACTAGATTTGAGATTTGACCTTCAATGACCTTCTCAAGGTAAAAAAGGTCTTTTTTCATCTTGCTTCAAATTGACCAATCTTTTTTCTCAGAAGTTCAAATCTGACTTTAGATTTGAGCTTCCACATTCAATGATCCTCTCAGGGTCAAAAAAGGTATTTCTTCAACTTGCTTCAAATTGACAAATATTTATTTTTTCAAAATCATCCACAAGTTCTCAGAAAATAAACTCATAATATTGTGAGCAACTAGGTGGTGACATTTTGTCATGTTAATGCCTTGTTTTGCATTGGTATGAAAAAAGTGGATGCATGGTAATTTTTTATTTATTTGTATTTTTTCAAAAATGCAATGCAAAGACCAACAAATACTTCAGTACATTTCATGCAGCTTCATGTGCTATACTATTTTTATTATTCATGTTAGCAAAAGTCATACAGTCGGCCACATTAGGTAGTAATAATGGTCATTGTAGCATTTTTACCTGGCCGACGAAAGCATGAGTATATTGAAATAAGCAATTAATTTCACCTAACAGAGAGCTCATTAAAGGCTTTAACAGCTACATATGGGTTATTTCTACTAACCTTGAAATTCAACGTATTCTCTGATTACTTTATTTATTTCTCAATTCACCCCTTATAGGTTTGGTGGTCATCTTGAATTCTGCTATTCATTTTGAGCCGCTTCAATATATCTTGTCATCACAATTCAAGGAAAACTACTCATCAAACTTTTCACAGAATTTAAGTTTGCAACAGTCAAGCTGAGTTAATTCGTATGCTGTAGCCATTTTATGTTAAGGTAGTTATTTTGGAACTTTTTCAGTATCCCCTGTCATGTAAATCCCAGGAAAAGGGGATTTGATCAAAATTTGCAAGGATGCTTCTTATATAGAAAATCTAGACTGGATTAGTTTTTGGGTAGGCCAGGTGTTTTGCTCTTTACTGTTATATTTTAGTATATCTTCAATTGTTGTACGTTTTTTTGTTTTATGTTTGTGCTTTAAATAACTTAACATGTATTCATTGATGCAATACTAATTAACATTTTCATAGTTCACTAATACATTTTCTTATTGTATTATCCGTAAAATGAAGCCCTCTGATTGGTCAGTTCTTGTGCTGTACCAATCTGTATTGCTACTGAGATTGTCCCCTTTGTTTATCTCCGTAGCAATACAGAAAATATTGATACAGAGGGTACAATCTCAGTAGCAATACAGAGAATACAGAAGTAAGATGTATTGGCGTAAGATCACACGATAAAAACGTCTTGATATTCTGTATTGGCACTCGACTTCGTCTCGTTCCAATACAGAATTTCTCGAGCAGAATATATCCTGTATTGCACTTCAAATCACTCAATAACTTATATTCTTTTGCACTTTAGATCTTTAGATTTTATCAGTCTGTATGTAACACATATGTAGTTTAAAAATTGATGTTTATAATGAGTAATGGTCACATGAACCAGACATGTATGATAAACTTTCCATATAAACTAACAATATTTGAACGTTCAATATATTCTGAATAGTATACAATCTTGTCCGTGATAGCAGTGTCAAATCCGTGTACATTGTATTTCTAATCAATAGTGACATACATGTATATGGATATGTATAAACTTAAACATTAGTTCAAACATGTGCATTTTCATATTTTCACTAATGGTACACATTCTCTTTGTAATGGTATTCACACTCTGTTATGATTTATATTTGTTGATGTTGTAGGGGGTCCACTTGGTGAGTTGGTCCAATGGAGTGACCTGATTACAGCTCTATATATCCTTGGACATGACCTCCGCATCACCAGTGAGGTGGAACAGCTTACCATGTAAGTTTTCCGTATTCGCCATTCTTAATGGATGGAGAGTAATTTTTCACAGCAATGTCATCCCTAATTAAGCTAATCGCACATACATGGTCTTAGGTCAGGCAATGGCTTGCCAGAATTTTGCAGAAAAATATTTTCTGAAATGTTGCCATTTAAAAACAGGTAAAAATTATATTCTATATAATAGAGGTGTAATATCTATCAGCTTCAGTTTTGCCAGATCTATTATGTCACCACCAGAAGTGGTGACATATTGTTATAGACTCCAACTTTTTGTTGATGATGTTTGGCATTTGGTGGTCGCCATTCGACTTTTAGAGTTTGGTGGTTGGCATCTGTAATAAATGGCAGGTGGTGACATTTTGTGTGTTAACGCCTTGTTGAATATTGAGTATGCCCCTGCTAAAGGTGTAAGAAAAAATAGAAAGGGTAAACTGTTCAAAATCATACCAACATTTTCCTTACAATCCTCAATTTTGATAGTTTATGAAAAAAGCAGAGAGATATCTGAACACATATGTAGAAACTATTGAAGATTTAAGTTGCAGAAATGTTGAGATTATCATGATTGAAAAAGGGAATGTATTCCTTTTCAATTTTTCCCAGATAACCTACAATAAAAAAATTATCCTGAAATAAATTAGGCTTGTTGGACTTTAAGAGACATGACAAGTAATGATAACAGCAAAAAAAATTATTGTAAAACTGAATTTTTTTTCCAAAGTTTACCTCCTTTGCCATTCTAGTCCCTTAAACATTTTACTTCTTGGTTATGGCTATGTAAGAACAAAAAAATATAAATGCCTTTTGTGTTTATTTCTGTTTTTAAGTTAAACATAACAAAAGGAAATTAAGCTTGTTTTGCATACTGACAGGTTTTAATTTTTATTTAAATTAGTCTGAAGAGGTGAGCATGTTCATGAACATTTATTTTCAATGTAGAATGTTTTTTTGATTGATTCTTATTTTTCTGATTGTTGCTTTCTAATCTGTGGAGACCGTAAATATAACTGATGCAAATCAATGATGTAACTTCTGATATACAGGGTGACCAAAAAAGCAGAACCTAGCAGTAATTTTTGGCCTATGGGATCGACCAGGCGTCCGTCCAACCGTCCATTGGTCGCACAAATTAAAACTGCTATTCGGATTGAGTCATATCCACATTCATTTTATGCATATCCACAATGCCTATTTGATCTATCATCGCCATCTCCCAAGTTCGCCCAGTTTCCGAGAAATTGCTGATTTTGACGTCAAAAAGTCAAATTTTCTGTAAATACTAGACACTTTGTTGAAGTAGAACTTTCAAATAACTTGTAGTAGTTACTGTATATGCAACTTATGTTCTCTGAAGATTTCAAAGCTCTGGGAATTACAGTTTTTGGTGTTTACTCTATAAAATTTGACAGAAAGCAGGACTTAGGGAGAGTCATTTTCAGGGAACTTTCTCATGTATATCGTCAATGGCAGGTTTTGTGATTGAGAAGTTACTCAAAGTTTGTCCCTATACTTGTTCATTACTTGCAATGAATTACATCATTACTAGATTTAAGCATTCCCTACATATTGCTCAATATATGTCAGCATCAAATTTTTACTGTTTTTGAGATATTTGACGTCAAAAACTAGTAAAAATAAGTTAATTTCCAACTTGTTTCAATTTGACAAAATTTTTGGGGGATAATCGTCTACAAGTTTCCAGGAGTTCAAATCTGACCTTAGTTTTGAGATTTGACCTTCAGTCACCTTCGAAAGGTCAAAAAAGTTTATTTTTCAATTTGGATGTAAATTTTGGTCACCTTAATCACAAAAGACCTACTGAGCTCTGAATAAGTAAAATGTTCAAAGTCAAAGGTCCTCAAACTAGGACACAAACTGTGCTATCTAAGTTTCTCAAAGTTCGAGACTACAAATCAAAATCAATAATTTTGTTTGAAAATCAGGATAAACATTCCTCTGAAGGTTCTACACTGTGTGAGCACAGGACCGTGGGTCCTTTATTAAAGATTTGTAGCTTCAGTTTTGCGTCACCCTGTACCCTGTATATATTTGAGTCAGGCAATGTAGCCTTAAATGGCCATTAGATTCCAAATCGCATTTGCAGATGTCAGCCAGATTAAAGTGTGTTCAATAAGTATTGCAAATATTCCATTAAATTATTGAACTATTGCTTCGTTTTACATGCAACTCAACAGCATGTAAAAAGAAACATACATGTAACTACCCAACTTATGATGTTGTGTCTATGTCAGGAATTGTAACTTTGTTAATACTATGCCAGTTGTCACAAATTATTGAACACCCTGTTCTTTGTGTAAAGTTACATGTACTTTTTTCAATTAATTTGCTTTTTGGCTTCATTTAACAGTAATGCTTAAAACTTATGTCTGTTTGTCAGACACAGCGCTAAACATCTCAAGACCACCCTCAGCTCCATCTTTTTTAACCCATTTAGTCCAGGGGCTTGGATTTAAGGGGCTATACAGAGAGATAGTTTAAAGAGGGGTAGACATTTATTATTTATGGTAGAGAGGTGTGAATAGTATGGCTTTTATGAGTGAAGAGTTGTTAAAAAATATTGTATAAGAAGTTTGAATAATTATTGTTTTGGAGAAAATGTGAACATTTTTTGGTCCTATTTTTAGATTACCCCAGTAGATTACCTTTGTTCATTAGATTCCCATTGTCAAAAACCTTAAATGTGAATACCCCATCAGTCCAATCAATTTTGACCAGGGCTCCAGGCCCAGTGGCATTCTTACTATAGTACCCCAGAATAGCCTGACAACGGTTAAGTCAGATACCATTGTCATAAATGGCTGACATAAACGTCGCTTCAATTAGATTTTATCAGACTTTACCGTTGTCAGGCTATTCTGGTGTGTATAGACAGGTTCTACTGTATATGAATTTCCAAGACACGACCCTTATGAATGAGATTCTTGATAATCAATATTTTTGATATAGCATTGGCATACATTTTGATGTTTCACATGTTTCAACTATTCATCTCTTTACTATTTCAAAAAATTATGCCTGCCATGTTAATACTCCTCTGGACGGTTTTCAGAAAATAGCACATTTAAAGAGTTTTACCACACATATACCCATCTACTTACCAAAGAAGAAGTCCCAAATCCCCCTCTTTCAGTGTTAATTTTGCGATTGTGCTGGCCGATCTAATTATTTTCGAAGAAATTAATTCAATATGAAGTTGAATATACCGGGAAAGTCCTCCTGTTATCTGATTGGTCGTTGAATTTGTTTATCATAAACCTGATTGGCTGTCTGGTTCAAGGCAATATATGGATATTTCAGCAATAATATACCCAAAAGTTATTCTCAAGATATATCCATGGTATGTGAGATATTATATGAGCAATAACAATTGGACATCATTGATTGTCTGGGGGAGAAACCTATGGCATAATGCATTTTTAATGTTCTACTTCACATTTCTGCCTTTTCTAGCATGAATCAAAATTGAAATGATGAAATATTCCATAATATTCTTCACATTTCCTTATTAATGTTTGTATATTATACCCTTATATTGTATGAGGCATTGCTAGTGAAATACAATATGCCAAGGTAAACGTATAAGCTGGACTTAAAGAACGCAACTTTTCAAGTCAATGTCAAAATAATTCTAAACACTGCATATAGGGTGCACTGTGAGTATAACATTGGTCATAAATCATTTAAGCCAATACACCAAGTTCCCTGTGTATTGACATAATGAATTGTAGAATTGTTATTTTGAATACCTGGGACCAGTGGTCTTAACAAAACCAACAATTGAAAAGTTGATTGTTTGCAGCAAATTAGAATTTATTACAGTTGTACTTATCAAAATATAGCCTTCCTTGGATTTTTATTATAAGACATACACATTCTGATCTATAATTGCCTTTCTTATAAAATACCTATCTGTGTCCCCGCATTACATGCAAATACTGAATTTTTATCATAGTGGCCAATCAGATCTCTAGGTATTTCACCGCCACTGAATAATTTACTATATGAACCTTAATTCAGGTATCTTACTCAGTTGCCAAGTGCCCAGATGCAGTGTCAGGTGCGGGATGATCTCCCCATTGATATGATCTTCACTGATATTATGGGACTCACACAGTTCAAGAAGCATGTAAAATCTGGATATGGGAAATTCAGGTATGTTTTTAGTGGATATCACTATGTGATACATATTTCTACATAATTCTGTACATTTATATTTCAACATATCCTACATGTACATCTACATGTATCTATGATCACTGGGGGGTCCAGGAGCCCCCCTAGGATAGGCCCAAACACTTTGTAGGGGCTCAATTAGTGGGTCTTTTTGGTCTTTTTGGGGCTTATTTAAATATTTGGCCAAATTATCATAAATGGGCCTTAAATTTTAAAAATGGTCCAATCTTTGGTTTTAGGGTGTTAGCTTCGAGATCCGCCACTGAATTGATATACAAGTCATGGTACTATCTTAGATCTATGCTTGACCTCACCTGTATATATGTCCATATGTTCTGCCCTCTTTTGTTTCACCTTTAAAAACAGCCATGTCTTTAATTACAGTTGTTTGCTTCGCATTGTCGATTCATTTGGTACTGAACCAGCCTTCAACCACATGCCTTACGCCTCCAACCATAAAATGCGCACTACATGGGGCATGCAGAATCTCAACCCCAAACAATTCTTCACTATGTTCCGTAAGTTTGCGATTACAGTACAGTAAAACCTGTATATACTGAACATTTATTTGCTGAGTTCAGTATTGGTAGATGTTCACTACAAATGGTAATTAATATACAGAAGTATGTGTGGAAGAAGTTTGCCACTAGAGACAGGTGTCTTACTAGAGACAGGTGTCTACTAAAGACAGGTGTTCACTTGAGAGAGAGGTGTTCACAAGACAGGTTTTACTGTATTGAGATAATTTACAAATGGGTTAAAATTGTGCAATAGGAGTACATAGTCAGCGTGTTTAAGTGCATGCGTGATTGGTTGAAATGCATTCAATGTAGTGAGGAATTAACAGACTTATTTTAAGCCACGATTTGTCCTCATACGAGCAATATACCTTAATGAAGACATTGAACTCTATGATACATTTTACTTCAATCCATTCTATAACTAAAAAATGTAGCAATGTTTTATCTTTTGATCAGGTCGGTCTCACAATATTAGCAACTTTTAGTATTTAAACTTACACAAAACTTAAGGCCCTACTTTTCAAAACAGGGTATTAAACTAACACAAAGAACAAAGATGCCTGTGATAAAACTATTATCATTCTACTGATGTCAATATTCTTTTCAAGAACCTTATCTTATCTTACAGCCCATACGCCAGACAATTCCTTTATGGGGTTTGTAGTTGAACAGAAGCTGAACAAAACAGTACAAGCATCCATCAAGAAGCGTCAGCAAGCTGTTGTGTATGGCAAGAATGAATATATGTGGGAGGTAGGTGCATTTCAAATGAAACATTAAGTACATTTTAGCAAGCTTAGGACCTGTGTTTAAAGGGTTACATAAAGCTTTCCTTGCTTTCTAAATGGTGAGCAACACCAACAAGGAAAGTACAATTCGCTAAATGTTATGCATTACCCTTTAAAACTCATGTGTACATTTTTACACTTGTTGCTAATTGGGCAAAGACCTGATTGCCAGTCTTGCTTTATTACCCATGTCTTCAACTTATGCATCAAACTCTGCCTCCAATTCCAATGTCATTAAGATGTGTCTTTTTATGTGAAAATAGTTTTTTGTGTGGTAAAAAGTTCTCTATTGGCTGTCAAATGAAAATTTTAGCTTTTATTTTTTATTTATGAAAACTATAGTCTTGCACCAAGTCCTTATGTTCTACTGACCATTTAACATGGTTGGTGAAGTGGAGTACTGAAATTTGTGATAAAGGGCAAAGACAAAATATGAGACTGTAAAAACTGTTGTGCAAATAGGTTCACGAGCTATAGAATATGAACTCAGATGTCCAATCATTATTTTGAGTTCATACATACCATAACTTCTGACTTTTTACAATGCCTTCTTGTATTTCAGGGTAAAAAGCCATATTTGGATATTCTCCACAAACACTATGAGATCCATGGTACAGTGCAAGTGGACAAGCCCCCTAGTAAAGTCCTCCCTGACTATGTGATCAATCATGGAGTCTTAGGGGGTGATGAGCTGTATAAACTACTTAGCCAGTCAAAGGTAGGTTCACTGAGTTTCTTTTTTCATTCCTTTCATCATTCTTTTAATGTGTTCGATGAGAGAAGCTTCATAGCAAGATTATCCTACCCCAAAATATTTTTATGTCACCACCACATGTCCTGATACATTGCTATAGTTTTTATGAATGAAGTTTGGTTGGTGATTGGCATTCGGTGTCTGTAACAAATTGTAGGTGGTGACATTTCGCACGTTAATGACTTGTATTTTAATGTTAATGTCTCAAATATCAACTACTTCACTGACTGCTGTGTGAATGGCAAGCTACTGTTAGCCAAGATTTTCTAATTCTATTCAAGCCAGTAAGGCTATTGGTATTCAGCTGCCACTTTAGATCTACAAAGTTGTAATCTAGCTCATCCATCTTGGAAATCTAAACCAATCTGATCTTTTGTGTGATATCAAGATTGTATAAAAGATATGCGAAAAGCACACTAAGCACTTACCATGTAATATATTTTCAATTTCACAACATTTAAAGAAATGTCATCCAACTTCAACTCATGTACTTTCTATCTCTAGGTATTTATTGGGCTTGGTTTCCCATATGAAGGTCCTGCCCCACTGGAAGCTATAGCCAATGGTTGTGTGTTTATAAATCCACGCTTTGTTCCCGCACACAGTAGCAGAAATAACAAGTTTTTCCAGGGAAAGCCAACTTCTAGAGAGGTATGTTTACAATGAAAATAATGTCAATGTATTTCTTAATAGTTAGATTTATTTATTACCACCTGTCTCGTACTACCACCTGCTATTTCTATTATTACCACCTGATATTTCTATTATTACCACCTGATATTTCTATTATTACCACCTGATATTTTTCTATTATTACCACCTGATATTTCTTTTATTACCACCTGCTATTTCTGTTTGCAGGTTACCAGTCAGCACCCATACGCTGAGGAATTTATAAAAGAGCCTCATACTTATACTATAAACATAGGGGACCCTGAGGAAGTAGAAAGAACAATAAAAAAAATAAATGACCAGCCTCAGGTGAGTCTCTTAATGCAGGTGCAGTAAAACCAGTGTAAGTGGTATCCCTTTAAGAAGACTTTGGTGTTCCACTTGTACAGGTTCAGTTAACAGTAATATAAGGGCACTGTTTTTATGTTACCACCACAAAGGGTGACATATTGTTACAGTCTCCAACTTTTTGTGGACGTTCAATATTTGACATCTGTATCAAATGGCAGGTAGTTATATTTTGCATGTTAATGTCTTGTTTTATTTGAGACTTTTCCACTAGCCAGGTTTTACTGTATTAATGATCACCACAAATGTATGTGCAATGGTCTCAGTTGCCTCTCAACCTTAAGATCGGAAATATTTGAAGGCTGCAATATCAACAAAAAGTAGTATAAAAATAGGTCTCCATCAAAAAAACAGAAAGAAGTTACATGATTAAAAAATTAAATGTTTGAATAGTTTTCATATTATTTTGAACAGATTTTTATCCCACTTTGAAGAAGTGCTATATTGCCGTCGTCTTGTGCTGATGGACATTGGATTGGTCAACTTCAGGGGATGCATTTACAGGTTTAAAGATAACCTTTAAACATTTTCTTTATCTTATACGTATATTGGTCAATTTCAGGTGGATGCATTCCTACCATTTGAGTTCACAGAAGCTGGCATGTTACAGAGGATGAATGCTTATATAAAAAACCAGGACTTTTGTCGTGGCTCTGCCATTTGGCCTCCAGAAAGTGCTATAGAAATTGTGCCATCCAGTGTAGGGGAGTCCTGCAAAGAGGCTTGTTTTAAAAAAGGTACGTCCGAATTTTTACTTATTTATGCTAAAATTATGTCACTACGCCGAAATGTTGAGGTATTGTTCTGTCCGCCATTTTTTATGACCCCTGATTGGCTGCAGCATTTGTAACAAATGTTACACTTTTTAAATGCAACCAGGCGGTGACATTACATCAGGTTAATGCCTTATTAGGTAATATTTGAGCACACAACTGCGTATAACGCAATGAATGAAAAATGTTTTACCAGAATATAAAGCATAACTTAACCATTGAAAATTAGGCTTGATAATCTTATCTTTGTGTGATCATCTTTATGTATTTCTGTGTAAATTAAAATATTTTGAAATATTTTTGATAAAGCTTGGAGGATAAGTGGTGAAACATTGAAAAAATATTAGTCTTTAAAGTGAATGAACTTACAAACATAATTCTTGTTTTTCAGATCTCTTTAGTTAACTTTAGTTAATTTATCTTTTATATCATGATGTACAAACATAATTCTTGTTTTTCAGATCTCATTTGTGAGCCTTCGCACTTTAAAGGCCTTAACACACAGCTTAATCTAGAGAAACATTTTGATATTACATGTAAAAGTGTAGATCGCCAGGAAGATATATTCTACCCTGCTTATAATAAGGCATACGGGACATGTGGTCTACAGGCCCAAGATCTTTTGTTCAGTTGTGTAGGTGACTCTCCAGATTTAGCACGTCTATGTCCGTGTAGGAACTATATAAAACAACAATGGGCTTTATGTAAAACATGCTTATGATCCAGGCATACCTAGGTTAACAAATTTTCCATGACTGCTTTTTGTTCAGTTGTGTAGGGGACTCTCCTGAGTCCAGATTCAGCACGTCTATATCCATGTCGGAGCAATGTAAAACAATTGTGGGCTTATGAACCAGGCATACCTAGTTTAACAAATTTCTAGGTTAACAAACAATGGATAGAATCCATGGATGGTATTAGTCAGTACCACCTATGGACAGTTAATGTTTGTAAGGTGACTGGGTGACATGGTTGTGCAGGCCTGTAGCCAGCTTTTGCCAAGGGTGGTTCACTTTTCAAAATATTCTGGTGGGGTTCATATCTGACAACTTTGGCCCAGAATCACTTGAAGGGTGCTCAGAATGGTGAAAAACTATGATTTTGTGCTAGAATTTTGGCCCAGAATCACTTGAAAGGTGCTCAGAATGGTGAAAAACTATGATTTTGTGCTAGAACTTTGGCCCAGAATCACTTGAAAGGTGCTCAGAATGGTGAAAAACTATGATTTTGTGCTAGAACTCCCCCCCCCCCCCCCCCCCTGGTTACAGACCTGTGTTATATTATCCTGAAAAAATTATAGTATTTTTTATTATTACTACCCTCTGATAGAGTTCAATAGGTTTAAATGAGGATCATCTCTTATTCAAAGAGGGTAGATGATGCCCTTTTATTGAAGGGTACTGCTGTACACTATAAACATGGTGCCGTGTAACAGGACTAAATGCCATATAGCACCATGTTGTACTATTATACCAAAATAACATTTGGAGATCTGATTGCCATGTTTGAGTTATTTAACTGTGAGAGGATGATTGGATCCCTTGATTCCCACCAGACGAAAGCATTTACAGTAACAGTACCGTACCGTACATTAAGAGTATGGTACCGCACATGTACTGTTTTAGTTACAGTACTATATGGTAGCATTTTTACGGTATCTTACAGGACCATAGCCAAAATGGTACCATAGGTTAGTATTGGAGATTGGCTGTGTGTGTACCCATTGACAATAATATGAGATGGCCACAGAAAAATGCTCTTTGAGAAAGTTGTGCATATTCTTGGTAGAAAGTATGTAGTATTACAATTTGTGCGCTTGCCACTAGCACTCCCAGGTATTGAAAAGGCATCAATATAGTTACAAGTATTCAGGAGAATTTGAGCATTAACATGCAGCATTATAACCCCCTGGAATTATTGACTCTCACAATTAGCTAATACAGTAGAAAAGTAATCCCCAGGGGGTGATAATTTTACGTTTTTTGAAAACTGTGCCATGTAATGACAGGTATTACCTTGGACGAAGCTCTCTATTGGAGATTTTGAAATCGTATGAATGTAAAAACATGGGTGTTTTTTCCCAGTATGGAGCTTCTATTGTAAGGTAGCATATGTTGCATATTTAATATGAGATAAGATTTATTGAGCTTCGGATTTTAAATGCATAAACCTAACATAGGTGTTTTTGCACCTGTATGGTGCTTCTTTTGTAAGGTAGAATTTGTATCTAAAATGAGATAAGATTTATTGAATATCAGATATTGAAGGCATTAACATAACATGTGTATTTTGCACCTGTATGGAGCTTCTATTGTAAGGTAGGATTTGTATCGAATATGAGATGATATATTGAACGTCAGATTCAATAAACATTACATCTGTACATCAGGCATTATTCTTTTAGATATGATGAAAATGTAAGGAATGTATGTTTATTTATTGTACTATTTTCTATTGTATTTTGTATTTTCTTAGTGTGTAAACACTGATGCAATATATCTACTGTTAACTTTCTCAATTTGGTAGATGACTTTTTCATTGATTTTAAATTACACGGGTAGGATCCGATAGATTATAGAGCCTCTTTATAACATGTGTTTTGTTCATATGAAATGTTGATCTAATCGGGCCATCATATTTCTATAATCTTTCGTCTACTACCTGAACATCATGTAAATATTAATAGTTGAAAATGGCTGATTTTCAATTGAGAAATGTAAATGTATACCAAATGAAAACCGTCCTTGAAAGATAGTGAAACAGTGAGAGAATATGGAGTGTGTTTTTCTACAAAAGTGAAATTGTTCTTTAGTGCTCACCACTATGCTTGTCATTCTTCCTAATGGGGAAACACAGCAATAATAATTTTAAGTTATTTAAGCTGAGATTTCAAACTACCTTGTCTGAAATATATATTCAACAATATTTATAATATTTTATATGCCATAAATTTGCTTTCAATTTCAAAAAATATTATTTTTAGAAAAATCGTAATTATATTTTGAGCAGTTGCTTTGTAATGATGTAATACATTTTTAAACTGACCAAAAATTCACAAAAGCACAAGGTTTTATTATAAACAGAGCATTTCAAAAATGTTGAACGTTTTGTAGAATGCATTTCCAGAGATTAAAGATCAGTTTCAACTTAGTACTAATTAAATGCATAGATTTTAATGTTGTAGTACGTTATACAGAAAACTGTATGTAAGACATGATTAAGTCACATTATTTCACCATGGTTACCTGAACAAGACATCTTTATACAATTAGTTTGCTTAGTGGTATTTGATTTTACCGTGCCAATGCTTGTAGAAAACGAGATTTATTAACAAACATGATTTTAAGATAATTTAAGAAAATGCTGATTTTTATGATAGGCTTTTAACCTTGATTTAAGTAAATGCTCGGGTATTTAAAGGTAATGGCAGGATATTACATGTGTACTTGTACTGTTCTTTTACTTCATATGTCCATTTTCTACTTGTTTGTACTGGTGCACATTACATGTCAAATGCCGAATAAAGTATATTTACAAGTGACAAAGATGTTCTGTTATGTTTCCTGAATTGAAGATCTAAGATTCAGAATTAAAAAGGTTCATGATGTGAGAGGTTGAGTAGCACTACATGGGGGCTTCAGCTGTTGAGTAACAACGTGCGAGCTGTTGAGTTGCAACGCGTGAGTGATTGGCGATGTCTCAGTGACTGAGTAGTAATGATATGCTAAGTAACAATATGAGAGTTTCTATGAATGTTCATCTCTCTGGTAGTAATGTACTACAGTATTAACAAAGTTGTTGATTTTCTTTCTCAGAGATATTTATTTTTCGTTTTGACGTTTCGTAGGATGTCCATCCTACTTCTTCAGAAATAAAATTATATTTGAATCAAACTGAAATAATTAATTATTACATAACAATGAGACAAATAGCAACCGTTACTATAGAAAACTTCATTGATGTTACAATTAAAAAATTATTGAGAAAATTAGCAACCGTTACCATTAAAAACTTCAATGAAAAATTAAAATTAAAAATTTTTGTAAGAAAATCTCTGAGAAAGAAAATCAACAACTTTGCCTAATATGAGAGTTGTTGAGTAGCAATGGCTGAGTGTTGGGTAGCAACCCTCGAGGGGTCGAGTTGTAGTATGTAGGAGGTTTAGTTGTAACGTGTAAATGGTCGAGTAGCAATTTATGAGAGGTGTAATAATATCTGCAGTGGCTGAGTAACGTATAAATGGTTAAGTTGGAATGCTAAAGAAAGGCAGATCTTACAGTATGACATTTTGATTTAATATTGTTTATTTAACACCAGCCTAAATTAAAGTAAATATATATTTTTTATTTGATTTGAATAATAGGAGTCGAGGAGTTGAGTCTAGTGGTGTTTCGTAATTAGACACAATTGTAAAGATATTCCGTATAGGCCAACTACTGAACTCTTCGTATGTAATGGTCACAGTCAAGATCATGGTCACATCGAAGGTCAAGTGTGGCGAAATCAAATTTACAAAAGCGGCCGTAAATGATCTGTCTATTGTCATTTGTTTTTTAGCTACTATTCGTTTAGGCATTGACATGGTCGTCACGAAATAAATTCAATATCAAGTTGAATATTTCACGAAAAATTGTAAAGCAAAGGTATACAATATACATCAACCTGGCCTCAGCTGGCGACTCTTATCGGCAGAGCAACTGAAGCCTCTGTCACATTTGATCTACGGTAACCACACGGCGTCCGATTCTCAAATTCGAGAGAAATGCAGCATAAAATGTAGGGATAAGCGGTACGATGTAGATTTGAGTTTATAAAGCTACTCCTACCGTACGCCGCCGTAAAGCAAATGTGACTGAAGCTTTACTCAGTCCAGCAGTCGTTTGAGCCAAGCATTCTATGATGCACTCGCATTTACGCAATCGTATGTCATCTATTCAAATCTTCTGATTCGCATAACAGTTTCCAAATTATAGTTTTGCATCAATTCCTCATCATAATGATCAATTAGGTCTCCCCATACAAAGCATTCTCTGTTCTTACATTGATCGAGCATGTATGGTCCGTTAAGGTTAGAAATTCCGCAATCACTATACCACCATCCGGATTTAGCGTCCTCCGCACAATGATACCAGTAAGAATCGTCTTGGTCTTTACCCTTCGTGGAGAAATACATATCTTTGTTTGTCGAAAACGAACTTTCCACGTTGAAACCATCACCCGCGTTCCCGCCAAGGAACGTTCCTAATCTCATCATGTACCCTCCAAATTCTGATTCAATCTTGAAGTCGTCATAAGCTGACGTGGCCCAAGAGTTGTCGGGAAGCTTGATATCAACTCGTAGCTGATGTTTCCCGGTGGACGTCAGATGGTATATGTGCTCATTTCCAAGCCAATGTTCCCCGGCGGGATTGCCGAAGCCTTCTCTGTATTCCACCCAGTCCTTGTTGAAGTCGACCGATCCATCTTCTCGCCTTTGAATGACGGTCCAACCACCATCTGCATCGTGTTTACAGTAGGCCTGGAACTGGTCCGCGGAAGAGTTAGGCTTGATGCGATAAATACCGTTTTGAGTAAAACCCAATGCATTGTAGCCACTGCAATCTGAAAGGGGATACCATCATTAACAGAGGTTTAGGTTATGTCACTAACATTGTCTCAAAATAATGACATTCATTTAAAAAATCAACTAACTGATAAACATATCTGAAGGATCGAAACTTTCAGTACTTCACAATTAATAACACACGCAAGTAGCAATAATGGCGATTCATATTCAGTTTGTCCTCCCTCATGTGACACTTAAACATACCTATTGGGACTGTATTCGGCTGAACGGGTGTTTTCATCCTTTTGGGAGTCGCCTTCTTCGTTGGTTCGACCGTAGTAGTTGTAAGCGTGGTTGTTATCATTCTTTCGATGGGTTTGCGGGTCTTTGGCTTGGTTGGCCTTCTTGGTGTCGTCTTCTTCTTTGGTGTGGTTGGTGTCCTTTTTGTGGTTGGTTTTTGAGGTTTCTTCTTTTGGCGTTTGGTTGATGGTTTACGAGGCTTTAAGGTTGTGGCTTCGACCAAACGGTATGACGTTGTTGTTTCAACTGGACCATAACTTGCTGTAACGGAGTTCTCTGTCTCTTTTTCTGATTCAAAGCGTTCGCGTTTCGCTCTTGCGTTCATGTCTATCACAAGGTTGTTGATATGTCTATTCATATGTTCCCGTTGGCGTTCCCCTTCTATTATCTTCTTGTACATAGTTTCACGTTTTTGCAAGTCATCTTGTAATCTCAATGCCAGACTTTCTCTTTCTGATATTGCATCCCGTAAGTTAAACTCTAGTGATCGTCTGTGTTCAATTTCCTTTGCCAGATCATCCCTCAACGTCGCAAGCATGCTCATCATGTTGCTTTGTACACTATTCTTTTCACTAAGTGTACTCTGTATTTTATTTTCCAATTCCTTCGTCATGTCTTCTTTCATTTTTACAACCAAGTTGGTCATGTTATTTTTCAATTTTGACGTTTGTTGAACTTTGTTTGTTAAGTATCTAGCCCTGGCTTTTTGTTCTCCAAGTTTAACAACGATAGTGTCAACATTATCTTCTAGTTTTATCACAAGTTTTGATAATTGTTTACGCTCATTGTTCTCTGTACTTACTTGTTGATCTAACTGCTTTATCATATCTTCCTGTTTCTTTACGACTTTGCTTAGGTTTGCGTTCTTCTCTTCTTCCGATGATAACCTCTCCTCAAGAACTCCTCTCATTTTGTGCTCGTTGTATAACCTCATCATTAAATCCTGGGTTTTGTTCTTATGATCGCTCTTCATATCTTTCAGCTTCTCTGTCATGTTGTACAACGACTCTTCCATGTGTTTGGTCTTTATCTTTTGATCACTCAGATGGAATTCCAAAGTATCATCAAACTTCTTTTTAATCATCCTCTCTGAGACCTGTTCGATAATATTCTCTTGGTCAACTTCGTTGAATTTTTCTTCGAGGTCTTCAAGGACAGAAGACTGCTTTTTCTTGATATCATGCACGAGTGTCGTGAGCTGCAACATTGCACTTTGAATGTGTAGGTATTTCTCATGTTGTTCTCCAAGTTGGGCTTCAATGTCGCTGAGCTTTCTAGTTGACGGCAACCTTGGTTGTTCTCGTTTTATTTCATTACTATCTTTGGTTATGTTGCTTATTAGTCCCTCAAAATGGCGCAGTTGTTGCATATGTTTTGACTTCAATAAATAGACATCTTGTTGAAGTTCATCAACGTTTTCTTGTATCTTAACAAGTTTATCTTGGAGGTTATTTATTTCAGCTTTGACCTCAAACACGTCATTCTGATTATGAGTTTGAGTGAGACGACTCATCTGCTGCTCCAGGTCATCCATCAACTGCTGTTTACGATGATAAGCTCGGTTCAATCGCATTTCTAGCGCATGCGCGTCTTCTAGGTATGAAGATTGGAGTGTTTCTATCTTCCTGGAGATATTCCCAAGCATCTTTTCAATACCTTGTATCTTATTTCCCTGTATCTGCATTTGCTGGCTCGATGCCGCCTGTGTTTGGACTCCCATTGCTGTTGTCATTTGATTCCTTAAACGCTCCCTTTCTACTTCCTCGTCCTTTATGGCGTTCCATATATTGTTAACCTCAAGTTCATGGTCTCTTTTTAAATGTTCAACTTGTTGTTTTAAAATCGGCACAGCGTTGTCATAGGTATTGGAACGGGCAATTTCAGCGTCTTTAAAGTGCCTTTGCAATGCGTTGTCTACCTTCCCCTTTAATGCAATATGGCTCAGGTTTAACAGCGTTATATTGTAATCCAGATCGCTACATGATTTGTCTAAATGCGGGCAATTGTACGGACCGGTAGCTCTAGCTGGTTGGTTTTCCACACGCGCCATTTTATCCCGGAGTTTATCTACCTCACTAGAAAGTGTCATTCTTTGGCTGCGTTCTATAATAAATCTCGTTCTCAAGCCTTCAATTTCAGTTTTATCCTTAAGAAGAATTTTATCAATTCGGGAGGATACATTGGTTATTGCTTGTTCCAGAAAGCCCAAACGTCTCCCATGCAATTGTACATCGACGCTCATGTTATAAAACAAGCGTCGTTGGTCTACTCGAGGAAAATCACCAGAATCGGGGCCTTGTCCCTGATAATCGCTTGGGCGTGACAGACTTTCAAAATCAACGCTTGGAGTCGCCTGTGTGCTTTCAAAATCAAATGGGTAACGTTCGCGCGACTTTCGATTGTTTTTTAACCAAACTTGGTTCACTTTAAAGCTTTCACTTGTTCCCAGTCGTTTATTCAATTCCTCTGTGATTAATGCGTGTTCTTCTCGAAGTTGCTTTATTTCCTCAGATGTGTTCAGAAATAACCTTTGCAAATGAAGTCCTAATTTGGGGATCTCAGCGATCGCTTCTTTTTTCTCGTTCAGAAAACGACGTAAGCCTAAGCTTTCCGACATATCAAGTAAAATCCGTTCGTGATATTTCTGTCGTTCTACCAATTCGTTGTTGAGCCTTTCTTGGAGACGCACAAGTCGGGCGTTTGTATCATCATCACGGGCGCTACGTCCCGAGCCCCCACCATGCCCCCCGCCACAATTCATCGATCCCATTCTATCCTCGACGGTAAAGCTATACGTGCATCTTTGGCGGGACCCATATTCATAATCCGATTGTCGATGACTCGTACTCGCAATTGCTTCTATGAACTGTTTCTCGTCGTCATTACCAGGTATATCAAGCGTCATATCATCGATGCCTTTGATACATACTGCGATTGTCGCAAAACACAATACATTGAGAACACCGAACATTCTACCGGACCTATCCAGATTGACCTCCCAACTGAGCATCAAAACACTGAACGTATCCGAGATCTGAAGTCATTTAGGTTAACGGTACTTAAAAAGTCCTAATTAATAGCATGCAAGGATAAACAATCGGACTACTAAAGGATGATAATGCTATCATTGGTACAATTCTTGTTTAAAGTGGAGATAGATAAAATTGTTATAACGTTTTCCAGACCACCCGTCTTGCTACGAGAAAATATTAAGAGCATACAGACTAGTGCATTTAAAAGTTCAGAAAAGGTTTTATCCCTGTCGGGCAAATGGGCAGAAAAATGAGTTCCTTAAAAATTCGGTTCCCTTTGACACTGAGATGTTTCCATTGAATGTTTCATTAAAACCAGTCTTGACTATTGCGATATGAATGATGCAAGGGCGACGCCGCAAATGTGTGTTATCAATAGTTTATAAGTTGATGGTCCGATCAGGCCATTGCTAGATCCTTTTACAAATTACCAAGTTCATTTTGGTATTCGGGTTATAATATCACAAGTATCTATTTCCATTATACCCTTGCAAAATATCTAAACGAGATCTTCATACTACTAATTAAAGAGGACTTGGCATTCAGTACATTCAGACTTACGCTCTCGGGAAAATTGGGATGTGGAAAAGTAATTGTGATCCGCGTTTTTTGGCAGGGATAAAAAAGACAAAATGAAATCTCCAGTTTAAGAACCCCTTTTGTATTTTAACCAATTTTGATTGATTTTAGATATGCTCAGTAACATACTAGTACATGTATTTCTAATGATTAACGCTTGATCAACTAGTGTTCTTCTGAAAAGATGAGAGTTCAGCAAGGGTGTATTTTTAAATGCGATTTTTATCCCATGGACCAAAAACATTGCATATATAAGTACAAAAACCCATCTGTTGCGGGCAATCACTAATTTAATTCCTTTGTTGTCTCTACCTGGTATTTTCTAATTCATATTTTTTCTTCGGCACCATTGGGGATCATCAAATAGCCATGTTATCCTCATGGGGGTATCAAGAAATCCTCTTTTGTCTCAGGAGAATGAGTCTTAACTAATATATGTCTCAATAGGGAACATGGGGCAAAACGGCCATATCTCAATAGGGAACATGGGGCAAAACGGCCATAGTAAGGAACCCTTTTTTGAACGCCTCCAGAATAGAATCAATTGGTTTAAAATAAGGTATATTGTTTTTTCTACAGTATATGTATTTTCAATTCTAATTGGTTGAAATGGGGGTTCTTAAATAGGATGTTTTAGCCTGATCGAGGCAAAAAACTAAATAAATCGTCAAGCCAAACTAAATTACAATAAGTTAAAACATATATTTAGCATCAACAAAAAAACAGACAAAATAATTTAATTTTTATTCGCAGCGTCCCATTCAGCAATCGTCCTTTCCCAGTCGCTCAGGCTCATGCGGTATGTGATATCAGACTCCGTGTTGATTTCGACACCGTTCACGAAATACCATGGTGTGCTGGCCACGCCTCCTGTAAAGCATTAATTTTTTGTTTTTAATAAAACAATATTTCAAGAATTAACATATATGCAACATACAATTACACATAGTTACATTGTTTAATACGAGGGGTGATCCAAAAGTCTTGGACGCCCTGCTTTCATTTTGTATCTGTACAGTTTTTCATTTTCAAAATATGCACATGTGTTACCTGTTTTGTCTTGATTTAAAATTTTTATGAAGTTGTTATGTTCATTTTATAAGGCTATAGGGAGAAATAGAAAACTGTCACAATTTGAAATTGTATTTTGGATCATGTCATCCCTTGTCTACCCTAGTTGGACTTCGCAGATCTCGAAAAGAGAGCTCCGTTTACAATTTGTGAATATTATGCTAGCTTTGGGACCCTCTGGATATTCCTTATCATGCCTCAAAATTCAAGATTTTCATACATTTACATTGACACTTATCAATTTGAAGAACTAATGCACCACGGATATTATTTTATATTTTATGGAATAAAAGAACATATTGCCCAGAGTTCGGCACTCAAAAAGATCAAGGGTCTGTGTAAGTGAAGACGTTTCGTTTACTAATTCAAGTAATGATCTCCTTGCAAAATTGATGGTAATGCTTCAGTTGTATACAGTGAACGTTTTGAACTCTCCAATCAGTCTGTAATTAATGACTCTACTATAAACACACAGATGATAGCGCTATTGTAGTTCCTGGTTTGAAATTCACACATAGCTAGGCAAGGTGTGTCCGATTCTAGCCAATTAGAACACGCTATTTCATTTAACTGAATTGCTTTATATAACCAACATCCCACCCAAGGTCATTAGTAGATTCTAGTGAAACAAATGAAACCGATAAGCTGATCAATTTCATAGTTGGGTAAAATTTCATGTACCGCATCACAAAGAACAACAAGCTAAGTGCTTATGCAAGTCAAATGATAAGTGTTGAATGGTTATCAAGGTGACAACTTGACCCGACAGGTTGAAATTGATACTTTGCCAACCAGACCCTTACAAAACGTTTTCTTTTAATGATTTCGTATCTTTGAGGTAATATCTAAATATTTTGCAATGTGTGACCCTTAAGCCCAAGACTCAATGATTTGTGCATTGTTTTTAAACAAATCACTCAGTGCTGCGCATCTCGTGAAAAGTTTGAAACAACACCCTAGAGGAATGATTCAGTCCTCAATCCATTAGGTCCATGCAGGGCTTAAATCCTTAATTGAATAACCGGCGATTTTCTTTTATTCTTACGTCTGCCTGCCTGTTGCCAAGCGTCCTTTGCATCTTGGAAGTATTTTTCAAAGTTTGCTACAAAACTTTCTTCGGAAATTCCAGTTGCCTCAGCTTGGATTTCAGCCAGATGCCTGAAACAAACATTTTAATAAAACTTAAATTGCCATTTGTCATTCTGTGTATCTCAAAAAACTTGAATTGCATCAGTGATAGATTTATTGACATTATTGTATCATGGGCTTTGTAGAGTAGGAAACCCATGCTTGTACAGAGTGGAGCAGAAAAGAAACTAGTATTAAGAAATCGTCAAAATATTTTCTCAAAACAATATTATTAATAGTAGTTGACATATGAGACATTACAAGCAAAAAAACAGGATTCGAAGTAAGAATAAAACAAACCAGAACAACCAATAGTAAAATGAAATTGACAAATCTCAAAATCCGAAATAAGGTCATGCTGTCTTCTGATTGGTCAGGAAGGTGAATAACTTACTCAATAGTTTCGGCTCTAGTGAACTGCTCGGCGATTCCATTGGAGAGTAGAATAATCCCTTCATCATACATAATGTCCATGTATTTTGTGATATTTTCAGGTGCCTTATCAAGGACTTGCATGTAACCCTAAAATAATGGAGGTAACGATCAGATGTACGCTCCCCTCAAATACTTTGGCAATCCCGACTGCTTCCCATAGGATGTTAAAGCCTGCTTCTATTTGGCTTTTAAACGCGATCCAAAAGTTGAGTTTATGTTGCCAAACCTTTGGACGGAAGTGTAATTACAAGAAAGCAAACAAAAATTGTGAATTTTAATGAAATATTTTTGTGCATTATGAAATAGTAAAATTTTAAATGAAGAAAATACCGGTGTATTTGGATATTAAAAAGTAAATTACACTTTGTTCTATACCTGTACAGTTACAAAACCATTTGTGTGGAAGATCAATGGGAATGGGAGAAGGGTGTAACGAAGCTTCTTGGGGCCATACATCTGGACAAGTTGCTTCAATATTTTGTATTGGCTTGAGGATCCTGGGCAGAGTGGTTCCACATACATCTCGATATGGTACTGGGCGTCACTATCACCGCTGTAGACGTAACCTGGTAGCTGTCTGGGCACTCTCAGTACCTGTTATTTAAAATGAATTCATCTACATCAATAATATGCAAAAGAAAAATACTAGTAAGCCCATTTAGAGTAGATACGGTAAAACCTGTCTTAGTGAACACCCCCCTCTCTCTCTCTAGTGAACACCTGTCTCTAGTGGACACGCTTCCTCCGCACATACTCAACTGACTTTTAAAATTACTCTCTCTGAAGTGAATGAGCCCTGTTTGTAAGACATGAATAACCTACCTGGGGTCTTGTGTTGACAGGTGCAGGGGTTGGTCTGGGTGTTTGTGTAGTAGATGGTCCTACTGTCGTTGCATTAGTGAATGTAGGTTGTTCCTTGGTAGTTTTCACATTCGAGGCGGTAGATTTTGTCATTGGTTCAGTTGTTGTCTTTGGTGGAACAGCTGTGGTAAAGTTACCCTCGTCATTCTATAAAATGCAGCAAAATGGATCTTGACCAATGCATATTCGATCATAGCATGCGAAACGCAGGCACGTATGTAATAAATGTGATCTGGTTATTATTATTACTATTATATCTTGGTTACCGCCATATTTGGCGAGCAATACCTCATTGGTATATTCCGTATTTACGTATTTTACACTCGAAGATAGAGCCAGAAACCCCTCCTTGGAGGAGCCCTGTGTTCTTTTATGTGCACAGGTACACAGACATACAGGTACACACCACAGCCTTTTATACGAGTCGTGAACCACTCAGTCAAACACCCAGAATTACATAACGCACAAACAAACTTGTCTGAACCGGGAATCGAACCCGGGGCCAAGCGATATTGGTAACCTTGACTCTCTCTGCCACTGAGCCATAGCGGGTGGACGATCTATATCGGTAATACAGAAACAACATAAAGTACTAAAATATGGCAGCATGAAAATATTTGGGTTCCATTACGATAGACATAATTTATTCATTATTATTTTCTGCATGGCTGTAAGCACTCCTATTGGATGTATCTGTGTATTATATGAGTTTGAAAATAGAGAAAAGTTTACCAATGCAAAGTTTGATCCTTCGTACGATCGGACAAACTGGTTGAGAAGTCTGGTCCATTCAGCAAAGCCAACAACTTTGTCGGCAGGCTTTATCATATCAACGCCATTAAGGAAGAACCATGGGCCATCCGCAACACCTCCTGTGTAGAGAAAGAAATGTGGCATAAGATGATGTGCGATAGATACAGTTATGTGTTGGTGAATCTCCCTTTTTATTGCGGTCTCGTTTTGATCTCTGGCTTCTGTATTAGTATTGCCCTGCATCGTGCGTTTATGTTGCCCCCCTCCCCCGTCCTCCGTGTTATCTTACATAGTGCAAAGTGAGGGAAGAGCTTGGGTGAGACGATGACAGAGACTAACAACTATTGATGTTGTGGGCATTTTGAAAATGAGAACAATATGAGATTTCTAATTATACTCACGTCTAACTGCATACTTCCACTGGGCCATAGCGGTCCCTCTAAACCTCTCGAAGTATGCATCGAAATAGAAAGCGGGCAGTCCCGTCACCTCTTGGAAAATAAGTGAAAATTTCCTACAAAGAAAGGGTTAATTCCCGTATCATTGCCGAATAAACCTGATGGGCGATGCACCCCCAGTTTGTAATAGTGATCAGATTCAGATGAAATTAAAATAAAATTAACATGCAAAATGTCCCCTACTTCCATTCGTTACAGACACCAACCGAAGAACGCCGAAAACCAATCGCCAAACTCCGACACCGTCCACAAAAATTGCATTAAACAAGTACAACCGATGGCGAAACAATCCCAAGTAACTCAAAACCAATTCATCCCCTTTCTAAACAGACACATTCGTCTTCTTCGGTTACACAGACACTAACTTCATCATCCATATCATAATAACCATTTCCAAAACCTTACTTTGTTATTTGTTCGGTTGTATATTTGTTAGCTGCCTCATCTGTGAATTCATCAGCACGTGACATGACTGTCTCGAGGAATGCAAGGGAGTTGGCTGGACTGAGACTGTTCACGACGAAGAATGCCTGAAGAAATCGTGCAAATATTTAAAGCTATAAACTTAACAAAAACTCATTGAGTAACCCTTTGGTGAATTCCTCATCCCTTTGGATATGCTATATCTACATTACTCTCCATTAGTTTGACAGCCAGATAGCGTGAAAAAAGCCTATTCTTGTTTGAATATAAATTTTGTTCCTAACTAAAATGTTTTCAAACTTTTGGAGGGGAGTGTAAATGGTCAAACGTATGCGCTAATCGTTTACATGCAAAACCAAAGCTACGGGAAATATTGTCATGCATATGAAAATGAAATGCTCAATTAAGTTCCTACACATGAATCAAATTGATCCATTTTGATTGACTTTGTATATGCGATGTACAGATTCAAAAAGAAATGACGAAGTTAGTATGCCCCTAGTATGAACTAGAATGGATACCACGGGGGTAAAGCAGACCCGATGATGCAATGAGCTTGCTCGGCGGCATCATGACTGTGTAACGGGTCTTAATGTATAAGTGTGCTCGGCGGTAGGTTCAAACAACGCGGATCCTCAAAGCATGTGCTCATGGTATATTCGTGTTTTAACACCCGTGGATACGCCATATTAAAATGATTACCTGCACTGCTGGGAAGGAACTTCTTCGATAGGATACGGGATGTACAAAGTACTTGAGGGACATGGTTCCACGCCCGTAATTTGCCGCCAGTTGCTTCATCACAGTCCAAGTCGCATTTGAAACTGGACTAACTGGATCTAAAAACACCTCCATTCTTATGTTGGCAGATTCTTCATTTTGGTAGTAAAACTGAGGTTCCCTGATCCAAAGAGGAACTACTTGACACTGCGCAACGGCAATGGAGGCAAGAAGTAAAGCAACAATCATATTTTATGTTTCAGGTGGATCCCTCAGTGTCAAATCTATGTATAAAGTGAACATCCGTGGCAATGAATTGAATTATATACAATATCTTATCAAGTTTTGATACGAACGTTAGATAACTGGTAGATGAGGACAGCACATGTGGTGCGTTCGTACCACGTGAACATAATCATACTCATCCTTTCAATCGTAACAAGGGACTTCACGGTGGACAATCAAATCGAAGACGCAGCCACCGACTGCGACTCCCGTAACTTTTCACCGCAGTACAGCGCCAAAATGGAGAGATACTTAATTTGGAAGACCAAAATGAACTGACAATGGATAGCATGAGATTTTTCAATGGAGAAATAATTTTCCAAATTTCTGCCTTGCACATCGGTGAAAAAACGGAGAAATCCAGGTGTACTATAAATGTTATTTAGTGTCTGTTTGGAGACGAAGAGATTACTCTGTATACATTGTTCATATGTTGCTGAGAAAATAAGCAGAGACAACAGAAGGGTACACTTATTATTTAGGACATCTTGAAAATATAAGAAGTAAGGTTCTTCCATGCTAAATATTAAGGTAGAGAGGCGGGATGGGACTTATTTGACACCCTGTATAGACCAAATATTTGCAGAACGGGCGTTTAGACGTGATAAAGGTCTAGGAGGCAATTATATTTTATTTTTTGGGCGAAACTCGTTTCATTTTGACCACATTCACACAAATCTTCCTCTGGCCGTGGTTGCGTTCAGTTCAGGTTTATTCATAAAGAGACACTGAGACACTATTCGAAACACCGATTTTCTCAAAATCATATATGTTGATCACTGCTTTTGGGATCATTACATACCCACCCTATTGAGTTTGGATTTATCGCTATTTTGCAGCAATGTTGCGTTGTAGGCTCGTGTTGGATTACGCGAGTCACAGTCCGCGACTGTGTCTTCGATTTGATTGTCCACCGTGGAATTGTTATATCATGTGTTTGGAGTTGAAACCATGTGCTTTGTTGAAAGCCCATGGTGAAACGCACTATTTAAAGTTGCAGACAATTATCGGCATATTGCGAAGAAAGAAATATAAAAATATATCGAATGTTTTTGGTTTTACTTTTTATGTAATACAATGTGTACAAAACTCATATAGGACTAAATATATGTCAATGGTATATCTACGAAGGGCTTTAAAAGCAACTATTAAAGTCATTTGTTAACTCATGGTGCATTGTGTATGTTAACTACTAGATATAGTACAAGTCGTTGAACTAAAAACACAGTTTTTAATAGAATCGTCCCAGACTGTTCCATTAGGGCAGGATTGTTCGTATAGTGTTGTTCCAACGCATTGTACGTAGCCACTGCATGTTCGACAAGATTGATAGTTGCCCGTGGCAAGGCCGATACAGTCGGTTACCCCTTGTGTTCCTGTGTTGGGGTCAATGCATCCCTGGTTGTTTCCTCTTATGGGCCCTGTTAAGTAAAAGTAATGAAAGGGTGTTATTTTATGTCTCATATCGCTAAATAAATGTAAGAATAAGTTAAGAACCAAGTATGGTACCGTATTTGTAAGTTCGAAGGGAACGTTTCAAAAATGGTATTACTACAGCTTTATCCTTAATTGATCTTTAATAAGTCTTGCTTTAAGTCTTTGTGTCCCCAGATCTCCACAATAGGACGGAGGTAAAATAAGAAGGATGGCTAGTTTAGCTACGAGTCGTTGTGAGCCTTCCCCACTACACATCTCCTGTGTGAGGTGTGTATTCAAGTAGTGGGAGGATAGGGGTCACAGGGGCTTGTAGCTAAAGAAGGGAGTTCTCAAGAGACTTGATGCAAGACACAAACTTACCGTTCCTAAATCATTTATGTTAGTGATTTGGATTAAAACATATGATTCATTTTAATTCCTATATACACTTACTGATGATAGGTAGTGATAAAGACACTCGTGAGCTATATACAATACAATATACAAAACTGTATTTAGAGTAATTCAGGAAATGTTACAAAGATGATCTGCCAAGGATTGGCCACGATATGTAGTATTTAGTTGTCAGTTAAGAACCGTTTGTTAAGTTCAAGATTGGCTTAATAAAGAGAAGGAGGAGACAAGAATACAAAGTTCAATCCTCCAAGGTATAGACACCTGGAATACCATGAAGATGGGTGCACTGGAGAATCCCTATGTTGAGGTTACGGGTGATAGAAAGAATGTTCATCAAAAAGATGGCACTGCCATCAATCTGGTTCAAGTAATAGAACTACACTACTGCCATCTTTATATCGATCTAAAACCTATGGCACAATCGTTAATCGTTAGTGTTAGTCCTTCTGTGAAATGGTGTTACTGTTTATAATATTGGAGTAAGCGTCTCCCATTAGTACTTGTTAATTGTCGTGTTATCCATAGCTTCTACGACGCATTTCCTTACCTTGGCACGTGGTTGATTGTGTACTGCATGATTTAAATTCATCGTCCCAAACTAAACCCACGGGGCAATCAACGGTGTACAACCTGTTGAAAACACATATTACAAAACTGGTACAGGTATCGCATGCCTGATGTCCTCCGGTCAAACCGAAACACCAATCAATTCCCCTGGCGCCCGTTGAACATTTGAACGTTGTGGTCTCTATAGTAGATATGGGCTTAGATGTTGTCATTGTTTGGTCAATATCTTCAGGTGCTGTTTGTGGTGATGATGACGGTGACTCGGACACATCCACAGATGCTGAAGGTGATGATGATAATATTGATGACTGTAACGGAACTACTGACGTTTGTGAAGGAACTATAGATGACTGCATAGAACCCATGGAAGATAGCGAAGGATCAATAACGGTTTGCGAAGGAGCTATAGATAATTGTGAATGAGTTATAGTTGACTGTGAAAAGGATAGGCTTGATTGTGAATGAACAATAGACGACTGAGGCGAAATTATAGCTGACTGTGAAGAAACTATAGATGACCGTGAAGGAAATATAAATGACTGTGAAGGAATAACAGCTGACAGTGAAGGAACTATAGATGACTTTGAAGGTATAACAATTGTCTGTGAAGGAACTATAGATGATTGTGAAATAAGGGTAAATGCAAGAGAATTTGAAATGGGTGTGGTTACTATTATCGACGGGGATACTATTTCAACTGTTGATGTACCAAATGATGCAGTTGAGTTGGGTGACATCGAGTTTATTGATGTTACTATTTGTGTAGTTGATTGTGTTTCTGTAGTAGGGGCCGTTGCATCCTCGAGAAAAGCATTATCAGGTGGAAGCTCAGTGGTAAGATTCCTCTCAGGGAAGTTATCATCGGTGGTCGTGTTTTGATATTCATCAATAGTGGAGTCTTCAAATGTGACTGTATTCGTATCTATAGTTGTTTCATTTAACACGTTTGTGTCATTTGTAGAGGTCATCTCTGTTGAATTCAGATCAATGGCACTTGTCTGAATTGTTGTCCTGTTTGGGCTTGTTGTGGTAGTATCAGATGATTGTTCAGCAGAATAGGAAGAGGAACGATTGGCGATTGGGCCAGTGGATGTTATATCAGGGAGGTCAGTGACACTTACACTCGTTGATGGTCTTGGTGTGCTGGTCAGTTCGGCTGCACCCGTGCCTTGTATGTCAGCATAGTCTATTCCATTGCATTCATCGCTATCGCAGAAGCACCACTGCGTGGTCCAAGGGGAGCCTACGTCAGTTCCGTTGACACAGCCCGAGTTTGTGTAGTCAGCTAGTGCAGGCCATCCATCTGCACATCCTCGGTACACAGCTTTGCAATAAGACAACAATAGCAATGATAATTGAGAATAATACATTTTACAGGTTGTCACCACGGTGGCTATATAACTATATGTCACAATTGTGGTGAAATAGAATTGATATTTTAAAGGGTATAATTCTAAACTTTGAATTGATACAAAAATTTGATTGTGAATCCATTGATGAATCACCATTAGTTGGTCTAGACATTCTTAATAACCCTATAATAAAATTATCATAATGACATTTGATGTTTTATTTTGAACCATACCACCATCCTTGTCTTCTCTGATAAAGCATTTCTTGCTTGAACACTCTGTTTTTGAGACAATTGATTTGTGATCGTCTGCAATACCAAATCGTCTGCAAACATCCCACCAGCTTGAGCAGTCGTAGCAGAAGACATGGTCAGCACCACCGGTCTTTGTTAAGTTGGCATCAAGGACTGTAGTAGTGTCCACGTTGTTGTCTATCATTGCCGTGGCCATAGTTCCATCGGTTACATCACCAATTGTTCCATCGTTATTATTATGGTCACCATCTTGCATGCTGTGTGTATCTCCTTGATTGTGCATGTCGCCCTGTTCCTTCATGTCACCCTGTCCTTGCATGTCACCTTGACCGTTCATGTCACCTTGTCCTTGCATGTTACCCTGTCCCTCCATGTCACCTTGGCCGTTCATGTCACCTTGTCCTTGCATGTTACCCTGTCCCTCCATGTCACCTTGGCCGTTCATGTCACCTTGTCCTTGCATGTTTCCCTGTCCCTCCATGTCACCTTGGCCGTTCATGTCACCCTGTCCTTGCATGTTACCTTGACCTTGCATATCAATTTGATCTTGATCAACGTCATTAACGTCATTTTCAGTATCCACATAGTCGTACATATCATCAAGCTCAGTGCCGCCTAAATCTAGAATCAAATTGTTAAAACCAGTTGTTATTCTTATCATCAATTATATACAAAAATCAGTGTTACAATCAAAAATTGATTATATGATTTAAGAGTTTACCTTTGAAACTTTGTCCATTGCAAAACCCTCCGTTGCAGAAACACCATTGATCCACCCAACCATAGGGAGTGAATGACCCGGAGACACACCCCTCTTCCGTAAACATGTCAAGTCCAGGAAAATGATCGGCACATCCTCTATAGTACACTGAAACAGAAGTTTTTATAGACAATGCACTGATCCATTATTTGAAAGATTTTACGAAGAAAGTACTTTGATATGATGTCAACCTGACCCCTATCATATCACCTTGAACTTGCATAACATGATGTATATCCAGACACTGGATGTCACCCTAACCTTTCATGTCATCGTGTCATTCTGACCTTGCATGTCACTGTAACCGTTCATGTCATTCGGACACTGCACGCCACATATTGATTATGAAAACAATCAAGAGCGATTCAATAACTGAAGACACTCGCTGTAAACAAAGAACTGAACTCACCCGGCATATTTGTCTCGAACTGTCTCCTGATGAAACATCTACCAGATGGGCAGGACTCACTGGCAACCCACGGTCGCACCTCATCTCGAATGGCTCCCTTCATACACACGCCCTCCCACCAACTACTACATGAGAAACATTCGTTGGAACCACCTGAAACAAAAGCGTGGGTGTAGTTAGGTATGAAGCAGGTAGTTGCCCAAATCTTTACGGAAATTTATTTATTAGTTTCTCAGTTTTTTTTTATGAATAAAGGTGTGTCTCTGCTGATCTTGACCTCCCAATATTAAACAACGGTACATCCAAGGAGGCTGCATTTCTATGCAAGATACTGGGTTATTGTGCCATGGTGGTATTCTCTTGTGAAAAAATCGATGACAACTGGAATAAAGTCCATATAGTCATTGCATACCATGGACTTTAATCCCCATTACCAACAGTCATTGACGTAGGTGTATTAAAATGTTACCACATCATTTTAGAATTCGATGAGATAACGCGAACGTCATAAATGAGTAATGATGACATGAGTGAGTCGAGACCGGAGGCAGGTTGCGCAAAGTCTGCCCCCCCCTACATGAGTGTGTGGGGGTACATACTAGAGCCTACTAGTACTACAACCTTATACCTGGTGCACGTTAGTCCCGGTGTAAAAGGGTAGGAGGTCCTTTCAAATTATGGTCCTACTTTCCATTGGTTTATATGGCGACCTAAATACAACTCTTTCCCTCATTATCGTATCCACAATCAGGGCCAGTGAGGGCCTTTAAGAAAGGGGATCATAATCCCCAGGGGACCATAATTTATTTTACATCGGGAGCAAGCTCTTTGTGCGAAATCTAAGTTCGGTTTTGTCTGTAGATACACAAAATCCCCCCCCCCCCCCTACATAATTTAAGTGTGTAGAGGTGTTTCATACTTGATGCAAGTGTCCCAGGAGCAATGTAAATTCTGAGACAATGTTGTCAGTAGATGCATAAAGGTGAGTTTAACCTGGCTAACCTTTACATACATCAAGGAGGATTGGAAGCCAGGGTTCCAACTCGATATTCTTTAATCTCCACGCATGCGTCATTTGCTATTCGTGTCTGTATAATTTGTACGACTGCATGGAGAATGACCCGATACTCTCCAACAAAGCTATCGCTAGGTGATTGTTTTGCAGAATATCGGTGTTGCATTCTGGGAGCCAATCCTCTTTGACATACATTGCACTTTACAACCTGCCGCATATATTGCACCATCTGTGAGGTCACGTGCCTCTAAATAACTCATTAATAGCGCTCATCATAATTAATTGTTTAATAATTGTTTATTATATCAAAGGTCTCGAGATGGTGAGGTCAAGTTCACCTTCCAAAATAACCGTTACGTAAACCAAAACATTAAGAATCAAACAAAATTAGGTACTTTGGTACAGTTACACATTTTGGATAATCACCCTCATTTTTGCTAAGATGATTTTTCATTTAAAAGTTCGTTCAGAGAAAGAGAGCAACGTTCCAAAATAGTATCAAATTAGAATGGTTCAGTAACGTTAACTTTATGTTTATCACACACTGGTATAGACTTTACGATATTGAAGCAAAACCAACCATTTTAGAATTTTCCTCATGAATAAAATGTAGATTCCCAAAAAATTCTGCATTTTAAATCTTTAATCAATGAGTCTAACGATAATCTTTGACAAAATGTCTTTTGAGATATTTTATATTTGGAATGGTAAGTGATTGGCTGAGAAATCGAGGATGTTTCTAGCCACCATCGCCTATATCTTAGATTAAAGCTTAGAGAGACGTTGTCAGTTAGCGATGACAATAGTACCTTTAATAAACTTGTCATAGGGGGATGTAATTCATTAAAGATATTCTTATATTACAATACCATTTTGCTCTGTCATGCGTTTTTCCCGAAGTGTATTCGGTCTCACAATCGCTCCATTCACTGCAGCAGCCAGTAACATAAACGTCATAACCCTCAGTTTCCTGAAAGTGTTAGTGTATAATAAGAACTAGCTAAAAATCTTGTTGCTTTAAATGGCCCTTTTATTTTGGGCCTAAAATGGGCCTTTGGACCCCGTTGTCTAAAATAGAAAAATAGGCCAATTTATATAAAAGTGGTTTTGGAATTTTCAAAACACGAACCAAATATATTTTTTTACATTGCACAGCTTTGTTTTTACATTTTTATTTACTGAAATCACTAGTTACCAATAGAATAGATTTGGGTAGCATTCGCGAATTCAACTGACGGCTGACGGATTAACCGTTGTTTTTATGACCAACTCATTTAAACATGAAGAGTACCTGCTACTATTCGTATTCAAGTAAATGAGTTTGCCCTAAAATAGTGGCAAATCCTTTTGCCGTCGGTTGGATTCGCGAATGCCTAAGCTTGTACATACTCGTTTCCCAGTTTGATTTTCAATCACACTGGTTATGAACACATCATACCTTGGAAATCCAAGATGAAGCTTGTATTCGCGAATACAACTGACGCCTGTCGGCTACCCGTTTAACGTACTATTTCATTGGAAACTCATTTCAATATGAATAGTACCTGCCAATATTCAATTTATATTTAAATGAGTTTATCATAAAATACCAGGCTAATCCGGTAGCCGCCAGGCGTTAGTTGCATTTACGAATACACTGTTATATTAGCCAAACATTCTTTCAGTTACAAATTGAATAGACTATATTTGTCAATATATATACGTTATATAAAATTATTCCTGGGATTATTTGTAAAGTTTTTATCCATTAAAATACCAAAGAAGTATTAATTTTTTGAATTAAAACAAAAGTATTAAACACTTTATTTCAGTTGCCTGCGGAAAAAGCCACAATTCAAATTAAGTTAAGAAAACCCATTTACCTATACAAAAATAATAAATAAGCCAAAATACTAAATAAAAAGGTTAAAACTTACATTTTTTATTTCTGGTGTTATCCTATCGAAAGCTACGAAAATATTATTCTCTTCCAAGTTTGATGATGACACAGAGACTATATATTCTCTCATAATTGTTGAAGTACATTTGGTAGCTAGCCAGGATTGCTCCATTTTCGTTCCCTTATAATTAGTCTTAATTGTTACACATGTAAACCCGGCGCTCTGATCCGGATAGCATAGTTTTGGGATGACGATAATTTGGACCTCAGTCAATAGACTTTGCATACATACAAGTATAAAATGCTCAAATCGAATTAACTAAATAATGAATGTTAAACTTCAATTAAATGATTAAAAGCAATTATCAAATCAGTATTTTTAGGTCAAATATGTTTATATTCAGGATCCAGACAAACGTTATATAACTTAAATCGAAAACTGTAGTTATAGAATTAATACCAAAATATCAGTAATACATAGTGATTGTAATGGCCTAGTCACATAGCCCGGCCGATGTCTGGCATCGGTAGAGCTCGGTGGATTTTTTTGGTGCCACCGAACTCTCCTTATCGGAAGTAGAGCTCGGTGACGTGAACGGACTCCGTCCGGACATCTTCAGGCGACCGACCGAACACCGGCCGGTGACCGTACGGAGTCTGTCTCAAAATGGTAGTTTTTTTCTGCCGATGTGGCAGCAACTACCGGCCGGAGGTCGGCCGGACATCGGAAGGAATACGGCCGGTACCCGAGCAGGTAACAGGACACCGTGCGATCGCCGGCCGGGTTGTTAACGGGCTTTGAACAGTGACCGGCCGATGCTCTGTCCCACATCGGCCGGAGCTCGGTCGGAGCTCGGCCGCTGTCCGTTAAAAAACCTCGTCCTCTGGTTGTCTCAGATGCACGGGACACCGGCCGATACTCGGCCGTGCACCGGCCGACGTGTTTTCCGATGTGGTTACGATGGGGCTGCGATGACATGATGAGGGAGCTCGGTGAGAGCCCGGTGAAATTTAACTCCGAAGTTAAAATTTCACCGAGCTACCACCGATGCGGTTTTAAGCAACAAACGCCACGGATGTCCGGCCGGTGTTCGGCCGAGTTCGGTGAAAATTGCATCGCTGGCTCATCGTAACCTCATCGGCCGGGCTATGTGACTAGGCCATAAAACAGCACAATGAGCAACGCCTATAAACACAAAAATATAAAAACAAAGGACATATATTTTCCATGACTTGTTAGCCTTAGAGGCTGATTTTCCATGAAGACTTTTTCGTGAGATAATTTCTTGTCAGAGAAACATTCGATCGGATGAACAGATGCCATATCAAGTTAAAACCTTTTATCTTTCTAGCTAGTAATACAACATTCTGATACAGTACACATCGCATCGTGAGATATCACAGCCTTCTCTCAGTTTCCTTCTTGTGCATAGCAGAGATGGTCTGAGTATCAGAATGTACACATCGCATCTAAAAACAGTCCTGTCTGGCCCCTAAAACCCAAAAGTGGGCTCAAATTTTGAAACTTTGAGGCCCATTTTCTTCAAAGGCCTGTGATGCAAGAAGAGAGGGCCATGGTATTCCATTATGATAAAACAACTCATCTTGCGTGTAAAGCGGACAGCTAATGCGTATATTTTGTGTGAGAATCGAACAACGAACACGACCTGTGAAATCGTTGCCAACTTTGCGTGGGAAATGTGTTTTAGCCCTGCATTTATCAAACATTCACGATATTATAAATCATAACAAAAACTATACACCAGAACAACATCAAAACATAACTCAACTATAGAGACAAAATTTATTCAGAAATATTTTAGTCCCCGTGTACAGTTTGAAAATATTTTTTATCATTCATTTACTATTTGTCATGACTTTAAAAAAGAAATTGGGGAAAAAAAGTTGTGAGCATTTCATTTCTCAAATATTCAAATTTCCCGTCATTTTTCAAAAAAAGTTAAAAAATTTTATTCATCAAAAAAAATGTTTTAACACCAATGCAAAGATTGAACAAAGGACACTCTATTTCAATAATAAAATGCCATATTTAATTGGCCACTCCAATGTTTTAGCATATCAAAAATATTTTGCAACATTAGTGATGTCATTATGACTCACTCGGGTGGCAAAAATTTTTTGAAGAAAATTGAAAAAAAAATTCTATGTCAATCTTTTCTTATATGCTAAACGTCAATAATAAACCAATGTTTATTGTCTAACCAGGTTAAAAGGGAGAATATAAATGTTTTAGATATCATTGTACCATTGGTTTCTATGAGAACTAAAATTTGGAAATGCATTTTTCTCTGAATCATTTTTTATGCACTGATAAGTTCATTTCTCGCTTTTTATGATTATTTTTTTCGACAAAAAAACATGCGAGGATGAATGCTATGCATTGGTATGAATCGTGACTTACTAAAAGATACGTGTGACCTCTAAAAGTTAGTTTTGAATAAATTCACGTTTTTTGAACAAAAAGTCCTTCAAAAATCACTTTTTGAAATTAAAAAAAAGGTTTCACATATCACACTTTGATAACATTGGGTAAGACTACAATATAAGCCAAAGGACTTTAACAACAAAAGATGTCAGCCTTTTATCAGTACTTTTTTGCTCTATAATAGAGAGATACATTGCATGAAGTCATATTACTATCCAATCCACCTAAAAACAAGTGATTTGGAGGGGGGAAATCATTCTTGGTGAAAGGAACATTAGAATTGATCCATACATTTTTATATGTAACATATTTTTGCGAGACACCATTTCAATTCACTGCTTATAACTGTTACTCGGGGTGGAAAATTTTCTAAGAGGCTCCGTTAAGGAAAAAATGACTTTATGAGCTGGATGGAATTTCTGTGTATTTTTTATTCTATTAGGGTGTCCTGCATAAAGGATTTCGCCTGCGAAGCATATAACTCTTGCGAACATATCTAAATACTGGTCCGAAGAAGACATACCTTGAATTTTTTAGAAAAAATTGGCTAAAAATGGAAACTACAAGAAGTCAAAATGTTCAACTCAAACAAAGTTGTAGCTATTCTAAATCAATATTTTGTGTTATGTAAGGTTTCTCAGATGTTTCAAGACCTTCATTAGTATACTTGTGTCTAGAAATGTGACATTTAAGGACAAAATTTGGCATTTTTAATCATTTTCGCTTTCAGCATTAACATATAGTTCCTTATATCTCAAGTTTAATGCTGACTGGTTGTTGCATTTTTGATTAAATCTGTGCTTGTACATATGTTCTTCCATTTAAGGTGTAGAAAATGTATAGTAGACAACCATTGTTCATATGAGAGCTTTCAGATCTCCCCTACCCCATTTATTATGGAAAATAACCGAAAAATATGAAAAAATAAAATAACTTGAAATTATAAACTTTAACAAAGTTGTAGCTATTCTATGTCAATATTATGTGTTATTTAATGTTTTTAAGATATTTCAGAACCTATAGCGGTATACAAGTGGCTAGAAATGAGACATTTAAGGACAAAACTTGGCATTTTTTTTATCATTTTCGCTTTCAGCAGTAATATATAGTTCCTCATATCTTGAGTTTTATGCTGTCTGATTGTTGCATTTTCAATCAAATCTGTTCTTGTGCATGTCTTCTTCCATTTAAGGTATAGAAAATGTATAGTAGACAAACAATGTTCATATTAGAGCTTTCAGATCTCCCCTACCCCATCAATTATGGAAAATAAACAAGAAATATAAAAAAATAAAATAACTTGAAATTATAGACTTTCATAAAGTTGTAGCTATTCTATTATCAATATTATGTGTTATTTAATATTTTTAAGATTTTTCAGAACTTTTATTGGTATTCAAGTGGCTAGAAATGAGACATTTAAGGACAAAACTTGGCATTTTTTAATCAATGCTGCTTTCAGCAGTAACATATAGATCCTCATATCTTGAGTTTTATGCTGACTGGTTGATACATTTTGGATTAAATCTGTTCTTGTACATGTTTTATTCCATTTAAGGTACTGAAAATGTATAGTAGACAAACAATGTTCATATTAGAGCTTTCAGTTCTCCCCTACCCCATTTATTAGGGAAGATGACTGGAAAATATAAAAAATAACTTCAAACTACCAGTATAAACTTTAACAAAGATGTAACTATTCTTTATGTGTTATTGATTGCTATAATTAATGTTTCAGGACCTTCATTAGTATTCTAGTGTAGAGAAATTAGACATTTAAGAACAAAATTTGGCATTTTTCATCATTTCCACTGTTAGCAATAACATATAGTTCCTTATATCTTGAGTTTTATGCTGATTGGTTGATGGATTCTTGATCAAATCTGTTCTTTTGCCTGCCTACTTTGATTTAAGGTATTTAAAAATGTATATTGGAAAGCCTGTCATTATATTAGAGCTTACATATCTCCCCTACCCCATTTATTTTGAAAAAATAACCAGAAATATAAAAACCAAACAATTTCAAAGTATAGACTTTAACAAAGTTGTCGCTATTCTAGATCAATACTATGTATTATTTGATATTTTTCAGATGTGTCAGGAACTTCATGAGTATACAAGTCTAAAAATTAGACATTTAAAGTTGAGTTGCAAATGGGGCGGGTATTCTCTATCTTTGTCCATTGGGCTTTTCTGGTTATGATATGTTGCAAACTGCTCATGAATCTATGCAATGTATAGTACAATACTTGGAATATATTTAAAAATAATGGGGTACTGTGATAATTATAACCAGTGATCAAGCCATATTGGTTGAATTCCCTCATATCAAATGCAATGTTGTCAAATGCTTAGTGATTTCCATATTACACCTAAGGGTGGTGTAATTAGGAAGTTCATGATAGATATATTGGGCTTGGGGATATTTTGGTAAATGTAAACATTGTGAAATGAAGAACAGCCAACAAGATGATTTTGGAAAGGATTACAAAATGGTAAACATGGTAAAGCTGTCTTTGGTTTGTGAAGCAATGTTACTGTATCTCTAAAATGGGATGAATTTCACTTATGGCAGAGCTGCTATTGAACTTTGCAAAACTGATAGTTGCAACTTATCTATCAAATACTGATCATGAAGAAGTTGACACTCTCCTTATGGCCCATGTCTATTACAGTGCTGCAGACAAGACAAAGGAGTTCAATGTTGAGAGAATTTGTATTCAGTCTGATGATACAGAATGTTGCTTGCAAAGAAGGATGAGAGTTGAAAGAGCTCTTAAAGTTTCTTATGTCCTTCAAGGTAGCATTCTAAATTACTATATGAATCTCAAAGTGCAATACCTATTTGAAGATATATCAAAGATGGGTGTCTTGTACCAGTACTCACAAACAAACCTTGTAGCAACACAAGAAACATATGTCCTTGGCAATTCGCAAATGTAAAATGGCAAAAGGCAGCGAAAATTGCTATACAAAGTTTCTAGTCAAGGGTGTATTGCTACTTGTCCATGTGGCAATAAACAACATAGTGAACATTGTTGGACAATATTTAAGAATGAGTTTCTCAGAACTATAAAAATTATTTAGAGATCTTACATATCTGAATAGCTTGTGGTGTCATGAGCAACTTAGACCTTTAAAATGCTTCCTAGTCAACTGGTACCCAAGACAAGTCGTACCCAAGATAACTGGTACCCAAGACAACTCGTACCCAAGATAACTGGTACCCAAGATAACTCGTACCCAAGTTTTTTCCAGTATTATGGGTGCATATTAGGAAAACAAATTGAGTTTGTATAATTATGTTTTCATGTTATAATGTGACTCAAATAAGCCTCAATATTTTTTTGAATTTAGAAGACATTTTTTCTCAATGGATTAAGTAAAGCATTTTTATTTAACTTGAATCACCTTTTTACTAATAAAACAAGTGCTTGAAGTGCTTGTTCACATCATTTTTTGCCAAACATATATATAAATAAATATAATTACAACAGTGACTTTTCTACAAATGAATCAAACAATTAATTTGAGCATTTTGAGAAAGTTTAAAGGAAGTTTAATCTGTTAATTTTTTCCAATTGGAACTAAATTGGATTATGCACATGCATACTAAGTGTATGAATAAGTACCAAAATAATATTTGATATTATTAATATTATACTATATTATTACTTGTATACTATTATTATATTATTCAAAATATTTTATTGCTAAATTGCATGAATATGACTTCTGATAATATGAAATCCTAGACAAATAGATTATCTGTTTAATAAGAAATTAGGCCCACGATTTGATGAATCAATACATTTATAATAATACCATCTTCCAAGATGAATTAAATCTGACACTTGTTCCAAACACTCATAAACATACAATATTTAAAAAAATGATTATGAATGTGTGGAATAAACATATATCTCTTCACTCGAACATCCAATATAAAATAATAGTCAAAATAAATTGACACTCAAAGCTCAAAATGTTACAAAATTATATCAATTTCTTCTGAAAATTCTTCAAACTTCTGAACAGTATGTTACAGTTATAATATGTATATCTTTACACATTCCCAGTCCAACACTTGATTCAAAACAAAATATATGCTTGGGTACGACTTGTCTTGGGTACCAGTTGACCAGTTACCTTTAAAATGACTTAAATGCAGCTCTAACATAGAACCAGGGAGATTTGAAAAATCAGGCTGTTGCTGGATTAAGTTCGAGAGTTGTGAACAATCATGTCTATATAAAGACATATCCTTTGATTCATATGAGAGTAAACTGCGAAATTACAAAATTATTTCGCACTATGCTATTTTTGAGTAAAAATATAGTAGTGTAGTAATTTTATCTCTAATATGTATATTTGTGTTTAAAACACATTTTCCATGCTTTGAAGATAACAAGACACATTGTTGAATATATATGATCTAAAATATGTCAACTAATCACCATTCAACTGAAAATATAAACAACTATTGCTGAAAGTGAAACATTGGTCATTTTGCCCATTTATGTGTCATTTTTTGATTTTAGTGTGCTAATAAATATGCTAAACTTTTGAAAAGTTTAAGAATATTATCATGCAATAATAACATTTGTGTTGGTTTTCTCATTTAATGGTGGAGGGCAGATCTTAGACCTCTAATAAAAACATTCGTTGTCTTACATACATTTTCTTTAAGTTAAATCAGAGAAGACAGATTCAATAAAATGAATCTATCATCAAAGAATTATAATTTTGGAAAATTATATGCTACTGCTAAATGCAGAATGCTAAAAATGCCAAATTTTAGACACATGTAATCAAATGAAGGTTACATTAAATAATACATAGTATCGATAGAGAATAGCTACAATTTTGTTATAGTTCATGATTTGAAATTACTTTTTCATTTACATAAATGGGGTAGGGGAGACATGAAAGCTCTCATATGATCAACATTGGTTGTCCAATATACATTTTCTATATCCTAAATGGAAGAAGACATGTACAAGAACAAATTTGACTAAGAATGCACCAACCAGTCAGCATTAAACTCAAGATATAAGGACCTATATGGTATTGCTGAAAGCGAAAATGGTCAAAAAAGCCATGTTTTGTCCTTAAATGTCTCATTTCTAGGCACTAGTTTACCAATAAAGGTTCTGAAATATCTTAAAAACATTAAATAACACATAATATTGATATAGAATAGCTACAACTTTATTAAAGTTTATAGTTTCAAGTTATTTTATATTTTCATATTTTTCTTATATTTTTCATGATAAATGGGGTAGGGGAGATCTGAAAGCTCTAATATGACCATTGGTGGTCCACTATACATTTTCTATACCTTAAATGGAAGAAGACATCTACAAAAACAGATTTTATTACAATTGCAACAACCAGTAAGCATAAAACTCAATATATGAGGAACTATATGTTACTGCTGAAAGCTAAAATGATTTTAAAAAATGCCAAGTTTTGTCCTTAAATGTCTCATTTCTAGGCACTAGTATACCAATAAAGGTTCTGAAATATCTGAAAAACATTAAATAATACATAATATTGATATAGAATAGCTACAACATTGTTAAAGTTTATAAATTCAAGTTATTTTATATTTTCATATGTTTCAGTAATTTTTCATAATAAATGGGGTAGGGGAGATCTGAAAGCTCTAATATGACCATTGGTGGTCCAATATACATTTTTTGTATCTTAAATGGAAGAAGACATGTACAAGCACAGATTTAATCAAAATTGCAACAACCAGTCAACATTAAACTCAAGATATAAGGAACTATATGTTACTGCTGAAAGCGAAAATGATCAAAAATGCCAAATTTTGTCCTTAATTATCTTATTTCTAGACACTAGTACACTAATGAAGGTCCTTAAACATCTGAAAAACATTAAATAATACATAGTGTTAATATTAAATAGCTAGAGTTTTGTTTGAGTTGAACATTTTGACTTTTTGTAGTTTCCATTTTTAGCCAATTTTTTTCTAAAAAATTCAAGGTATGTCTTCCTCGGACCAATATTTAGATATGTTCGCAAGAGTCGTATGCTTCGCAGGCGAAATCCCTTATGCAGGAAATCCTAATAGAACGAAAAATACAGAGAAACTCCATCCAGCTCACAAAGTCATTTTTTGCACAATTCTCACACCTTCCACCCCGAGTATGTATCTATACACTATATAACCTAAGTTGTGCTTTCACTTATGAGCGAAATCTCTCTTATAAATCTTGATGTAAACCGTATGTTCAGTTGAAATTTGAAAAGGTCCATCGTGTGAAGGAAGTGAATATATAGTTATACAATGCAGAGGCGGAAAAAATTCTTTCAAAATCATGCAGTTTTCACCATTTTGAGCACTTCTCGAGTGATTTTAGCCATATTTGGGTCAAATGTGAACCCCCCCCCCTGGAAATTTTTGAAAACTGAACCCCCCTTGGCAAATCCTGGCTACGGGCCTGGGATGCAAATGAAAGAGTGAGTGCAAATAATAGAGGGAGTGCAAATGAAACGTATAGTTGATATTCAAGTGGTGGCCCAAGAAAAGTTATAACTTCGTGATAGTTGTTACTCCACCTTGTTGTTTGAACATGACGTCACCAAGCGGAAATTTTGAAGGTATGTCATTTTTCAAATTGTTTAATGGTTACCAGTTAGATTATTCGGCTATAAATACGTCCGCTAATAGCAATTATATCAGTTCTCCACATGCATTTTAAACTTTGGTTTTAGGTGCTAGCAAATTGAAGTGAGAGAAGATGAAAGTTTTATTTTCTGAAAAAAACTGATTTTTTTGATTTTTCAATTTTTGTCAAGTTAGCCTATACGCTTAGATCTACTAGCCTAGATCTAATCGATATACTATTTAGAGGATAGGATTATAGTTAATGCCCCGAATCAAGTTTTGGACTGACGAGGAGCATGATCAGAAGGTTATTCATTTTACCCAAAAATTGTCGATGAGGCTATTTATCTTATTTTGCCCTATAGCCATTGGCATAGCGTTTAATTGAGTTGGATTTAGCCTAGCCTAGAGTCTACTGAACAAACTGTCTCCGACATATTTTTTTTTTTCAAATTTCCTGCCACCTTTGAAAACTTGTGTCGTAATTCAGTTTGAATATTTGAGTGGAAATTTTCTAGCGATAAATCAAAATGGCAGTTTTGACAGAAATTCACAAAGCAGCATTCAAAATCTCCAAACCTTTCCAAATGAATTTTAAAAATTCCTGAGCTTCCCATATGGAAATCACTTGAGATTTTCAGCTCTGCTTCGTAAATCTCTGTCAAAACTACCATTTTGATTTCTCCAGACAGAAAATGCCCACTTTGGGATAAAGGCAAGTCCTGATCGCCAAAGAAGCAGCTGATAACTTACAGACTTTTGGAAACTGGGGATATGTATAGTACATTTGGAGGTGTAATTAACTAGAGTCCATTTCACTGCTTCATTTCGTCAGTAGAACGGCAAAAATAAGAAATTGGGAGACCATTGTGCAATAATATATGGAAAAGTATATTCATAATGTACATGAATGACATTTGTATATCTTCAGTTTCAGCCATCACAATTCACAATTCTAGTGCCCTATAGGGGGTCATCATGATAAATCATGACATCTTATACGGGGTGATCAAAGAGGTACCTTTTTTATTTTACTTTCCATGTGTGCTTTTCAGGATGCTGTTAGATTATGCACCAAAATGAAACCTCGACTTACACCTATCCATTCTCTAACCCCAAGTGGACAAGCTAGTGAAAACAAACATAGTAATACCTATAACACAAAAATTTCACATTCTCATAATGTGACAGAACTGAAGAGAAAATCCTCAGAAAATCGAACTCCCATAACATCAAGAACACTGAAAAGTAGGATTAAGCAAATGTTACAAGGAAATGCTAAAGTTGGCTCCCCACAGTCTAACAAACTACAAAGACTACAGAAAGAGAGTATTGAAGAGGCTATAGCTCAGGCCCAAAAGGATAGACTTGGGGGAACTGAGTATGATATAGGACCTTTTTATGGACTACCATCTAAAGTAGAGGAACTGTTTACCAAACATAGAAAAATAAAATCTTTATATGGTAAGTGCTATTGCCAATTTGTCTCCATCATGTTGAAATCCCTTTGACTTGAAAAAATGATTTTTGAAAATAGAACTTTTTGGAACTATATACCTATTCAATTTATATGATAAAGAATGATGTGATAGCTATGTTAATATATTCCTTAGATATTGTTTTTGAGGACATAAACTGAATTCATATCTGTTTTTCAAATGATTTTTCATCAGTATTAAAAAATGATTAAAAATACAGTCTAAAGTTTGAAAAAAGAAACATTTTTTGTAATATTTAAAATTATCTTTCATGAAATGTTATACACATACTAGACTTTGTTTTTATGGCTTGGCTGGTCTATTCATTTCAAAATATTTCCAAGTAGGTTTCAGTCCTAGATTTGTTAGGTCCAATTCAGATCCATTGAAAGAATACATGTTTTCTGGTTGTTGTAACTATAGAATGGCAGAAAGAATGCCTGAGTCTACCTGCAATACAACAAAGGCAGAACCTGATTTACTCCCTACCAACAAGTGGGGGTAAGACCCTCGTGGCAGAGATTCTTATACTGAGGGAGCTACTCTGTAGGAAGAAAGACACCATGCTCATTCTCCCGTTTGTTTCCATAGTACAAGAAAAGGTACGTTATGTTTCTGGGGTGCATTTCTGTAAACAATATTTAATTGATATTTACCATACCAGTGATCTCCCCAGGATTTTTCTCAGGTGGATGCAAAATTCAAATTTTCACAGTTCAAACCAAAATTGGTCGAAATATGCCAATTTTTCTTGATTTTTCTCAATTTCAAATGGGTGAAAATAGATTTTCAGGTGGGTGCAAGCCTGTTTTCAAAATATCAGGTGGGTGCTGCGCCTACTTGCTTTAATGCTGGGGAGATCACTGCATACTGATATTTGATATAATTTAAGTTTAATAATCTTAATATATGACATCAGAGCTAAGAATGCTTCAAGAATATTCCTGGTTTTACAAATGGATTAATTAACTTTTTTTATTTAGATATACTGGTGTGCATTTACAGAAAAACATTTGTATCACGGGGTACCATCGAATAATTTTGGCAACGTACCGGAGAACGACATTTTACTAAGAAATTTCAATAATTTAGCACAATATATTTTTTAACTAGAGTTCTACTTTGATTTTGACAAAAGTAAGTATTCCATGCAATGGCTATTTCATTCATGAGTTTTTAGAAATTCTGTTGGAACCCAGTTCTGATCAAGTACGAAGTTATTGAAATCGGCGCAGTTGGACTTTACTCCGAAAGATGGTTTTTCGATTATAACTTTTTACAACATTTAAGTATAGACTTTTGAAAAAAGTACAGAATAGTCCTTATACTATTGAATAATTCTGTTATTTCTGATTCACACGACTCTGATTTGTTTAATTAAAAAAAAGTTTTAAAAATATTACTTAGGAACGTAACCGGAGCTGGGAACGTAACCGGTGCAGATCAGTTGAATTATATAATTTAAAAAAATAAAATATATGATTTAAAGCATATATATTAATAAATACGCATTCGAACAATCCCGTATGTTTTTAAATTAGTATATGTGCTTTAAATCATATATTTTAATTTTTTTGATTAAATAATTCAACTGATCTGCTCCGGTTACGTTCCCAGCTCCGGTTACGTTCCTAAGTAATATTTTTAAAACTTTTTTTTTAATTAAACAAATCAGAGTCGTGTGAATCAGAAATAACAGAATTATTCAAAAGTATAAGGACTATTCTGTACTTTTTTCAAAAGTCTATACTTAAATGTTGTGAAAAGTTATAATCGAAAAACCATCTTTCGGAGTAAAGTCCGTCTGCGCCGATTTCAATAACTTCGTACTTGATCAGAACTGGGTTCCAACAGAATTCCTACAAACTCATGAATGAAAAAGTTATTGCATGGAATACTTACTTTTGTCAAAATCAAAATAGAACTCTAGTTAAAAAATATATTGTACTAAATTATTGCCATTTCTTAGTAAAATGTCGTTCTCCGGTACGTTGCCAAAATTATTCGATGGTACCCCGTGTGTATGGTGCATAAAAGGGTGCCCTATTTCCCCTAGTTATGTATTAAGAATTAACAATTTTTCAATTTGCTTTTGGAGTCTATTGTAACCAGCAGATAGGTGTCTTTCAAAGAAAGAGTTAATGCAGTGTATAACTATTGTAAACACCAATATTCTTTACCTCAATATAAAGCCTTTCTCTAGTACTAGGACAGCTGGTACAGTCCTGTAAATGATCCTGACCTATACCTTTAAAGTAAAGTACACTTTAAAGTAGATGAAAATATTTTTGCAGGTTCGTGGTCTGGCACCATTCGCTGTAGACCTAGATTTTCTGGTGGAAGAATATGCAGGGCACAAAGGCCACATGCCACCCAAAATGAGACAGAAAAGCAACTCTCTTTATATATGTACAATGGAGAAAGCAAATGGTTTGGTGAACTGCCTTATAGAGATGGGTAAACTAGACAATATAGGACTTGTAGTCGTAGATGAGGTGTGTATGAAGTTAAAGTGACTTGTCTGAAATAATCTACATGTTTGCAGATTTTATTACTTACTGAATGTGTTTTATGATGGTAAAAAGCAGTACCTTTACAATTATGAAATTTACAACTTATATATCAATATAACAATGTAAGTAATGACATTGGGAGGGGTTGAGGGATCACAGACACTTTTACACTTACACATACACAAAATACACTTTTCAATGATTAAATGAAACAATAATTATACCACTCTAAGTCCGATTACAGTTGTATAACATGGGTCTATAACAACGATATACAGTGGAGAGTGGTATATCGTCATCGTATACAACTCCTCCGTATACACTCCAGCGTATACCACTGTAGAAGTGCATTCTGGGAACTAATGAATAAAAAAATCATGAATCAAGTGACGTCATAAATGGTTCCGGCATGATTTGCTAGAATCAAGCCACGTCATAAATGGTTCGAGATCAATATCAGATATTTTTATGGTTTTTAATTGTTATGATTGTGTTCGAATCAACTGTAATTGAACTTAGAGTGGCATAATAAGATTATATAATGGTTCATTCTGTATATCGTGCATTTTATACTCTCGTGAGAATATTATATATTCACTCGTTCGCTACGCTCACTTGTGAATATATCATATACTCACTCGAGTATAAACACGATATACAGAAAGAACCATTATATAACCTCATATTATATAATGGTTACATTTTTAGTTATATACATAAATAATATACTTTCCTTATGTTTCAATGTAAATTTGATCTCAATACCTTTATATATAAAACATCCCATAATTTTACAATGTACAGATAAATTCAATCTTTATCATAAATCAATGTAATTAACCAACTCATTAATTACATTAATATATTGATTTGATGTGCTTTGTAGTTACATATGTTGGGGGAGGGTGGTAGCAGAGGGGCAGTGCTAGAAATGACCCTTACCAAGCTCATGCATGCCTCAAGTAAGTGCACTGCTTTTATTTTTTTATCCCACCGCACGAAGACTGGTAGGGATATAAAGATGTCCGTCCATTCATTCGTTCATGTGTCCGGGTGATGGATTTGATTCAAATTCTAAAGGCTTGTGCCTTATGGGATTAGCAAATCCCATTGGACATCTAGTGAGTATCAGGCAACACATTTAATGGCCACCATAGATGTATTGCCCCAAAAGATAATGTGTCATTCTTGCATGTATTTACAAAGGCCTATAAATATCAATAAAATCATTCTATCTCCATTTTTCAAATAGCTGCCTTTTTAAGTATGTTGCCAAAAGAAAATGGACCATGCTTCAAAGTAAATACATGTACATATAAAATATCAACTAGATCACTACTGCTTTAAAAGTTATAGTAAAAACCTTAAAATAAGCTACATAAAAATGGCTGCCATTTTTTGATGTGGCAATACATGTAGGTAGAAGTGTAAAATGGACAGGGTATCAGAATTTTCATTACCTATGATGAATACACAAAATTTTATAATTTATTCATCATTATGATTTTTCAATCATCAAAATCAAAAGTGTGATTTGACTTTCAATTTTCCAAATAATATAGGAGAACAACAATCAAACCTTTATCTGTGACTATCCAATTATATTATTTGAATTCAACAATTAGGATATTTTTCATAATATATTTTAAGGGTTCTTACACATGGAAATATCAGGGAATTGTTTTTTGTGTGGCTAACATTGCAAAATTTCCTTACATGAGAAAACAGATGGACTTAGTTCAAATTTGAAAGTTCACTTTGAAAGTTCCAGAAACACTCTCTATATCCCCCTGAACTCTGTTCTCTGGAAACATTAACAAACTATGAGACTATGAATGATATATGAACAGGCTGTGTATTTTATGTTGAATCAAAAATATTGTACATTTAAAAATCCTGACAGTTTCTACTTGTTCAATTTAAGCTGATTGTCAGATTATTGGTATGAGTGCCACACTGAACAACACATCCGACTTGACTAGGTTTCTTCAGGCAGAACTTTACTCGAATAACTTTAGGCCAGTAAGTATATTGTGTTATATATTCAAACATGACAGTTCTCTAATTGAGTCTCTCAACCAATCAGAATGCAGCATAGCCATTCTCTAATTCTCCATACATGAACCAGCATGCATTATGCACATCCAGGAATCTGCATTGTATTGTGGCGTCACATCTAGTTGATGTTGATTGATTTCTCGAAAATAATGAGAAAGAGAACAACTAAAAGAAAACAAACCTGGAGTATGGAGTACCGCACTTGTGAACCCTTTCTTATCATATAATAAATCAGGTATGCAATGCTCGGTTTTGAACATGGGGTATATCCCTCAGGAAATATGATATCTAACCTCGGAACCGCTGGGCCTTGGTAAGATATCTATATTTCCCTCAGGATATACCACATCTTCAAAACCTCCTTAACACCATCATGTATGCTGATCTGGCCATTGTTCTCTTGACTCATACTCATACATACTGTATATAAGAGAATTTTTCTTACATGTTGGGGCATATACCACTCCAGGGTCATCATTGCACATTTTATGTATATATATTAAATGGGTACCAAAGACATGACTCCTTTCAACTTCTTTAACTGTATTTTAGGTGGAACTGACAGAATATGTGAAACTAGAGGACAATATCTTTACTGTGAATGCAGACACCATTATTCCTGATGAGAAACTCAGGCATGATAGAATTGTTTCATACCCAGTAAGCATGTGTTTAATTATGTATTTTTAGAATATTCATTTACTTTTTTTGAATTATCCATCCAGTGAACACTTAAGTATATTTTCATGTTCTGTATTTACATACAGTAAAACCTTTCTCTAGTGAACACCTGTCTCTAGCAGACACCCTTCCTCCACTCATACTCTACTGACTCCTGTATAAATTACCCTCTCTGTAGTGAACACCTTCCAACACTGAACATGAACTCATCCCTAGTGAACACCTGTCTCTAGTAGACACCCTTACTCAGCACATACTCTACTGAATTTTGTATAAACTACCCTCTCTGTAGTGAACACCTTCCAACACTGAATGTTTTTTCTCAGGAAAAAATGTTCAATATACACAGGCTTCACTGTCTATTTTGACATTCTGTAATTACAATTGATGTTTTGTACTTACCCATATTTTGACATTCTGTAATTACATATGTTTTGATGTTCTGTACTTATATACTTCTGTACTATATTTTGATGTATATTTACATATATTTTAGTACACAAGTAAGATGGTGAAGCAAGACCCTGACCATCTATGTGGTCTTGTATCAGAGGTTATACCTGACAAATCATGTCTTGTGTTCTGTTCCACCAAGAAGAATTGTGAGAATGTAGCTGTGCTCCTCTGTGAAATGATGCCAAGGTATGTATTAGCATCATCTCATTAGGGTAACACATAACACAAGGATCAACGTCTCCATTGAAGTACCTGTAGTATCGCTCATTGAAAGACAAATCAAGATTCTAAAACAGTCACTAGTCTTGCTTCAAGACTCCGAAACCCCTGTTGTCCTTACCAACGTGTGTGTGAGAATGTGTGTAGTCAAGTAGTGAGACGGAGGGGGGAGGGGGGGGGGGTCGCGAGGGCTTGTAGCTAAACATTGTATTTTCCACCAATCACAAATACTTTGTATCTATGCTGACTGTGAACACTTGTAGCAAAAAATGTAAAAAGGGTCTTTTTTCAAATTGCTTCATATTGACCAAATCTTTTTTTCAAAATCATCTCCAAGATCTTAAAAGTTCAAATCTGACTTTAGATTTGAGATTTCACCTTCGATGACTTCCTCAAGGTCAAAAAAGGTCAAAAATGTATTTTTTAAACTTGCTTCAAATTGACAATTTTTTTCCCAAAATTATCTACAAGTTCTCAAAAGTTCAAATCTGACTATAGATTTGAGATTTGACTGTCAATCACCTTCTCAGGGTCAAAAATAAGTTTTGACCTTCAATGACCTTCTCAAGGTCAAAAAGGTCAAACAGGTCTTTTTTCATCCTGCTTCAAATTGACCAATATTTTTTTCAAAATCATCTACAAGTTCTCAGAAATTCAAATCTGTGGTGACATTTTGTCATGTTAATGCCTTTGTCTGTTCTTTCTAGACACCTGAAAGGAAGGAATCGCCAGGCTAGAGAGGCTCTGTATAGGACCCTTAAAGAAGAGGGTAATGGCCAGATGTGCCCAGTGTTGAGGAAGACTGTCCCCTATGGGCTCGCTTATCACCACAGTGGGTAAGTCAGGATCGGTTTGATATTCAATTTTAAGTTTTATTTCAGGAATCCATATATTATCTGCTATACCGGCAATATTTTAAGTAAGCTGAGTGGTATTTTACAATTAAAAATAGGTTGACATTACAATTTTTATCTCGTCACCAAAAGTTGTGACATATTGTGTTGTATAGTTTCTAACTTAAACAGTGTTCAGCATTCACTGGTTGGTGTTTGGCATTTGGCGTCTGTGACAAATGGGAGATGGTGACATTTTGCATGTTAATGCCTTGTTTTTGAATCATTTTAAATACTGTGTCAAATATTGCGTTAAAATGAGCAAGTAGTGTCTTTAAGGTATAACAAATATTTGGCCTCGCCTTTGCTTATTATTATTAGAACATCTTTATTTAAACTAGGCGCTGTCGCTGTAACCAAGAGGTTATGAGTTAGAGACAAGTGAACTTATTCTGTTTAAATTCATGTATTATTTTTGATATTGTAGGTTGACAATGGATGAAAGGAAGCTAATAGAGGAGGCTTACTCGGAGGGAACTCTGTGTCTTCTCACATGTACATCTACACTGGCTGCTGGGGTAAATCTGCCAGCTAAACGGTAAAATTAATAAACACAAGGAGCACACGCGTCTCGAACTCACAACCTCGTGGTTACGGCGCCCAATCGCCTAGCCTGAATGTTCCGGCGCTCAAGCCCTCTCGACCAACTCGACAACCCCAGAAAGGTTGTTTTGTTAGTCAATTTGACTAGAGGCAGCTGATGTTAATGCTCAGACACACCAGAGTCATTTATTTTCTATAAATTATTTCTAGTAAACTAATAACATTGAACGCGACACAGAATACTTCTTATATTGCCTAAATGGCTAAATGATCCAATGTTTCAAATGTTGTCCCCTTTGTGAATTTCGTACATGTTTCTCCTCTCAGTGTAATACTAAGGGCACCGTATGTTGGCATGAACTTCCTCCAACGCAGCCAGTACAAACAGATGGTGGGAAGAGCTGGTAGAGCTGGCATTGACACCTCAGGAGAAAGCATTGTTATAGTCAAGAAGAAGGACAAGGAAAAGGTAGTAGTATGGGAGCAAAGGTCATTCCGTTTCCTTTTTAGAGGCGAGCTAAGCGACATATATTTTCATGAACTATACGTGATACTTACCAAGAAAAATGATGTTGGCAATTCTGAATCCGCGACGGCGTTGCTATGGTAACCAAGTCAATATGCCACGCCCACTTTTAGGGGCTATTTTCAGTGTATGGCCCCTATCTCTGTCATTTTTGTTTAGATTTAGATGAAATTCACACCAAATGGAAGCTAATGGATAATGCAATCAGGAAATATTAAGTTGGCAATTCTGGATCCGATATGGCGTTGCTATGGTAACAAAGTAAATATGCCACACCCATTTTTCGGAGCTATTTTCAGTGTTTGGCCCATAACTTAGTCATTATTGCTCAGATTAAGATGAAATTTGCACCAAATGAAAGGTAATAGATAGAGCAATCAGACAGTTTTTAATATATGCAAATATGGTGATTTGCATATCAATTATGACGTCATAACTCTTTGTTCTTGCATATTTTATTTTAATCATAATGTATAGATCTGGTAAATTATTGTCTTTAAAATGGTCCGTATAATGTTTTTAACTAGTCTTGTTTGTTTCTTTTAGTTGAGTTTATTAGTTTATTCCATTCACACATGTATGAGTATGATCATAATAATTGAATAAATAGTATGGAAGTGTTCAATTCACACTGTTGCTTTGGTGACAGCATGCAACAAAACCTCCTGCTGTAAACAAGAATTCTTTAGGAAATGTTACATTTTGACCAGTTGACTAACATGTATTCTTTTTAAAATTTGATGACCGAAAATAATCTAATAACCATAGTTATTAAATTTGGATTTTGTTATATTATGATATCATAATGGCAATTTTTAATTAGGGGCGCAGCCAGCTTTCAGTCAGAAGGGGGCCAGCGATCGTGGCACAGGCAACCAAAAAGTATTTATAAGATAGGTTTTGCATTTTACAAAAATTGATCCAACTTCCTTCAAAATTTAGCAAAAAGCTTCAAGTCGAAAGCCTTCTTTTATCTAATGGTTTTATTTTTTATCGGATATGAGGGGATAGGTGAACCCAGCGCACCCCCCCCCCCCTAAGCACTGCCTATGTTAATCCAACTTGATGTTGCTATGGTAACCATTAGGTGAATATGCTAGGTGAATTAGACGATACATGAATAATGTAGATTGGCTGACTGACAAACTAAGTACCTGTCATGGTATCATAGCTGATTTTTGTGATTATTTTATTGAAATAAGGTAAAATTGCTCAAAATGATTCCTCTGTAACAGACATTGGTACTAACTATCCCATTAATCGCCTAAAACACTTGACAAACATTTTACAAAACACAAATTGTAATACTAAATTTCAGAAATCCCCACGACAATTTCACAAAGATTAGTTTTTGCTTTTTTATCAAGCATGAAACTAAATCGCAGGCGAAACATACCAGGAGTACAGTACCTGTTATGGTATCATAGCTGCTTTTTGTGATTATCTCTTGAAATAAGGTAAAATTGCTCAAAATGATTCCAAATTGGAACCTTGTCCTTTTTTTTTTTTTTTTTTTTTTTATTTATTAAAATCATATAAACATATATACATATAAGTGATAATGACACCCTAATGGGTGTATGTCTTATCACAAGCTAAAATATTTAAAAATGGCATATTGTTAGTTACATTTATTATTGATGTTACAAAGTGTCTCAAAGTATAAATTATGTAAGCCAAACTGGGAAACAAATAAAAATAAAAATGATGTACATTATAAAAGATGTAATAAAACATTTTAATGATGTAGAATAGCTAAATGGAAAAAGGTGCATCTGTTAAAAATTTGTACAGGGTACTAATCATAGAGACTAATTACATGTCTTTTGAAGGCTCGCTTAAAAATAAAAATGGTTTTTGAATTTTTGATAACATCTGGAGTTGAATTCCAGATTATTCCCCCTTGAGTTTTAATACTTCGTTTGCCATAGTTGGTTCTTAATTTGGAAATATGAAGATTGTCAGTCTGTCTTGTATTGTGGTCGTGTACCTGCTGATTTGCTTGAAAATAATTGCAAAATAAGTCATTCGGAAAATTGTATGGACGTTTGATGCATTTGTAAGTAAAGATAAGAACATTGAGTTTATAAATATCATTTATTTTCACACATGACACATTCACCATAAAATGAGGTCAAAGCTGAAAACTATGATTGATTCCATTTCTTTACAAGTATGGAGTATGGAAGCCCCTGATTTAAGATATGCTTTTGGTTTTGAAATCCGATATCCAACCATTCGGTTCAGAATTGGTACAGTTATGTCTACATGACCTAAAAAGATGAAATAGGCAAAAGTATTGACCTATACCATAAAATGATATTATTTTTTATGTTAATTGACGTTGAACATATTTTTCGGATTTCAAAACCATTAGCAGCTATTAATGCCACGATGGGTATGCCAGTCAGTCAATATACATAATCCATGCACTGTCTGATTCTTTAGCTTCAATTTGGTGAATATTTCATACACACTCAAGCTGTAATCATGACAAAGATAGAAGCGAAACTTTGAAAAAGCCCTGAACAGGGGATGGCATATTCACCTTGTTACCATAGCAACATCATATTGGATTAACATAGGCATTACCAGGGGGTGCGATGGGTGCGCCCCCATAAACAAAAAAAAATAGAACCATTAAATAGAAGAAGAGCTTTAAAATCATTTTGACCTGAAGCTTCTAGCTCAGTTTGAAGGAAGGTGCATCAATTTTGTAAAATTCAAAACAAATCTTAAAAACATTTTTGGTTTGCTTATGCCACAAGCGCAATCCCCCTCTCCTGACTGAACGCTGGCTGCACCCCTGATTAATAATTGCCATTATGACATCATAACATAACACAATCCAAATTGAATAATTTTCTATAGTTATAAGATTATTTTCTGTCATCATATTTTAAAAAGAATACATGTGTCAGTCAGCTAGTCAAAATGTAAAATTTCCCAAAGAATTTTTTTTACATCAGATAGTTTTGCTACGTGCTGTTACCATAGCAACAGCATAAATTGGACACTTTCATTACATTTTTGATTCCATCAGTTTTTATAACCATGCAAGTATGAATGAAATAAAATTATAAACTCAACTTAAAGAAATAAACTAATTAATTAGTTAAAAGCATTACTGACTATTTTAAAGACAATAATATCACAGATTAATACATCATGATTAAGATAAAATATGCAAGAACAAACATTTATGACGTCATAATCAATATGCAAATCATCCTATTTGCATAGTTTACTAACTGTCTGATTGCTCTATCTATTACCTTTGATTTGGTGCAAATTTCATCTAAATCTGATCAATAATGAAGAAAATAAGGGCCAAATACTGAAAAGAGCCCCTAAAAGTGGGTGGGGCATATTTACTTTGTTACCATAGCAACGCCATCGTTTATTCAGAATTGTCAACTTAATATATCCTGATTGCATTATCTATTACTTTCAATTTGGTCTGAACTTCATCAAAATCTGAGCAATAATGGTGGAGATGGGGGCCAAACACTGAAAAGAGCCCCTAAAAAATGGGCGTGGCATATTTACTTGGTTACCATAGCAACGGCATCGCAAATTCAGAATTGCCCATAATATTTCTTGATCATACTTTATACGTGTAAAGAAATATAATGTCAATCAATCATTGTTTTCAGCTTTGACCTACTTTTATGGTGAATGTAAAAGGACTAGATACCAATTTGGAATCATCTTGAGCAATTTTACCTTATTTCAAGAAAATAATTTCGAAAACAGCTATGGTAGTCATACCATAACAGGTATATCAGTCTGTCAATCTACATTCCCCATGCATCGTCTGATTCTTTAGTTTCCATTTGATGAAAAGTGCATATACACCAGAGCTATCATCATGACAACTGATAGAATCAAGACTTTGGAAAATACCTGAAAAGTGGGGATGGCATAATCACTTGAATACAACAGCTTAAATAGGGATAGCCAGGTGGTGTGATTGGGCCAACCCCCCCCCCAATTTAGCAATAAAAATAGAACCATTAGAGCAGGAGATCCAAGACGTCATTTCCATTGTTCTTTCGGCAGAAGAACTTTAAAAATGCTTTTGACTTGAAGCTTCTAGCTCAATTTTGAAGGAATTTTTGTAAAATTCAAGTCTGGTTGCGCCCCTGATTAATAATTGCCATTATGACATCATAATATAACACAATCCAAATAATATAATTTTCTATCGTTATTAGGTTATTTTCTGACAGCCATCAAATTTTAAAAGGAATACATGTCAGTCAACTAGTCAAAATGTAACATTTCCCAAAGAATTGTTTTCACAGCAGATAGTTTTGCAACATACTGTTACCATAGCAACAGCTTGAATTGGATATTTTCATTACATTTTTTCAATTTTTATGACCATACATGTATGAATGAAATAAACTAATAAACTCATCGAAAAGAAATGAACTAATTAACTACTTAGGAGCATTACTGACCATTTTAAAGACAATAATTTCCCAGATTTATACATCATGATTAAAATTAAATATGCAAGAACAAACGGTTATGACATCATAATTAATATGTAAATCACCTTATTTGCATATTTTTTAAACCGTTTGATTGCTATTTCCATGACCTTTCATTTGGTACAAATGTCACCTAATTCTGGGCAATATTGACGAAGATAGGGACCAAACACTGAAAAGAGACTCTAAAAGTTGGTGTGGGATATTTACTTTGCTACCATAGCAACGCCATATCGGATTCAGAATTGCCAACTTAATATTTCCTGATTGCATTATCCATTATCTTCCATTTGGTGTGAATTTCATCTAAATCTGAGCAATAATGACAGAGATAGGGGCCATACACTGAAAAGAGCCCCTAAAAGTGGGCGTGGCATATTTACTTGGTTACCATAGCAACGCCGTCGCGGATTCAGAATTGCCAACATTATTTTTCTTGATCAGTATCATTTCTAGTTCATGAAAACATATGTCGTTTAGCTCGCCTCTAAAAAGGACACGGAACCTCTTATTTGGACTTTTGCTCCCACTCTATAGTGTGTTCAGTCATTATGCATTTGGTTTTTTATTTTAATATTGACTGATAAAAATTCTTTCAAAAATACAACATGATACACCGTAAGAAGCCATGATATTCAGAGGGATTATTTAACCCTTAAACGGTGAGGCTTTATAGAATTACACCAACCGATAGAGGGGTGGATCTGCCCCCCCCCCTATGATCTCAAAAATGACCAATCATTGGAGGGTGTGTTGGGCATCATTGGAAAGCTTATTCAATTTTCAGTATTTTGTGAGCTTACTTAAAACTATATTGAGCCATTATTTATGAAATTCATATTCTAAGAACATCGTTTCAAGTCAAAATTACATGTACTGTGGGGTCATAATTTTTTTCGCAAACACCTGCCTAATTCAATTTTAAAAGCCAGAAAGTTTAGGAGCGAAAGACAAATCATGATTTATCAAAACATTCCTTAAACGGTTAGGGAGGGGGGTGCAGAACTGCCCCCCTAACCGTTTAAGGGTTAATACTGGTAATTCTTAAGAGATTTTTTCAATCTGTCGGACCCATTCTTTTTTCATGTTTTATCTGTTCAAAATAAATTCATCTCTTATCCATTGTTATGGGACTGCTTTTACGAAATTAAAACATAAAATCAATAAACTAAGTAATTTCCCCGGGAATTTGGAAAATGTTAATCTGGAAGCGACTGGTCGCACTCTAACTCCACTTATTTGCTATTATGTGAAACACGAGGGGTTCCATTAGCAGCGCAGGCAACAAGTGATTTTCACCGGTTGTTTTCACAAAATCTCCTGTTGTTTTAAGAGACTTTTCAACTTTTCCATGTTAGATTGATGATTTCCATTAACCTTGCCTGTTGTTTCCTTGTTTTCATTTATTTAGCCTGTTGTAAGAAATTCTAATGAAACCCCTGAACACAGCGTTTATTTATTTCAGCTACTAGATCTAATCAGCGGCCCATATGATAGCTGTATGAGTAGCCTTATGTATGACTCTGCCAAGGGAGTTAGGTCATTACTCCTGACAACAATAGGCCTGAAGGTAAAACATCTCTATGTTACACAATTCTTATTACAATCAATAGCATAGATAATAGACATAGTGTCCTAGTTGAGGTTGGCACAAAAAAATAAAAAAGTCCATCATTTTTACTTTGGCAATTAATTGTTTGTATACTTTTGTGAAGTAATGGAATAATATTTCAACCAAACAACATAATTGTTATTATCCCACGATTAATGTGTTATCTGTACAATAACAGCTATTGATATTTCTGATATCATTGAAATTCGTGTGATATTTTCCACAAAATCGTTTATCAAACTCATATGCGTGTGATATCGTTTATCTCACGCATATCCGTGTGATATCACATTTGCATTTCGTACCACAATATTGTTGGAAATTACGTCAGATAATTTATTCTCTTTTGAGAAAATAGGTCCGTTAATTTATTCTCTTTAAGTTTCATTGGTGTATTAAATTACGATTGTGTATATAATTTGATTAGAAGGCTGCTAAATAACGATTAAAAAATTGTATTTATGACGAACTATATCACAAGGTGATCGTAATCATGGGATAAACCCAATATCACATAATTTCTCGTGATATCATTTTATCGCCTCGTAGATATCAAATATCAACACTCACTCGCTTCGCTCACTCGTGTTGATATTTGATATCAACTCGGCGATAAAAAAGATATCACTCAAAATGATGTGATATTCTGTATTTATCAAATGAAGTTTTTGTCATCAGCTAATATTACCAGTTGACCCTATTTATATACCAATTTATAATTCCAGTTGACTGATTATGATATAAATATTATAGCCTGTGCTACTCAGTGGGCTAGTTTCAATCTACAATATTGGTTGCGGACATTTTACATTTGTTACTCCAGCTTACACCTACTATAGAATCTGTGATAGAGCTGATGAGACGTACCTTACTAGACATTCAATCTTCAACATTGGGATTGGACATACCTGATATAACCAAGGATGCACTGCAGTCACTTATTGACCTGGGTAATAAAAAACATTTGTGAAGTTCTACATGTATTATTTTATTCAATCAATAAACTCATTTTCAAGTGGGTGCAAATGGATTTTCAGGTGGGTGTAAGCCTATTTTCAAAATCTCAGGTGGGTGCTGTGCCCACTTGCTTTAATGCTAGGGAGATCACTGAAATAGATCCATATTGATGGAAAATAGTGCACATTTTATTCCTGAAAATTGCATGGAAATGTTAGGTCAAAAAACTTTGTGCAAAATCTCTCAAATATTGCAATTCATCTGTCATCCAAAATAGGCAGAAAACGTGTCACTTTTGTTCACATTGGGCCGAATTTTTCAGATCATGATTATGACTGGTTACCAGAGGTGCAACCTCAGGAAAATTGAACTAAATTATAACATGTTGAATCTACCCCAAACATGAGTTCTTTCAGCTAAATTCCTCTTGTCCAGAATGTATTCTTTACCTTGTAAACACAGTAACATAATTACAGCAATTTACAACAAGGCAAATTAGCATGTTAGCCCCATACAGAAAGGGGAAAATCATTTGAGTTTTTAAATTAATTGAATTTTTTGATTTTAAATTGATTAAGTGCAAGTTACTAACACTCTTAGGTTGTACTTACAACCCATTCTTCAACCCATTCTTTGGCACACATTCTTCAACCCATCTCTAAACAAAATGTAATATTCAGTGTTAGACAAAATATCAAAGTATTCGTATGTATTTTAGGTATGGTCAAGCAAACTAGAACAAGGATAGATGGCTCTGATGATCCCCTGAGTCAGATTACATCACAAAGTCCCATTATTACACATATTGAAGTCACCCGGCTAGGGAAGGCTACTTTTAAAGGTAACCAATCCCTCCTTATAATGTTTTACATGGACAACAGCAAACAAGTTAATATATATTGTGAAACCATGAATATTTTTAAAGTTTTCTATCCTTAACCATCAGTAGTACAATGTGGGTACTTTTATTGCCGAACAGTGAAGTTGTGTTGTTGTATCATTATGCTTTTAGAGTCACTTCTTAGTAAATACTATGATCCACAATTGCCAGATGCACTAATAAAGTTGCTAGAAATCACCTCCGATTTGATTAATTGATATTGAACCTTTATTTCAATATTCTCAATTTCTCAATATCACTTATTAAAGGTGCATAACTCTTTTTCTCCAAATTGACATTATGAAATTAGAATTAGATTAAAACCTCTAGGAAATATGTAACTCCAGATATGTGATACTTTGTGGATGGTGTTTGGTGTTTGATGTTCAGTGTCTGTATCAAATGGCAGGGTAATGCTTTGCATGTTAATGCCTTGTCAAATGTAACTGTTTGTTATCATTTGTAGGCAGTGTTGATATACAGAGGGCTCCCACATTATTTACTGATCTATGCAAAGCACAGAAGTCACTTGTAGTCAGTAACCATCTTCACTTACTCTACCTTGCTACCCCTTATGACTATAGATCAGGTCAACATTGACTGGATGCTATATTTTAACCAGGTACACTTTGAAAGAAAATAATTTTAAGTTTAAGCCTTTTACCATTTAGGCTTACAATTTTTATGTTTACCCCTTATATAAGTATTCTAGATGTGGCTAATAATGCTTTTAAGCCTAGCCGCAGCACTATATTGTACTGTCTATATCATATAAATGAATAAATAAATATATAATATAAAAAGAGAAAGAAAATAATTCAATGGGTTGTACCTTACTAGATATTATTGACAGACTTTCCAGTGTTTTTTTTTATTTTTATGTCACCATCACAAGTGATGGCATTTTGTTATGGTCTCCAACCTTTTATGGATGGAGTTCGCCGGTTGATGGGAGGGGGTCAGCGCTCGGCATCTGTAACAAATGACAGCTTGTAACATTTTATATGATAATTCCTTGTTACTTCAGTGTTAAGCAAATTGCAGTGCAGTAGTTGTCACATGCTTCAGGGTATTATAAACTGTGTATTTTACATGATGGTTTAAGTGTTGTAATACAGAATTCATATTTAATTCTGTCATCATCCATATACTATAGCTAGTAACATCCTGATGTCTCCAAGTCCAAAATTTTAATACAGACAAGGATAAATTTAATTGTACCATTTGTAAATGATAACTAGTATTGACGATTTCTCAGCAGAGAATTTGCTTGCAAGAATTTTAAAGGTTTAGATGAGTTTTAATTTTTCATTCAAGGCTATGTTTATGTACCTGTTGGTTTATGATATTTTGTTTACAGTAACAATATTTTTCAGTTTTCATTGTTGAGCCCTGAAGAGATGAAAGTAGCTGAAATAATGGGAATATCAGAGGGTTACATCTGTAGGAAAGCCTCGGGTCAAGTCAGAAAATCTGTAAGTACTTATTCTAACTGAAACACATTTAATTACTTTTATTACATATAAAAGTGGGGAAGCAGATCTTAGAAAAGCTACTAAGTCAAATGTCATTAACCTCTTGACTACCTGGAGTGACAAGGTTTCTCGTCACCTCAGAAATGACCTTGAAACCCAGATTGACAAGAAAATACGTAACAAAATTTTTCGCTAAAATTGCTTTTATTTGAACAATTTTCATCCAATATACACAAAAAATGTTTTAAAATGTGTAGAAATGATTTCTGCCATCTAATTTTACTAAGTTGAGCATCTAAAGTCGTAAAGGTATGTAGTAAAAGGTCAAAAGGTAGCAAAAAAGGAAAAATTCTCCGGTTTCAACCGATTTTAGAGCCTGGGATTCAAGAGGTTAAAAGACCAGTTGCCACATCATTTTGGAATCCCCAATGATGATATCAGTTGATTCATCTCAAAAATAGCCATTGGTAGATTCTTTGAAGACAAATTGGTTTGAGTCATGATTGTCAGTCGGTTGGAAGGAGTAGTGAGGACACTGATACAACCATTGAACAGTTTATTATATACAACATTGGCAGTGCCACTTAGCCAGCTTTTGCCAAGATGGTTCACTTTTCCCAAAAATTCACATTTAACAACTTGAAAAGTGTTCAGAATGGTGAAAAACTGCATGATTTTGAACGAATATTTGGCGAGGAAATTCTGCAACATATACAGTATAGTTAATAATTTTGAGTTTAGGACATGTATTTATTTTCAGAATTTCGGGTCCTCTTCATCCCCATTATGTTGTATCCAATGTATTATTACAATAAGTACTTGATAAGCTGCCTGTTCTTAAACACTCAATGATACCATGTATATATTGTTTTCATTTTTATTCCAGCAAGAAGTAAATGAGCTCCCTATGAGGAGGTTCTTTTTAACATTGGTGCTCTATGATCTCTGGAAGGAGAAAACAATGTGGGAAGTCTCCCTGAAGTTTAAACTAGACAGGGGTTTGATACAGAACATTCTTAATGGAGCTGTATCATTTGCATCATGTGTCTTTCACTTCTGTGAGGTAATACTGCTATTATAAGAATATACTTTATTATATCAACAAAATGTATCACCAGGTCTGTCCAGGTGCCATACATTTTGCTGAATTAATCAAATACGATTGAACGAATCCCATTCATATATTGTTGGAGTATATACAGTAAATAATGTATAATTATGAACTGATATGCAACTTTGATGCCAACATTCTTCATCAATCGTGATACAAATAGGATTTTTTGACTCTCAGAAGAAGGATGGGATATCAAGGTTTAATAATACGTGTGATTGAGTTGGTTTTTCAGACATTACAATTTTTCAATATTCAATATTTCCGAAGTTGATATCTAGATTCATTCTCTGACTTATCCTTTAAATTGCCATATCATTTGATTTTTTGAATTTGAACAAGAGTTTATGTGTTTTACAAATATATATTTTTTGACTTAAGGAAGAATAGATGTTATTGTAAAAATATTTTTATATCACCATGTTTGGGCTGTCAGTGGTTGGTGTTCAGATTTCAGCATTCAGCATCTGTAAAAAATGCCAGGTGGTGACATTTTCCATGTTAATCCCTTGTTTTAATTTGAGATCAGAAGTTTAAACATACATGTTATCTCAATAGGTGCTACTGTCTTAGCCCACCACTCAGAGTTTATTCTGGAATTATATTTTTAGGAATTGGAAGAATTCTGGGCATATCAAGAACTCCTTGAGACTTTTGTGAGGAAGTTGTCATACTGTGTTACCATGGAGCTGATTCCTCTCATGGAGATTCCAGGAGTTAAACAGGTAAACAATAAAATAAATGTAAGCAGTTTGCATTATTTATGCTGTAGGGCTGATGTGTTGTTCCATGTATCTAAGGCAATGGAAAGTCTTTGGAAAATTTTCCACAAAAAGGATAAACATGAATATTATCATACATAATATTAATACTGCACACATATTCTTACCTAGTATTGTTTAATATGTTATATAAATATGGCTCAGAACAATTATTTCTGCAAAAATAGAAGCCATCAAATATAATCTAAATTTGAACCTCAAGCGGTAAATTTTGGATTACTAAGGGCTAGGCAGCTGTTTAATGCTGTATTCAAAACACTGGCCCTGGTGGCTAATTCAGAAACAGAAACACGTGTGAAGAATATTGAGAATCTCATATATTGAATCATAAATGTGTGGTTGAATTATAGGGAAGGGTTAGGCAGCTGTTCAATGCTGGATTCAAAACACTGGCCCTGGTGGCTAATTCAGAAACTGAAACACTTGTGAAGAATATTGAGAATCTCATATATTGAATCATAAATGTGTGGTTGAATTATAGGGAAGGGCTAGGCAGCTGTTCAATGCTGGATTCAAAACACTGGCCCTGGTGGCTAATTCAGAAACTGAAACACTTGTGAAGAATATTGAGAATCTCATATATTGAATCATAAATGTGTGGTTGAATTATAGGGAAGGGCTAGGCAGCTGTTCAATGCTGGATTCAAAACACTGGCCCTGGTGGCTAATTCAGAAACTGAAACACTTGTGAAGAATATTGAGAATCTCATATATTGAATCATAAATGTGTGGTTGAATTATAGGGAAGGGCTAGGCAGCTGTTCAATGCTGGATTCAAAACACTGGCCCTGGTGGCTAATTCAGAAACTGAAACACTTGTGAAGAATATTGAGAATCTCATATATTGAATCATAAATGTGTGGTTGAATTATAGGGAAGGGCTAGGCAGCTGTTCAATGCCGGATTCAAAACACTGGCCCTGGTGGCTAATTCAGAAACTGAAACACTTGTGAAGAATATTGAGAATCTCATATATTGAATCATAAATGTGTGGTTGAATTATAGGGAAGGGCTAGGCAGCTGTTCAATGCTGGATTCAAAACACTGGCCCTGGTGGCTAATTCAGAAACAGAAACACTCGTTTAGAACATAGAAAATCTCTCCTATATTGAATAATAAATGTGTGGTTGAATTATAGGGAAGGGCTAGGCAGCTGTTCAATGCCGGATTCAAAACACTGGCCCTGGTGGCTAATGCTGAAACTGAAACACTTGTGAAGAATATTGAGAATCTCTCCAATAAAGCTGCCAACCAGATTATTACATCAGCTAAGGTAAGATCAGAGTCTACGTTTTTCAGATTCTGAAAGATACCAAGATTTCAGTACATACACACATATGAGTTCTTAATCACCTGAATTTTACTTTTATGTCACCACCGCAAGGGTAGTCTCAAACATGGACAGTTGTTGCTGTTCGGCATCTGTAACAAATGGCAGGTAGTGAAATTTTGCCTGTTTATGCCTTGTTATAAAACTGCAATAGCTGATTACTGTTACATCTTGCAGATGCTGCTAAATGAACAAGTGGAGAATCTCCGTGCAGAGGCCGATTTCTTGGTCACCATGCCAACAGATGTCAATAATGCTCAAATAGGCGAAGACAATAAAGCAATCCTCAATGAAACAAGTGATAATATACATTTACCATATACAAGTACTCAATTAAGCCAATCCCAGCTATCGTATGGTAGCAGTCAGGCAAGCGAAGCCAGTTTGCCTTATGCAAGTAGTCAAAATTTACTATTTCCTGTTGAATGAGTTGCAATAGATGGCTGCCATAATGTGCAGTCACCTGTCTTTGAGGATCAGCCAGTACAGTGTAATACTGTTTTGGAGTATAATGCCATATTGACACATGTAATAGTCATGACACATGACAGCATCCTGATATTTAGATGAAAACAGTCATATAAGAAATATACCAAAGAGCAGGTGTTATATCGACGAATACAGACCGCAGGGGTAGGCACAACAGTCAATATGAAGGCCTCTTGAAATATAATGCCATATTGACACATAATCCCATCTCAAATCATGATGACATCTTCAATCCTGATGCTCAGATGAACTGAATCCAGTAATTGTTATTATGGATAGCATTAGGAGCCTTGTTTATGCCAAGTTATAACAGTGAGAGAATAAAGAGCAGAGGTGTAGCCAAGATCCAAAAATAGGCAAGACATTTAAATGGTGAGGCAAAAAAGACAAAGACGATATTATTATGTCACCACCAAAAATGGTGACATATTGTTCGTCTCCAGCTTTTTTTGTGGATGGCAGTCAGCGTCCAGTAGTCAGCGTCTGTAACAAATGTCAGGTGGTGAGATTTCGCATCTTAATGCTTTGTATTATACCTCTATCGGACATAATTTTCGATTCAGATTCTTGAAAGTAAGTTTTTCTGTATTTGATGAGGCCTCACCTAGCTACAGCCATGAGAGGCATTATATTGGGCGTCAAAGCAGTCAAGTAGGGTTCTTAAATGATTATTTGTACACTTATGGATATGGAACATACGATAAATATAATTTATTCAAGATTACTTGACGTTTTGTGACTTAAGATGTTTTAGACACTTAAGATATTGAATCTAGGGGTGAAAGAGCAATGGAGTTACTAGGTACCAGTACCTAGTCACCAGTTTCACCATCAGACTGTATTCAGACAACATTACGGATAGGCCATTATACAAAAAGTTTGTATAAGAATTAAATTCAGTAGATCGGTTTGTACGTCTTTCTAATTTAAGTATTAAACCATGGTCTACAAGAGAACTATTGAAATGTGAATGGAATACGAGGTTGGTGTTATTCAATAGGACATAGTAGGACTAACTTTCAAGAGAATTAGATTGGTTCAAAGTTATCCCTTAAATCCATATTATTTATCCAACTGTTAAAATAATATTATTTAAATGCTTGGTCCTATTCTGATATTGGATAACACCAGCCTCATATTCCATTCAATATTCAACGTTGCCATGTTATCCTGCCACATAATACTAATTGGGATAGGCTAGAAGGATTATCTCAGACTCAGAGTGTAAATGAAAATCTTGTAGAAACAGAATCAAACTATTTCAAAGGGTAGTCTCATGTAAACTTGTAATAACCTTTTTATTATTAATTAATGATGGCTACTGGCTAGGTCACATTTGCTCCAATTCATCCACCGGCGCCCGGCCAATTGCATTTTTTTTTTAGATCATGTACAAGTTCTCAGGAGTTCACATCTGACCTCAAATTTTAGATTTGACCTTCAATTTTGAACAAACTACTCAATCGGCTTGGCGCCAGCCGATGAATCAGAGCAAATGTGACCTAGGCATAAATGAAGTATTATTAAAACACAAATAACAAACTGCTCGTGGTTTTCTTCATAAAAATCTTTATTGATCAAAATACACCCTTGAATATACAGTGGTCTAGTATTGTTATGTATACATATAATAATCTGTTCACGAATCTTGTGTAAAAGAGCAATATATACAACGCATTGGGACATGGACATAGACGTCTATTTACATAACAAAAAATATCTGAGAATGAGTCTTCACTTCTTAATAAATTGTTCATACACAACCCTGGTTTTGATATTAAGTTTCTTTTTCAGAAAGTACAGTATTGTTACATTTAATATGAATGAGTTTAATTGATTGAAAAACACTACAATTTTCATTCTACCTTTAGAAAATTCTCCATCCTTTGGTTTGTCGATGTTGATTTGTCGATGTTGGTTTGTTCCTGATCGACAGAGTATCCGTTTTCAATGAGATTTTCAATTTTTAAGAACTAAAATAAACTTATTGTCACAATCACATGTATTCTTTTGTTACTGGTATTCTTTTATAACATCTTTGCGAGCAGTTTACAAGCTAAAAGCCTAATGCACAAAATGTACATTTATTTACAAATTTACATTTCTATGATCTCATGAAAAATACACTTAAGCATTGCTGACAATGTACTAGGCATAATAACAGATTTACTGATGTTAAATATTACATGATTGTACATGTTCAATAATTCAATTAAGTCCTTTAATATTCAAGAAAAAGCATCATTTGAAAAACCAAGAAACTTGCATAATGTCAAATCATGTTTTTAAGCATTTCAATAAAATATTACATGATATAGTAGCCCGGACAGAATTGTTCAATGGTCACTTTTTCTTTAATAACTTTTTTAATTTTCAGTAATATCATTGTCTGATCACATATTTGAAAACTAGGGTAAAATTCTGACATGCAAAATAGATATTGAAGGAACATCTCTTAATTTATTGATATTATAGCCGTTCATAGTATGACTGACGCAAATACATAATTCATCATTTTGCCTCATATTTGTTCAAAATGGTGGCATATTTTGTAAATTTGAATGTTCAGTTGAAAGTTGATATTTAAAGATTGTCATAGGACTATAGGGCCATGCTGCCACCATTACAATTCTGATGTAATGCAGCAACTGACCAATCATCAAATACAAGAAGTCAACTCCCTCCAAGGGTATATGAAATCAACTCTAATGAAATGTTCGGGGTTGTGTTCAAGAGGTTGTGAAAAGGTGGCGCCCCAATGTGCGGGGTGTGATGAGAGTAGGTCCTCAATCTTTTCAAGATATACAGCCAAATAGCCATCTCCAAACAGCCATCTCAGAGACTATTGAAAAGCTGAAGAACAATTCACATGCATGCCAAGGATGGGTTAAAAGGCGAGTGACTGGAAAAGACATTACAAACTGTGGCAGTATGACCCTATAGTTGCACTAAACGAACTAGGGTTGCTAATCCACTACGAGTAGCAATGGAGTGGCCAAAAAACGTTAAGTCCTGCGACCTTACCAATACACTGTACATACAATGTACAAACCTTTTTAAGTACTGGTACACATACAAGTCAATTTAAAACAAAATGTTATAAATGCAGTCATAACCTCATACCAAGGCAGCAGTCTACATGATGTCGTAGGCCTATGACACATCTTAAATATTAACTTTCAACTGAACATTCAAACCACAAAACATGCCGCCATTTTTGACAAATATGAGACAAAATGGTGAACTATGTATTTGCGTCACTCATACTATGAACGCCTATAATATCAATAAATTAAGAGATGTTCCTTAAATATTTTTTTTGTATGTCAGAATTTTACTCTAGTTTTCAAATATGTAATCAGATTTTGATAATACTGATAATTAAAAAAGTTATTAAAGAAAAAGTGACCATTGAACAATTCTGTCCGGGCTACTATGTATTTGAATTAACTATTGTAACTTTTAAGTCATACAAGTAATGTTCAACATTGTCCTCCTGCAATTTCTTCACAGATAACACAAAGTTTCTAACTACAAAATTGATACTTGCATAATGTCAAATCAAGTCTTAAAGCATTTCAATAAAATATTACATGATATATGCATTTGAATTAACTAATTGTAACTTTTAAGTCATACATGTAATTTTCAACAATTTTCAACATTGTCCTCCTGCAATTTTACCTGCAATTTCTTCACAGATAACACAAAGTTTCTAACTACAAAATTGATAAATCTAAAGAGCTCTACTTGTGCAACTTCCACCTGAACTGACTGACTAATGACACACGATTTATAATAAATGTTCGAGCTGGTTCGATGACAACAATAAAAAAAAATACCAAAAATGACAATAAAAACTTAAAGAGTAAAAGGCAGTTTAATCATGGCTTCAATATCTGTACCAGTAGCATAAACCCCATATAAATAATACTATTACACATTATAAAAGTATTGACTTGGTGATATATAGAATGTATTTTAAAGAGATTATTCTTTATTAGTCCCTGAACAATACTATTTTGTCTTATATATCTACAAAGAAATAGTCCTAGCTCATCTAGAATGAATGTCTCCAGGAGGAGTCCTTTTAAGAACTCAATTCTGTCCCCATTGAGTATTCAATGTGCTTAGTTCTATATATATTGGATGTATGGACACGGTACATGATAGTAGTATACAAAAAATATTTTTTCTTTTATATAATATTTACATAGTAACACAAGAGGCATAGCCAGGACTGAAAATTTGAGAGGCAAACTTAGCGAATTGGTGAGGCAAACTTAGCGAATTGGTGAGGCAAACTTAGCAAATTGGTGAGGTAAACTTAGCGAATTGGTGAGGCAAACTTAGCGAATTGGTGAGGCAAACTTAGCAAATTGGTGAGGCCAATTTGAACTAAAATAGGATAAAAAACCAAATTGGACTTAATTTTCTGTTTATTTGAAATAACATTGGAATGAATGTTTATATTTCTGTACAATATTGGTGAGGCAGTTGCCTCAGTGCCTCATGTTTGCCTCAGTGCCTCATGTTAGCCTCAGTGCCTCATGTTTGCCTCAGTGCCTCATTTTTGCCTCAGTGCCTCATGTTTGCCTCAGTGCCTCATGTTTGCCTCAGTGTCTCATGTTTGCCTCAGTGCCTCATGTTTGCCTCAGTGCCTCATGTTTGCCTCAGTGCCTCATGTTTGCCTCATGTTTGCCTAAGTGCCTCATGTTTGCCTCAGTGTCTCATGTTTGCCTCAGTGCCTCATGTTTGCCTCAGTGCCTCATGTTTGCCTAAGTGCATCATGTTTGCCTCAGTGCCTCATGTTTGCCTCAGTGCCTCATGTTAGCCTCAGTGCCTCATGTTTGCCTCAGTGCCTCATTTTTGCCTCAGTGCCTCATGTTTGCCTCAGTGCCTCATGTTTGCCTCAGTGTCTCATGTTTGCCTCAGTGCCTCATGTTTGCCTCAGTGCCTCATGTTTGCCTCATGTTTGCCTAAGTGCCTCAGTGTCTCATGTTTGCCTCAGTGCCTCATGTTTGCCTCAGTGCCTCATGTTTGCCTAAGTGCATCATGTTTGCCTCAGTGCCTCATGTTTGCCTCAGTGCCTCATGTTTGCCTCAGTGCCTCATATTTGCTTCACCTGCCTCATATTTGCTTCACCTGCCTCATATTTGCCTCACCTACTTCATGCTTGCCTCACCTACTTCATGCCTGGCTATGCTCTGAATTACAAAGCTACCTCTGGTTACATTATTATTTGCAGCACATACAAATCAATCTAAGAAATAGGAAGTAACTTGGATCACTGGAGACAGATCTTTACCTCATAATTCAGTTGATTATTGAATTGATTAGCCTAACATATCAATGGTTTATTTGTACAAGTTCAAAAATTGGACTACTCATATTTGAAGTTTAACCGAAAGTCTCACGATGTCCTTATTATATTTTAAGTTAAGTGAAAACACTAAATGGCCATTTTTAATTATTATTTACATAATATCATTGTTCAAGACTCTCAAAAAGTGACCTAGCTTTTAATATTTTGATACTGGTGTCTAACTGTGACATTTTCATTAAACATACAAAAACAGTGTTACAGTTATAGGTTGAGGTCACACATTATCACATCTACAGTGAATTGAATGATATATTTTTACAACACAAATATTTGCACGAGGAATTCTTTTACATATCATTATTTCAGGCATGGATAATATGTGGATTATAATCACTTACTGTGCTTTCCCCAATTTTTTTTAACAAAGTTTATTTTCCTTTCATTGTCAATATTACAAATCAGCTACTACCAATCGCCTAAGGATTGTAGGTAGTTTTGGTCACTGCTTTCCCCAATTAAATATTCTCAAACCCTAATTCTCAGATTTTCTTGATCGTTGTCCCGGAATATACTGCATTATATGTTTGGAGTTATTTATTGGACACAATGTAATTAAATGTAGCTTTCCCCTTATCCATAATCATCTTTCTGTTTGAAAATGATGTTTAAAATATATGTACGAGGAGCAGTCAAAAAGTCTTCATATCTATATTCACTGGCATTTTAAAAGATTATTGGAATTCATCTTTCCTTGTACATTTGGATTTAGAAAGACTTTAATAGAGTTAAGGAGCTACGCTTACATCAGGTGCAATAGATTCACTCCGACTAACATATAGGAAAGACTACATGTAGTTTTAAAATCAAAGATTGTCACATCAACTTCGTTATCTACTGCACAGTTCAAACTTGTTTTATATTTTACAACCACATGTTGGATAGAAGCTCAGAGATTAATGCCGTAAAACTGTCCTCCCCAGGATTTTTTTTTTCAAGCACATAAATGTTGAAAATCTCTCAAAATATCCTTATTTTTCACGATTTCTCAATTGGGGGTAAATGGGCGCAAGAAGGGTGCAGATCCAGTTGGCACCAATTTTGGGGAGCTCACTGCATTGTATTATAACTCCTCTATGATTTATAGTCATTGGAATGGAAACATGGAAGACACTAAAACCTGTCACTTCAATTAAACGATTCTCTTGTTACAAATATTTTCTTTTTGATTGGATGAGTGTTCATGTATATTTCCATTGAAATGTCGATATAAAGGTCAGTCGAAAGAAAGTTAATTTGTCAATGTGATCAATTCTTATTGACTTTAATGAAGCTGGATTAAAATGCAATGATCCTAATGGGATTATGGCTTTGTTTTCATCATACACGCGCATGTTTCATCTCATATTGTTGTGGGTTTCTTGGCTGACCTCCTCCGCGACCTCTGTTATCTATATTGTGACCTTTACCGTGACCTCTGGAAGGACCCCCTGGATTACCTTGACCCGTGGTATAAGGGGGTGGAGGGCCTGACCCCTGGAAATACAACAATAAAAATGATGATTAGGATATCATTTTGAATAGCATTTTCCGAATGAACAAATGGAGAATAAATAAATAAATATATACAGGGAATAGCATAGCATGTTATTGTTTATTCAATTCAATAATTATCTCCGTAGCATATTAGCTAAGGGGTTGACATTTTTATCAACCGATTTTATTGTCAATGTACAAATCACACATAAGGAACCAAGTAATCAGTGGAGTGTCCCTCGATGTAGAATAAGAAAAATGTTCTATGAGTACATAAAAAGTTCAAATAACAGAAATAAAAAATTATTGTGTAGTATTTAACAACTGCATTTAAATTTCAGTGGGAAGATACTAACTGCGTTGACATGGTTGATGTAACATTGAGGAATGTTATAAGTTTGACGTCATATACCATTGCTTTGAAATTAAGCATCATAAAGCACACTGAGTTAAACATTGGCACATTTACAAGCAAGCATTACACTTCAAAATAAAGTAGCAAAGCTTATCATTTGTTTGGATATTTGAAGTTGAAACGCACACCCCAAAAAATGCACCCCCTTGACAATTGCTGGCTACACCCTTGTATGTACTGCTGCATTTGCTCCACAAATTAACTGAAAATGGACATTTTAAAAATATGCTTAAATCAATAATCTGAATTCATTATCTTAAAGCAGCTATGCATGTTACATTGGAACTAGTAGCAATGTTTGTCCAAAATCTTACTGGTTTGAATTTTCTTTTAATGCAACTAGAATTCCCTCAAAAGCATTAACATGTAACTCCATATGCAGATCCCTCTAGTTTTATCAAATAAATAATTTCACCAAAAGCATGAATCTTCAGTCTAGCAATCAAAAACGAATATACGCAGTTTTATTGTGTAATATTTGGTAGACTAGGATGAGGATAATTAAATTGCAAAGCAAGAAACAATCAATGAATGACATCCCAACACATGTACATGTATTATATCACTCAAAATGTGTGAATTTTTTATCCCAGAATCTTATTGATTGTAAACAATAGACCAATCCGGTAAAACATGCCATATATTGGTTATGATGGCATTCTTACAATTTCAGTGCCGAAATAGGATTAAAATATTGCTAATTTTCAAAAACTTCTTTCAATTTTGTTTACAAACATTGCTGCCTGTAAAGTATGACATCATAAATCTAGCCAATATACCATAGTTTCCTTGGTTCACAAATAGGGGTCAGGATTTATTGGAAAGGTCTATTAACTGATAATTCTGATTGGACAACTAATATATTCTCTCACATCGAGTAAATTTATATTATATGTCCAAGGTTGCCTCTAAGAAAATTATCCAACTTAAAATTGCATTGCTGTTGGTAAACAGAACAATATTAGTATTTACTATTTAGCTGATTCCATTTTTTGATTCTTGAAACATATAAACTCTCACTGTAATATGTATATATTTTGTTGATTTTAATAAAACAAATGTCTTGTTGTAGCCTTTCATGAGAGGAATGTTTAATATATCATTGGAGGGTGATATGTTTAATGGTTGCTATGACGATGTGAGCACTATTATGTTAATCAATATTTAAAAGTTAATCACATTTAATCAATAAACTCTATTATAGAATATCTATATTTAAGAGGCATTGTCAGCATTTTTATGAGATGTCAGTAGAATCGTACATAATTGTCATTGCAAACATTACTTGAATACTACAGACAGAATGATTTTCAGATCCAAAAATTTAAAATTAAGATTGCAAAAATGAATTCTAATTTTAATTCAAGAGCCATAACCTTTAGCTTCATTTCAACTGCCCTGTAAAATAATTTTATGTACATATATTATGTACATATTAAAATTAGAAAAATACAGACTCTGCCGCTACATTATAAAATCTATATTAGAACTGCAAAGTTAGTAGTCTTAGACCCCAAGCTCTGTCCTTTGAAATCTCTACTGCATAAAACATATTACCCTCGGCACGACGACATCAGAATTTGTGGTGAGCTTTTTCGGAGAAACATTATAACTACTCTATAAATAATAAAATGTTGCCATTAAAATGTTATTTTATTAGCTTTCAATTAAGAAAAGAAAAAAAATGAAGAACTAAAAGATCACACAATATATTCAGATTATATATAAAGACAAAACAAAACATTAATAATTCTACAACATCAAAAGAAAATTCCTAAACCTTAGAGTGGTTAAAATAACAACTCAAAACGCAATTATCAGAGAAAATATCCAAAGGAGGAGGGAAAGTATCGCAACATATTTCGGACAGTCATATGTTGGATTTTGGCTATTTTCTGAGGATTTAAACAGGTGCATATGTTACATCAATGTATTACCTCCAGGAAAAGCACTCCTAGAGATGATAAAATAATTTCGACTTTGAGACAGGGAAATTGCTAACAACCCATCCACATGTTTTTTCTGAAATGTTTTCCTGATTTTCAACCTCTTCCACCACTGCTTTTTTAATTTTTTAATATGTTGTGATTCCTTTTAGATTAAGTGGAAAACAATATTGCCCATGTTATTTTCCCATAGGGAAAACTCCTGCGATCGATTGCTTTCAGCTAATTTTGGTCACCCATAATGGATATCTTTAGAGTTTAGAACCCCCGAAGGAATCACAAATTCCTTTAAAGGGGTTAACTGTGTGTCAAAACACAACATATTGATGCAAGAAAAATTTAATAAAAAGCAGGGCTAGAAGGGGTTGAAAATCAGGAAAACATTTCAGAATAAACATGTGGATGGGTTGTTTGCATCTTCCCTGTCTCAAAGTCGGAATTATTTTATCATCTCTATGAGTGCTTTTCCCGGGGGAATGCATTGGCCTAACGTATGCATCTGTTTAAATCCTCAGAAAATAGCCAAAATCCAACACATGACTGTCCAAAATCTGTTGCGATACTTACCCTCCTCCTTTTTAGTAGAAAATGCCTAGTTTTTAGTTAACAAGAAGTAGTTTAAGTCAGAATGAGCTCAAACAACATGAAACATTAAATCAACAACAACACAATTCATTCAAAAGAAATCTACCTGACGAATGTTACTGAAATCCTCCTGTAAAGAAATAAATGAAACTCAATCACAGTCTATCAATAAATAAAAAAAAATATAAATCCACATAAAATCAGCAATTGAATTAATGAATACATATACCAGATAAGATAAAGTCTAGTATTGGTATGTTGAAAATAAAATAATACTTCAATAATTTGTTTATTCATTTTTGTGGGAGAATCATGCACATCCTTGAAGCAATATTTAGCAAACGCAATAATTTTTTGTTTGCAGGTGAGAATTTCTTAAACCTTATGAAAATATAAGGTGTTACAATTCTTATATATTACGTTTTGGGAGTGGTAACCTTGTTTGGGGACTTGTACCTTATCATGACAAACCCCTTCCCCAAGTTTGATACAGCATGTCTGACTTATCCTAGCAGTTTGAAAAAGATTTGGATTTGGTATGGGAAAACAGACACACAGGGAGAAGTACATATAGTTTATAATTGTAAATAATCCTATATATATATATACCAGTACATGTAGAATTGAGGGGAAAGTACTAGTACACAGATGTGAGTAGTCTATAGTCGTTCAGGAAATTGGAATTATCCCTTGTCCAATATAATATATCTACCCTTTGGACCTATGGCCCTCGGGCAGATATATTATATTGGACTCAGATAATCCCAATATCCTGAACCTCGTGTAGGATAATATCCATTTATATTTTCATCACATTTAATTAGTTTTAATACATGGATTACATCGAACTCCAATGCAGTGTCTCGGTATAGACACTGCGGCGGGCAGATTATGGAATCCCCAAAATTTGGGGAAGATAGTCCCCCTTTTTGTCACAGATGTACTTGATTTTCATACAACTTATAAAATATATGTTCTTTTATGTTCACCAATCATTATTTTGTCAAAATATTTCAAAATCATTGAAATATGAGAAGAAATCACCGCGGAAGGAATTCTGAGTAAAAGTTTTGTTGATAATAGTTTACCGCACGTGTTGTTTATTAGTTAATACGCGCAATTCAACCAATGAAATTGTCTAAATTTTACAATCACGCGACCTGAGCATGGGACTAGAACCAATCACGTCAGTTGTTTATCATGAAGTTACCATGCTTACGGTGAGATACCTGCCCGCCGCAGTGATATTATCACTGCACGGGAGTTCGGGATTACATCATCAATCAACCATATTTGAAGACAGTAGAATCTGATATTATACCAATGATAGGGAGTGATTGGAATTAATCGGAAAAATTATTACATGGAGAATTATCATCTTTCATCCTTCTAAGTTGTTAGATTCTTTACAATCACATTAAATTGGTGAATCATTGGTGCCACATATCTATTGTTCGGTATAAGCATGCTCTGAGAATATACCTATTAAGCCTACAGGCAAAAAGACAGACATTTGTGCAAGTTTGACATGATTTACATACCATCTTTACATTGATGTATCCTACAACAATATCAATATCCTATGTGTCATGCAGGTTAAAGTGACAATGTTGCTACAGGCATTTAAAATGTGTGTGAGAAAGAAACAAGTCCCAAAATAATCAATTTCACAATTCAAGACCAAAATAGCCAACATTCCCCATAATTCTTGAGCTGCTCCATGGCTAGACAGCATTTCCCATAATTCTTGAGCTGCCCATGGCTAGCCAGCATTTCCCATCATTCTTGAGCTGCCCGTGGCTAGCCAGCACTACCCATAATTCTTGAGCTGCCCATGGCTAGCCAGCATTTCCCATCATTCTTGAGCTGCCCATGGCTAGCCAGCACTACCCATAATTCTTGAGCTGCCCATGGCTAGCCAGCACTACCCATAATTCTTGAGCTGCCCATGGCTAGCCAGCACTACCCATAATTCTTGAGCTACCAATGGCTAGCCAGCATTACCCATAATTCTGGAGCTGTCACACGGTATGCAAACAGAGGCATGAGAAAAACTAATAAAGATGCCTTTTTTACTATTCCCAAAAAGCGATAAATTATGTTTTTGACAATCATTTACATTAATATTTTGACAATCTCCCTTTAGTGTGGTTAAATGAAAAGAAATGTTTGTTAATAATGTTTGTACATCTAATCTATTCTGGCACTATGATAGAAGAACAGCAAACTAAACATACCAATTACCAATTACCAATACCAAGGACATAGCTAGAATCCAAAAAATAGGTGAGGCAATTTGAATAAAAATGTGAGGCAAATTGAGTGGAAAAGTGGGGCAATTAGAAATAGGTGAGGCAAAAGTTCTACCAAAGAGAATATCATACTTCTAAGGGACATAGATCAACAGGTTCTTTCTCTAAAATAACTGTCTCACCTGCCTGAGGGATAGCTAGCTACACCCATGCATAACATTGGAAGTCCCTGAGGGATTTATTCCCATATGTGTGCCATGTGCTTAATACTGTTGCATACATAAGTCCACATAATATTGGACCCCACCATATGAAGACTATAGCATAGCAAGTGTGATTATCTTTTAGATACTACTGGTGAATACTATTAATACAAGTATTAATTCATGCAATTGTAACACATAATCGTCATGAAAAGTGACGCATCTGTTAATCACTTACCCTGTGTCTAGGGTTAGGTTTAAGGCTAATTTTCCTGTGTTTCTTTTTCTTTGGATTACTGCTTGGTGTATGAACGGAGCATACTTTTATAAATAGGCCCATGAATACTACGAGCCCAACGGCCATCAACAGGACAGCCCACCAATTTGTCTGCAAATAATAATGATCATCGTGAAAGCACATGTCGGAATTTCAACTCAAATGTTAGTATTTGTGTTACCTGAGTTAAACATAAATATTTCAATGAAAAACCACAACCAAGTGAAAGATTTAGTTTTAGCACTCGTAATTTATGAAAGTATTTTCAACAAAATTGCATTCCTTTTGGAATGAAAATGGCAGACCCTCTCTCAGAATGACAACCATATGACTGCCTCGAAGGTTAATTATTTATTGAAAAGTTTGAATGAAGTGTTCACCAAACTTACTATTATCCAGTCTTTTATTGTCTGGAATGTCTCTGGATTGAAGAGTAAGTTTTTAAGTCTTGCTAAGGGGCCCTCAGCATCTACCCCTCGGCATTTACTGAACACATCACAATAGCCTATGAAGTTATCGCATGCAGCACCTGGAAAATAAGAAATAATTAAAATTAAGCACAATCTTCAATTCTTGCATCCTAACATATTACATATATTATGAAAGTTCACAAAAATTCCAAATTGAAAATATCTCAGTGAAATTGAAATTACCTCATCAAAATTGATATTACCTCAGTGAAATTGAAATTACATCTGTGAAATTGAAATTACCTCAATGAATTTGAAATTACATCAGTGAAATTGAAAAATACCTCAGTGAAATTGAAATTACCTCAGTGAATTGAAAATACCCAAGTGAACTGAAAATACCTCAGTGAGTTGAAAAGACCTCAGTGAAATTGAAAATACCTCTGTGAAAGTGAAAATACATCAGTGAAATTGAAAATACCTCAATGAAACAAGCAAATCCCAGTGCACGCTTTACTTCATTAAATAAACAGTGTGTCAGTGTGAGTGGTACATGTAAGTCAAGGGGGTATATTTACCTGGTGGCATCATGATGCCTGATGGTTTATCCAATTCTGAGAGTAAATCTCTCAATGGTTTGTTCTCAGCCTTGTCAAGTTCCGCCTTATTGAACTCACTTGTACTCACACACTTCGAGCTGTTACCTAAAAAGTAGAGGTTTGTTATAAAACATTTGTACTTTAAACTATGCATATAAATTCAATTGAGTATTTGAAAAGTAGAGATTTGTTATAAAAATGGAGCATAAACGTACTTTAAACTATGCATACAAATTCAACCGAGTATTTGAATTTGTTTTGAGAGACCTTGAGAAGTTGAGAACCCATGCTCTATGGGCAATAGTTAGTGGATGTACATCTATATGATGTACATAAATTGAAACAAATCATGTTTTTTGTTCATCATTTTTTACATAATACTCAATATTTATCAGGAATTACACTTAATAGAATTTGTATTTTGTTGTGCAGGAAAAGAAATAAAAATAGTACAGTGGGTACTGGGCTCACATGGTGTTGCTCAAAAGAGAATGATGGCTAAAATGACAACAAATAAAAAGTTTTTGTAACAAAATTATTTCATACAACTACTCTTTACAAAGACATGGCTTTTTACAATGCAGGACACCTGAAATTATTTGTAAAGCTAGGAAATGGGCCAAAAGTGAATTTCGCGAAACAAAATGGCGACCATTTTAAAAATAGGCAAGCTTTTGAACGGAGTCATAGGGGAGTTTTTTGTATTGATGTTGAACAAAAATAACTTATAACTGGAATCCTATCGACAGAGGCTTTAAGTCAAATGGTCCAAAAGAGGATTTCACAAGACAGATGGACAAATCAATGTTAACTAAAATGGCTGAGAATAAAAAAAACTGATATAATTTTTTGACGATATTTTGTAACAAAATTATTTCATACAACTACTCTTCACATTGACATGGATTTTATCAATGCAGGACACCTGACATTATTTGTAAAGCTAGGGAATGGGTCAAAAGTGAATTTCACGAGACAAAAATGGTGGCCATCTTGAAAATAGGCGAGGAGTCATATGGGAGTTTTCTGTATTGATGTTGAAGAAAAACGGGAATCCTATCGACAGAGGTTTTAAAACATGCCACTATTGTTGACGGGCGGATGCAAGGACGGACAGACAGACGGACAAGTGAGTGATTGCAAAAGCTCACCATGTGAGCTAAAAACTGATATTTCACAGAGCCCAATAACATTCAAATATTAAATATAATTAGCACATCTACTGTTCAGAAAAACATGCAGAAAATTACATAAGCACTTTATGTTACAAAACGTAAGCTTAGATCTATTAAATACTAATCTATGTTGTTCACGTATTGTTATCAACCACCAACCTGCGCTTGGATCTTTACATGCAACGTTGCATAGAAACGAATACTTTTGTGTTGTTGATAAGGTGCCTAAGGCATCTGCATCTTGAGCTTTAGTGAAACATTGCTCCCAGTTTATCCTATCACACATAGACCCAGTGCACTCCTAGAAAACACGTGTGCAAGTCTACCCCGTTAGAAAAGCAACATTTACCCCAAACCCAAGTTAGATCTCAGCTTAGTTTCACCTTGTCTATCTTCAGATTACAGCCTACCTAGTACCTAGCCAGCTATATCGTGCCTTGGTTAGTGAATACCCTTACAGATAGCGTAAAACCATAGTCACAAAAATATTTAAACGAAAATGAACAAGATTGTTTCAACTGTGCTGTCATAGCAAAGGATCATATCCACTTGTTGCTGTATTGTTAATGTGATTAAAAAAGGAATGATTTTTTTTAATTATACCATAATTGTTACGCTTTCTGTAAGGGCATTAAATGTTCTTAACCACTACACCTAAATTAATAAATTAAGCCCGAGATTCTAACACAAACTCAGATTACAAACATATGATTTTTATATTCTGTTCATAACATCTCATCACTTATAATCTGAAGTTGCATTTCTACTGACATGGCATGCTATTATTGAGTGTATAACACCAGTCTATAGCAGGCACCCGATTTAATTATTCATTGTAGATTAATCGGACAATGGTGACCGAGTCATTTTTAGGGGTTCTGCAATAGACTGCCATTAACAAAGATTTTCATAACAACATTTGATTTTATTGTACTATTGGAGATACTTAGCCTATAGCCATATTTCAACTAAAACAAGGCCTAAAATGTCCCTTGTTTTTTGTTATGGGGAAGGTGAGCTCCTTATTGCAAAATTTTGGCAAGAGTTAAATCTTAATTAAAACTGAGAAAATGAATTGTGTGCTTTTAAAACATATTTCTTTGGTATTAAGAGTAGAAGCATGGCCACAGGTTATTTACACAATAGCCATATATAATACCCGGTGGTCTCCCCAGCATTAAAGCGCTTGAAATAAAATCCTGGGGAGAACACTGGTACCAGAATATAAATAAATAAAAAACATATAACATGCAATAGAGTCTACATAAAGATACACAGATGTCATAACTGAAATCAAATCTTAGTTTTCCAATTTTTCAATTTTAATTTTCCAAGAAGTCTTTCATATTACGGCTTACTTGTGAAGTTCAAGTAACTCCTTATGATGAGTTGCATAACTGCATACGTGATGTTTCAAATGTTCAAAAGAAACGCATAATTATTATAACTTTTATGACATCTGTTGAAAAAAGCAAATTATTTCCGTGCTGGATTACGGTACAGTCTAACACACAGCCTCAAAAATAACAAACAGCCTCTGCAATAATTTTTCATGTTCTTGAGGATATGCACTAACTAACTATAACTAAAATGCGAGAAACATGCTTGAACTGTAATATAAATATAAACAATAAATTACCGAATGATTGCTTTAGTAAATTTTAATGTGCAATTGAACATGTTAGAATTACAAAGAACAAGTCATTAAGTTCAAGAACTTCTTGATCTGATCTTCTGAAGCATTAAGAATGAACCAGTGGCAAAATAAAAATTTGGATTCAAAAATACACATACTCCAATAGTAATACAAACAAAAATTCATTTTAGAAAATGAAAAGTATGATTGTTGAAATTAAAATAATCAGTTTTTATACTAACTTGCCACTGTTTCATCGAAAACTTTAACTCTGCAGTCTTTGCCATTTTACTGAATCTAATCATGTGACTCTTTGATCAGCATTATTTTGAGAGTACAGTTAAACCTGTCTAATATGAACGCCTCTGGGACCAGCAAAAAAGTGTTTGGATAAGCAGGTGTTCACATATCAAGTTTTTTTAACATATGTGATTCTAATGGAAATAACAGAATTTTTGACTGAGAAAAAGTATTCAAATTGGGAGGTGTTCGGATTTTGGACCTCTAGCAGTGGAACACCTCTGTCAGTGGAACACTTTTCAGAGTCTCAAGGTGGAACACATTTTAGAAGTACCAAAGGTGTTCCACTTAGACAGGTTTGACTGTATACTCAATGGCGGACTCAGGAAAGAGTTAACCAATAGAACCTAACTGCAGCCAATCACCTAATCAACTACAACTAAAACATGCTTTAACATAATACAACATCCATGTACGTGTGTGCGTAGATACCTCCCGGATACACACCTGGATTTTTGCAAGAAACATAGCAAAGTTGCTGAGTCCTTTCACTTGTTGACAGGGTCTCATCGATATCTTGGCTGGTAAGATAACATAGTTCCCATCCAATTTTATCACATATTGAGCCTTTACATTCCTGAGCAAGATGAAATAGCTTATAGTTGTACAACTGAATATAATTGAATCACATGTAAGTACAGTCCTGCACAAATCCCAAGAAAATATTTTTCCCAGATTCCCCATGTATCAATTAAATTAGAGCATTGCTTTGATTTGAGCTATTTCCTGGAGCTGTGCTACAGACTGAATAAGAATGCATGGTATAAGGCCAATGATATAGAATAAAAGAATCTTGTTAACAAATATTGTGATATCTGCCTTAGACTGTACATATAAATTAAAGGTACATGCGATAAACTTAAAAATCAGGTAAATTATATTTCTACAGGGAAATTTTTTACTGGAATGGAAAAAATCATATTAAAAAGATGAAAGTTTTTACTATTTTTGAATAATATCATTAGTAATATTAGTTTATTAAAAAAACTTCTTGGAAGTGATGGATTTATAGTTCATTGAATATTTCAAAAGCTCTCGGCACAGGTGGGTCTCCAGCTCAACTGTTTACTATAAAATGGTCCAATATCATAAGACCATAATGTTACATAATTTAAGAAAGCTGTAGATTTTTCATAAGGTATATAATTACAACGTACTTACCCCCATGACGCAAACCTGTGAATTTTTGTTACACGATGTCAAGTTAGCCCTGGGAGCTGGGGTCGGACATGCGGCCTGCTGACCAGTACAAAGGTCAAGGAACAATGTCACAAGTAATCAATAATAATATAAAATCTGTCTGTTCTTAAAGGGGTAACAAAGACTCAAGATGAGCGTGAGCTAAGATTCACAACTTTACAATTATTCTGTGTCTTCCTAATTATCAACTTAAACAATCCTGACATCATTTGAGGATAATCGGTTGATATTTAGTGTTATCTGGCAAAGAATAGAAAAATAGGCTCCACTTTTTCAATTTTTATAAATATGGACATTTCTGTATCAATAATTTCTACATTTGCTCGAATACAACATGACAATTCTGTTTTTCAGAAAATGATATTAGGATTCTAAGAGAGCCATAGGATGCTTTTAAAAAGATTGCTCTTAACAATTTAAACTCTATGTCATTTTAACAATAGCATCAACCAGAAATAGATTAAAACATACATGATTTTATCAAGGTAACAAAGCTCATGGACAGTCTAGCTTGCTTCAATGAAGATATTTTTTTTTTGCTTAATGTCACCACGTTAATCAATGCTCCCCATGGAACATTTTACTCCACTGAAAATGTTTGTTTATCTAAAGCACTAAAGGATATTCGCACTTTGCCTCCTGCGCACAGTCAGATGAAGATTTGCAGACAGAATCGGTGGATGCTTCTTTATATTCACAGTCTGTATTGCAGCATGGGCCCTCAGATGGACTGAAACACAAGAACTGAATAATGCCAAATCGTTATAGCTGCTTGCCTATCTACTACAACATCCCCCTGCTCCCTCTTTCTTAAATGTTGTAAGATACCTCAGGCAATGTTACATAAACATACTAAATTATATCAAAACCAAATAGATAAACAAGGCTTTAATAAGCCAAATATCACTACATGACAATTGTTACAGTCACCATTTGTTACTGACCCCAATTGCCGAACACCATCCACAAGAAAGGTTGGAGACTATAACAATATGTCACCACTTCTAATGGTGACAATAAAAAAAATGAAAATAGCAAGTATATAATTGTGTCCTTAATGAAACATTAATCTTTACATTTTGAATATTTTAGGATTTCTTTCAATTTTGAACAAGGAATTAACATGCAGAATTTCACCACCTGTCATTTGTTACAGATGCTGATTGTTGTATGCTGGAAGTCAACCACCGAACACCGTACACAAAAAAAGTTTGAGACCATAACAATGTCACCATTTCTGTTGGTGACATAAAAACCGGTCAATGAAAATGTTCCACAGACACTTATTTAATCAGTTCTTACCTGCAAACTACATTAGGTTTGCGTGTGCAGCCGGAGCCATCAGTGCCGCGCCCAATGCAACATTTATCTTCACAGTCTTGGGCATAGCCACAATCACATTGTTCTCCATCTTCAACAATATAGTTGCCACAGAAGGCTGCTTGTGATTCTACAACAGGAAATACATAACCCTAAAATGCTCTTTTCTTATTGGTCAATGGTCAACTAATGCCACATGAAGTAAGAAAATATCAAAAGGACACCTAATGTGAACAATATCACATTGTCCCTTGGAATTAATTCTTTATTCCCTCTCTCGGATTAAATAACATTGAGCAGCATGCTTCATTTTAAATTTTGAGAAAAATGCAAAAATGATTTTAAGGAACTTCAATGTGAAAATTATTATGAGGAACGAACCTTCAAAACAGTTAATTTTCGAGCTTTTTCCTGTAAATACTGCTTCTAATACAGAAGTGATGTTGTCCTTGCTACATGCTGAGAACTGGTTGTTGTTCACTCTGTCTCCCGAAGTGGCTGAGGCAAACATAATGTAGTTGCCAACTTGGTTCTGACTGCTGGTATAGGGTGTACAGGCTGACCCAGAGTCATGCTGAAATATAGAGACAAACATTATATAGCTGCCAGCCTGGTTCTGACTACTGGGGGTGTACAGGCTGACCCAGAGTCATGCAGAAATATAGAGACAAACATGATATAGTTGCCAGCCTGGTTCTGACTGCTGGTATAGGGTGTACAGGCTGACCCATATTGAAATATAGAGACAAACATGATATAGTTGCCAGCCTGGTTCTGACAGCTGGTATAGGGTGTACAGGCTGACCCATATTGAAATATAGAGACAGACATGATATAGCTGCCAGCCTGGTTCTGACTACTGGGGGTGTACAGGCTGACCCAGAGTCATGCAGAAATATAGAGACAAACATGATATAGTTGCCAGCCTGGTTCTGACTGCTGGTATAGGGTGTACAGGCTGACCCATATTGAAATATAGAGACAAACATGATATAGTTGCCAGCCTGGTTCTGACTGCTGGTATAGGGTGTACAGGCTGACCCAGAGTCATGCTGAAATATAGAGGCAAACATGATATAGCTGTCAGCTTGGTTCTGACTGCTGGTATAGGGTGTACAGGCTGACCCAGAGTCATGCTGAAATATAGAGGCAAACATGATATAGCTGCCAGCTTGGTTCTGACTGCTGGTATAGGGTGTACAGGCTGACCCAGAGTCATGCTGAAATATAGAGACAAACATGATATAGCTGCCAGCCTGGTTCTGACTGCTGCTATAGGCTGTACAGGCTGACCCAGAGTCATGCAGAAATATAGAGACAAACATGATGTAGTTGCCAGCCTGGTTCTGACTGCTGGTATAGGGTGTACAGGCTGACCCAGAGTCATGCTGAAATATAGAGACAAACATAATGCAGTTGCCAGCCTGGTTCTGACTGCTGGTATAGGGTGTACAGGCTGACCCAGAGTCATGCTGAAATATAGAGGCAAACATGATATAGCTGCCAGCCTGGTTCTGACTGCTGGTATAGGGTATACAGGCTGACCCAGAGTCATGCTGAAATATAGAGACAAACATGATATAGTTGCCAGCCTGGTTCTGACTGCTGGTATAGGGTGTACAGGCTGACCCATATTGAAATATAGAGACAGACATGATATAGCTGCCAGCTTGGTTCTGACTGCTGGTATAGGGTGTACAGGCTGAGCCAAAGCAATGCTGAAATATAGAGACAGACATGATGTACTGATATGATGCTGAAATATAGGCACATAATACACTGAATAATAAAAAGTTTCTGTGAAAGAATAAACTCCATTCTATGCATAATTACACTCAAAATATGGCCTAATTTTAAAGAGAATACCACTTCTTACTGGAGATCCAAAGTTGTGTCCAACTTCATGAGCAAAGGTGAGTGTTGACACTTTAAGAGGGACCCTCCTTCCGTAATTGATGATTGTAACAATGCCTGTGTTGAGAGACTTCCAAATTTTAATGCCTCCAGTTTCTCTGTACTCAGCATATTTTTCACAAACACCTCCACGAGCACCTAAAAATATTAAGACATACTAAAGTTCTCCAGTTCAATTCCTAAATGGGGGGAGAGAGAGAAGGTGTCACTAGATATGAGAAGTGAACCCCCGTAACCCTAACCCCCTCCCTCCCCGTGTATTTAACATTCTATGTTTAGACACATGTGTCAAAATCATTCGCATGTTCAAAACAGATCTTGACAAAAACACAAACAAACATAAAGCAACGTTATGTTTTATTTAAACATATATGCAAAGCTTGGGTGATAAAAGCACGGGAATCAAACTTAAAACCAAATCATTCCTTTTATTTGATAATCATTTCATATGCGGCAGTATGCATGCTTTAAATATTATTTCTTGATTTCAGAATCAAAGATTAGATATGTCATGACAAATCAGAAAATAATTTGATAATCTCTGAAGTAAACACAATGACATCAATAATTTTTATAAAGTTAGTTACACCAACTAAACTAGGCCAGGCCCCTTTTCTAACTGTATAAAACATGCAGTCAAATATTCAAAGCTTTTGTTGAGGCGGTAATTTCCTGCAAATTTATCATTTATCAACCAGAATCATTTTATAAAAGCATCATAGTTAATGAAGCAAACATATGAGTATGAGATATTTAATGTTATTAAGCCATTTATATCTTGCACCGTTGCAACATTCTGCAACTCTTATCAGAAAGCATACAGTTAGTCCATTTTGCAAAAGCCAGGGAGTTAAAGAAGCGCGAAGATTGTAATGTTTAATGTGAATTTCACAAATATTTGCATTCCTAAAAGAAGTGTACATACAAGAATCTAAGGTAGTAAAAGCAAATACATACACAGTTCTGATCTATACCAAATTATATGTGGTGACTATACTGTATATGTATCGCAATAACGTGACAAAATGTCACCACAAGCATAAATAATGGATGTGTACATTTGTTAGAGATAGTCATGAAAATTGGCCCCAAGAACTAATTTGAGGTGACATAAAAAATCTCAGTTATAATATATGATGTTTTATCACAACGACAAGAACAACTAAGATTTAAAATCATGTGGTGACTTAATCTCAAAGAAAAAAAAACGTTTAAACGTATAAGCAGTGCCTTTATCCATGATGACAAAAAACGGAAATCTCATATTTAAGACAATATGTGGCATCCTTTCACAATAACACAAAAAGCTAAAGTAAAATAATATACAGGGACTTGATCACAATGACGAGGAACGGTCACATAAAATAAAATGATAATATGTGGTGACTTGGTCACAATGACAAGATAGAGTCAATTAACAGGAAAATATTATAGTAATTAAAACCTTATGTGTTGACTTCATCATAATGCTAAGAAAAGCTCAGATTTCAGGTTTAAAATTATTTGTGGTGGCTATATTTAATAACTTGTGTGGTGACTATATTTTACAATGACAAGAAAAGCTCAGATTTAAAATTATTTGTGGTGACTATATTTCACAATGACAAGAAAAGCTCAGATATAAAATAATTTGTGGTGGCTATATTTCACAACAACATGACAAGCTAAGATTTAAAATTATTTGTGGTGATTATATTTCACAATTTGTGGTGGATATCTTGAACAATGACATGAAAAGCTAAGATTTAAAATAATTTGTGGTGACTATATTTCACAATTTGTGGTGTACGTATTGCACAATGACAATGTTGTGTCTACATTTCAGAATGACAAGAAGCTCAGGTTGAAAATAATTTGTGGTGGCTATTTTTCACAATGACAAAAAAGCTCAGATTTAAAATAACTTGTGGTGGCTATATTTCAGAATGACAAGAAAAGCTCAGATATAAAATAATTTGTGGTGGCAATATTGCACAATGAAAGGAAAAGCTAAGATTTCAAACAATTTGTGGCAACTATATTTCACAATGACGAGAAAAGCTCAGTACATCTGATAAAAACCTATAATGTGATGTCAGAAAGGTAAATAATTTAGCAGTCTTTCAGTGTTGAAAAGACAAATGGTTCATTCATCTTAAAACTAAAACGAACTTAGAACAATAAATAAATCTCCATTATTCTAACCATGCTTATACTTCAAAACTTATTATAATGAAACAGTACTATTTGGTAGACTCACATGGTGATTTTGATAAGGCAAAAATAGGAGGAGCTGGGACCAATAATGGACATTACAAGTAAGTGATATGAGCATAAGTTTAAATGGAAGGCTCTTTGAGAAAACTATTCATGGAGAGATGAATGAGTGGGCAATTCCACCATGTGAGCCAATGATAGTACAATGAATCACAAACCTCAACAGGCAACCTCATTCAATGAGTTTAACTAGCAAATACAGTACAACAAGAATGCCTCAATTTGACAATACCCTACATCTCTTGGTCTTGACCTACCTCCTTTGTTTGAACCACTATAGCTGGCTAATAAACAGAAAGTTATGTTTTTAACCAAACCCTACTAGAACTATTCAAGCCATGTTGTTTGACAAAACATAATGTACAATAAAGCCTGTTAAGCAGAACACCCTTGGTGTTCTACTTGGGGTGATTTCCAGTTAAATCAAGTAAATCAGTGAGAGTACTGTACCCTTTGTGCATTTGCTCAAGTTTGCTTCTTAAACGTGAGCTTCGTCTTCACTCTTTCAGTTTACAATAAATCTCTGAACTGAACTGAGCCAATCAGAGTTTGTCGTCGAAATGCGGATGACTTTCCATACATAGTCATTTCCTCTCACATTATCATGTGTTCCTTCCAGTTCACTGATTGGTTGAGAAAAGGCAGAGCGGTAGATTTGAAGTGATTTATAACCTTGACTGTCACAGGCAACAGCTAAACTGTAATATACTCTACACTAAGCAGAGGGTAGTTTAAAACTAGACTGCACGCATGGGACAGAATTGTAGAGTGATGCACTCATAGAGGTGTACCACTTGACTTGTTTTACTTTTGAATCTTTCTGGGACTTTTGAAGTTGATCATTTTCATCCAATTAAAGGAATATTGTATAGGACAATTGAATGGGGAATTTAAAAACAATGACCCTGCAGGCCTGCAATATAAAAGATGTGATCAATATGGCTTCAATGGTATTGAAATTCTCAAATAGTAAGAGTTTGTAACTATGAACTATCTAGACTACATTATTGGTTTCATTCTAGCTTGAAACCATCCCTTTTACCTTGAATTTGTCCATTTCTATCTTTTTCTGCAATCCAAAGAAAATTAATACCCCAAACACACACTACATGATTAATTTTTTCCTCATTGTAACATTAATGTCAGGTATCAAAACACATGAAATTACTAAAGGATGATTTTTCCATGTTACAGGACTGGTAAAAATGATATCACATGACACTAATTATCCAACCACAAAATGAGACAAGGAATTAACATGCAAAATGTCACCACCTGCCATTAATTACAGACACTGAACACCAACCACCAAATGTCAAATGCCAAACACCAATCACCGAACACCATCCACAAAAAAGTTGGAGACCATAACTTATGTCACCACTTCTGGTGGTGACATAAAAACTTGATACTTGAAAATATTTCAGGCATTTCTATACAAAAATTTGTAGTGAACTAAATATTGTTGTATTCCACAGCTAATTGATTTCTCAGTTGCTGATTCCTCTTTCTACAATAATTTCAGTTTGAAACAAGACTCAATCAAGACGAATCTCTCATAGTTATTAACCCCTTGAATCCCATGCTCTAAAATTGGTTGAAACAAGAAAATTTTTCATTTTTGCCAGCTTTAGACATTTACTACATTTATTACATATACAACAGGTGATACTCATTTTATTAAAATTAGACGGCAGAGATCATTTCTACACATTTTAAAAATATTTTTGTCTAAATTGGATGAAAATTGTTCAAATAAGAGCAATTCTAGTGAAAAATTTAGTGATGGATTATCTCGTTACTCTGGGTAGTCAAGAGGTTAATGATGAAAACACACAGCATTGGAATGAATATTCAAATACAAAATGTGGATATCATAAGAACTCTGCAACTTACTTGTTGATGACCCCACCCAAGCGAGACCCAGGGTACCCCCGGTAAAGTCTCTATAGGTGAAGATATAGGCCAGACAGAATTCATTGTGGTTTTTCAAGGAGTTAAGGTTGAGAAAGTTGCTGACATCAATGTTTCTGTTACAGTATGGGTTGCCATTTGCTTTGGTCCCAGTGCAATCATCTGTGGTGTTGATCTACAAGGAGTAGTATATGATACTAATTAATCAATAATAATGAGCGATTGTGATAATGAAATTGCTTGATGATTTGACCCTGACTGCTCTAAACTAAATAATTCATTTATAAACACTCTGGTGATGACAACACTGTTCTATAACCAATGAAATTATTAGGACTTTATGGCGACAATTTCAAACTGTTTTTAAATGCATTTGATTCCTTTCAACTGATAAGTTGAATTATTATATCTAGCTAGCTAGCAATGGTATGATTGGTCAAAACCGGGTCACATGTCAAGGAATATCTGGTGGTGTTCGATCACCATGCTAATCAGACGAAGAAAAGTTAAAATTAATTGAAAATGCACACAATGAGCTTAACATTCAATTAAAGTTTCTGTTGATTGAATGGAGGAAACCGGGGAGCGATATAAACTTGCAACGTGTGCAAAATCGTGAAATGAATTCAAAATTACACTTTTTGTGAATTGAGAAATCAAGACTAGACAGGGATATCTGCAGAGCCATCCACGATGTCGAATTCCATGGAACCAACAAACAATGACAGACAGTGTTCAATATATTACAGTGAAACCTGTAAATCTGAAGACCTCTCTAATCTGAACACCTCTCAAAGTGAACACTTTTTCTTGATCCCAAATTGATCCCATTGACTGACATGTTTATAAAACCTTACAATGTGAACACCTGCTAATTTGAACACTTTTGGCCAGTTCCAACAGCGTTCGGATTAGCCAGGTTTTACTGTATTTCATGAAAGGAGGAAAATAACACCATAAAAATCCAAACAAAACTAATCCCCTATCTATTAATTTAGTGGTATGAATCACAACATCAGTAAAAGTAAACAGAATTGAACCAATATAAAACACAGGCATAATTCCCTGAAACATATTAAATTCATATAAAACACCAACTAGCTCTCAAATGAACAAGTATATTTAAAAATTGATGACGTATCTAAAAAAAGTGATATGGTCCTGAAATTCACACAATAATCCAATTTGGTACCCCCCCCCCAATCGTAGTATTAATACATACCTTTAGCCGTTGTACAGTGAAGGAGATGCTACTATACTGAACGCTCTTGTCATACTTCGAAAATATTGTTTCGGAATAAATATCCTTTATACCAGTAATATGAGAGGCCAGAAATGCAGTGATTTCTTCCTTTGCGACCTGGAAATAAAAACAGAATTAACTTGAGGGAATATCAATCGATAAAGTTCAAGTCAATAAAAATAAGTTAAACCTAGTTTTTACTTTGAGAGATTGCTACCTGCAACCTATGACATCATCAATTTAGCCAATATATTTCAGTTTCTTTGATGCACCAAAATGAAAATTGGAAAGGTCTATGTATTGTGTTTTTATTTGGAGTGATGATGGGATTAATACTGAACAAAAAGATATGGTCATTTAAAATTGTATAATTTTCAAAAAGGAATAGCTTTGTGGGTATTTATATGGATATGGGTACGTCAAAAACATTGCTACCTGCAACCTATGACACCATCAATCTAACCAATATATCCTAGTTTCCTTGATGTACTAAAACAAATATTTGAGGGTTTTTATGTTTTTTTGTGGGTATTTATATGGACACAGAGATCTCAAAACGGGAGATGGTAATACTTACGCTTGCATCATTGTTTGATTGATCTAAATAATACTCCCACAGTTCTTGGTCTGTTTGAAGGAACATGTTACATGTGTTTCTTTCAGGGGTTGTTATAGATTGACGCTTTTTTCTACTTTGAACTTTCTCTTGTGGTTCAAAATATGCATTGGCTTCCTCGGAGTAAATGTTGTAGTCTCTAGGTACTTCTCGCTTCTCAATCTAAAACCATTGAAAGGCAAATAAAAATTGATAATAAAATTAAACAAGGCTTTAACATACGAAATGTTACTACCTGCCATTTGTTCGATGCTGACGGTCATTTGGTACAGATGCCGACCGATGTTACAAATGCTGAACACCAGCCCAAAAAATTGTTGACTACAACAATGTCACCACAAAAACTGGAAAATAAAACAGTTGTTGATTTGGAAATCATAAATGTTACAGTATCAATAGCCAATTCAGTGAGATACAGGATGAAACCTCTAAATACCCTTATTTGTTTTACCAATTATGATTGTGTCTTATCTCATATTTTAGAATATTGTCGAGTACAATCTACATAAGTCTTGCATCATGCCCTTGCATTGCTCATTCAACTATCCCATCTCTCTTAACACAAGGACACAAGTTTCATATGGCACCCAACTGCTATCTTAATCATGTTAGTAAGATATTAGACTCGGCATGGGCTAAGAATGTTGTTCTCGTCAAATATCATACTTTTTGTGAAAAATAAATCAATATTGTATGAAAAACAGAAGATAATCTCTCCAAATCAAACAGCTACAGCAGCGTGGCCTAATTGTGACGTCACTACAAGATAAAATCCATCTGGTGATCGCAAATTGTCAATTGAACGGAGTATCAATGATGAAAGTGATGATATCACATGCACCCAATGATAATATAAAACAAGGAAGGAGAGCAGCAAAGGGGATAAAGGGGACAAAGGGGAAACATCAGATGTCATTTTCAACAGAACTTTTTCTGCCATATTAGATATGCTTACAAAATATAAAATATCTAGCCAAAAGTTATTTAGCAATAAAAATATGATTCAAAAAATCTTGTGCAAACCAGAGACACTAAAATAACTATTTTGAAGAATGTCTGTACTTACAACAGGATCTCTGAGGACATTGCCTGTTGCAGAATTTTGTACATCTGCCATCCAGTCTCGCACATAATCATTGCCACATGTCCCTGTCTCTGCAGATCTCTTGTGTCTGCAAATTTCAAGGCATTTGTGATTTCAGTACGTATTTTAGATAGTACAGTAAAACCTGTCTTAGTGAACACCTCTCTCTAGTTAACACCTGTATTTAGTGAACACTACTTCAAGACACATTTTCATAACTCCTGTATAAAATCTCCATAGCAATACTAAACATAGCAGTAGGTGACATCTCCTCTCTGTAGTAAACATAGCAGTAGGCGACATAACAAAATGGTAACAATTTGTGACAGGTGACAATATAACGATAACAATACGCCATGCACATCTTCTTGGTGAATTGAAAAAATGACCAAATGGAGATTTATTTTAAATATTTCAAAATTCACAAACCTGTAAGGATCAGGATCAACATCGCTATCTGCATAGATGACCGAGTGGAATTCTTGTGGATCGTCATAGAAACGTCTGGCTGATTCAACATAGAACTTCTCTCTGGGAGTCTTGATCCAGCCTTGGAAGACACCATTGATTATGGAACCATGAACCTTGGTGTTTGTCTCACCTAGAATTATAAGTCAAATATTAAAAGTATTAATCTAGTTATCGAATTACATGAAATGGTGTTTGTGGATAAATTATTTCATATATTCAATTTTCTACTTCAATCTATAATGACATGATAAAAATCTGCCCCACCATATTCAAACTCACTGACATGATTATATTCATCTTACATGAACATAATATTGCTAACCGTAAGGAAACTTAATAGAATAATCAAAAGATCTCCAATGATCATATATTGTAAATTTTATTGACTTTTGGACAACTCTCATAGACAGTGACAGCATTTTATAGAGGTGAGTTAAAGGATGAATAAATGTACATATGAAGTACTATGAAGCTCAGAGGCTACTAACAATAACTACCATTTGGTAAGGCTAGCCAGGGTTTAAAACTCAGTTACCTGATTGAAATGATAATCACTTTTAACAAAAAGCAATAGAGCGTATTTAAAATCTTGGTGCTATTAACACAATAGTCAGATTGCCAGCAGCCTGTCAAGTTTGGCAACCATGTTTTGAACATTGGCAAAGTATTCTTAATGATCAATAGTCGAAAATTATATTCTCCAATATACAGAGTAAAGTACAAATTCCTACAAATAAAAAACTGTTCCATTTCTCTAACATTCGTTTGACTTAGCTCCTTTTAAGAGAGCTCCATCTTACTTACTTAATTTTAGCTTAGCTCTGCGCTCAGGATGAAAATATTATTTGCATATTCTATCAACTTACCACAATGTTCACCTTAGATATGAAGTGTCAATATCTTCAGCATCATCCAAAAGTTCACCTTGGTCCATGCATGAAGTATCATATCATATCAACTGAACTCAAAAGTTTACTCTGGTATCACATTTTATCAACTTACCCTGACTCACTTACTCTCCATAGGTGTTTACTGAACACAGGTTTTACTGAAAATGCGTATTCAATCAACTTACCCCAAAGTTCGCCCTCATATGTGAGGTGTCATAATCGTCTAATGTCCCATTTGAATGCTCCACTTGGAGCCATGGCTAAAACAGTTCCAGGTAAGAGAATAGAGCAGTTTTGAATTTGCTACGTTAAATAATAATGAGACTATATACATAGTCTATCAAAACTTACCCCAAAGTTCACCCTCGTATATATGGGATGTGTCATAATCCTCTAATGTCCCATTTGAATGCTCCGCTTGGAGCCATGGCTAAAACTGTTCCAGGTAAGAGAATAGAGCAGTTTTGAATTTGCTACGTTAAATAATAATGAGACTATATACATATTCTATCAAAACTTACCCCAAAGTTCACCCTCGTATATATGTGAGGTGTCATAATCGTCTAATGTCCCATTTGAATGCTCCACTTGGAGCCATGGCTAAAACTGTTCCAGGTAAGAGAATAGAGCAGTTTTAAATTTGCTACGTTAAATAATAATGAAACTATATATATATATTCTATCAAAACTTACCCCAAAGTTCACCCTCGTATATATGGGAGGTGTCATAATCGTCTAATGTCCCATCTGAGTTTTCCAACTTGAAGCCTTTGCTAAATGTAGTAGTATCTTTCCTCAAACGCAGGTTAAAATTCCTGAAACATTAAAATTGATAAAATAAACATAAAAGCGGAACAATGTGGCAGAATTCATACATAAATATCTCAAGAAGAACCCTATAACTGCCGCCATGCCAGTAAATTGTGCAAATTGTCAAGAATTCTTTTTAAGGATCAAATTAGAATGAATATATAAAACTATTTTTGGTGAAGAAATAAATCAGAGTCAACTGATTCAATTGATCATGCAGAGGTGATTTATTTGGCTGTACAACCTATTTCTGTACAAATACAATCTATGCAAGGGAGGTCCTGAATGTATCTAGTATCCAATGTAATTCTCCCGTTACTGATAATTTCCTCTACTATTGCATATACCAGAAACTGTGAATCACTAGATTTATAAACAAAATTAACACCTTGTACATAAACAAAACTGAGCCGTTATGTAACTTTATAACAAATTGAGGTGAATGAGCATTGTGAGTGTCTCAAGAAATGAAATATTTTGAATATATATCTATCTATTAGCTAGGTATCCATAAAAGTGAAGAGTTCACTGCTTCATCAGCCTCTTCCTAGCAACAGCAGTAATAGATATTAAATCTGAATACCTGAATACCAAAGGTAGAAGTATATTAATGACTTTCTACATTCTACATTTAATAATATACATACCCCATAAAATAAAATTCTCACTCTACCCCTTGATGCAAACTGATGTATGAAACAAAAGATATATACTTAAATACCAGTGGCAGACATTGGGGTATGGGGCTCAGAATTTGCACTTCCCCATATAAACTGGGCAAAAGAAGAAATACTTATTATCTAGGCTAATCAACTCTACTGTGCATTATTCTTTTTTCAATTTTGAGCTAATTTTTGGGGCCCCTTGATTTCCAACATCGCCCCTGGGTGCAAAATGTTATTTGTTAATCATGACCCTAGACAAAATGTCGTTGAATCGAAACCCATCGATTGCATATCCTATTAACTCAGTAACAACTTTAATAGCATAAGCTTTTTTCTCTCTTTCAGTTATGTTGACCTAAACACTGCAATACAATTAATCTGTAATTTTGTAAAAGTACAAAATAATAGGTTTGTCATCCATACAGTTATGGTAAATACTCCATGCTAGACAGAGAGAATTCATTAACATGGGAGTCAATGTGGTCCCTTTGAAAATTGCTCCATTAGAGTGGTAGGGCGGTTTTATGGAATTGTTCCTTTTGAGTTATCTTGTTCCTGATCATTATGTCATTGTAATATGATGATCAATGGAGTAAAATGTGCCATGGGGTACAGTGCCTTCATTCAATTCAGATGTATTTCTCATTTGAGGACAAATCGATGCCTCAAAACGATAACATTTCAGGCCAATAGCCATCTTTTGCTGAGGGTTCACTTTCTAAAAATTCCAGAGGAGTTCACCTTTTACAACCTTGGCCAAAAATAGCCAAAATCATTTGAAAAGTGTTCAGAATGGTGAAAAACTGCAAGGAGGGGGGGGACCCAGAGCCCCCTAGCTCCTGGGCCTGTATTTGAAATGATTCCATGCTTCATTGAATCTGTTTATAAACTTCGCAATCATGTTGAATGTGAGTTTCTTATGAGCCTCTCTGAGACAATTAAGATCTACAAGTCATTTTATTTACTGTTCTAGTCGTACTATGGAGGGAAAGAGAACTAGATAACGGCAACTCCGCAGAGTAGCAAATCCCAACGAACAAAATATCAATTACCGAATTCCAATCAATTATACTCATTACTTTGGTTGAAAATGAAAAAATTAGATTTTAGAATTGCGAATTCCTGCAAAGCAGCCATTTTGAATTTTCTGAGGTACAAATCTGAAAAATAATACCATAATTGTGATCTACTCCAAAATTCCTTCAATTTGAGTATAATATAGCCATACTTTGAAGGGATCAAAAAATTATTGCAAAATCGTACATTAGACGGCCATTTTGAATTTTACGAGGCTCGAATCAGAAAAAAGATACAATATTTGCAATCTTCTCTTAATTGCCTTTCATTTGAGTATAATAAAGCTATACTTCAGAAAGATCTAAAAATTAGCGAAATTTTCTGTTTTCCTGTCCCCCCATACATGGCCCCTGGGGGTCAGGATGAAAAACACGGAATATATGTGAAATATATAAATGTTGTGAATACACTACCAAAATTTCAAACAATAATATTAATTACTTTGGTTTAGAATGAAAAATTTATGATTTTTGCGAAAAAGTCCCGTCATTTTTAAAGCGGCGGCCATCTTGAAAAATTTTTTTTTTGCGTAAAATTATTCACCAATATACATCTTTCCACTAAATATGAAGAAAATCTGTCAACTAGTATTTGAGTTATCTTCCGGACAGACGGACGGACTGACGGACAGACGGACTGACGGACGGAGGGCTTCACTATATCCCTAACGAACTTCGTTCGTTGGGATAATTAAATGACATCATGATCATCTATCAGTTTCCCATCTTTGCAAGACAAGACAATCCAAGTGGCTTTGACAATCAGATGAGATAATATAACAGATCAATATTTTTAATGAGATGAAGTGAATATCTAGATTCAAATAGATATGCCCTGGATGGCAATTTCTACTATAACTATAACCACGATGACTTCAATCTTGGTTATAATAAATTATAGAGTAAAATAGAAACGCTTCAATCTACATGTCTATTAGTTAAAGCATGTGACACAATCTAATAAAACTTGATGAAATGAAATACATACACACTGTATTATTTTGTTAAAAGAGCTCACACTGCTTCCTTATATTTCAACATTTACCTTATATTTATTTTTACATCCTCAATGAAACAGTATTAAAACCGTGACTTTTTAGAAATGAAAACTGTAATTTAAATTTCTGTTTCCACCATTTTCAATTAAGAAGGCAAAATCAATATTTTTTATTTCTTTATTAAAGGAATTCCCTTATTTATTCATTATTGGTACAGGGCGTTAACAGAGACTTAATCTAAGCTAAAATGACCTTCAAGCATGTAACATGCACACAGAAAAAAACAAGGCATTAACATGCAAAATATCACCACACACCATTTGTTACAGACACCATTTGTTACAGATGCTGAACACAGTCCACAAAAAAGTTGGAGTATATGTCACCACTTGAAGTAGACACATAAAAATTAGAATGTACATCTACATTGTACATGTGTGTGAGAGACTTGATACAAGAATACTTGGGTCTGACACTCATTTCACATCTTAACTATTATGACTGCCTCACTAACCCAAAGCCCAATTACCAGTTGTAAATATAATATTCTCACTGCATAGGATTTAAGTACAGGGTGACCGGAAAAAAAGGAGACCATTGAAATAGGCAATATCTCCTAAAATAGACTAGTGACATCAATGAAATTTTGCATACATCAGGACAGTTCTATGGAAATTTGTTCCTGAAAGTGTCAATACAAGCAGTCAACTGGTTCAGGAGCTATGATCATTTACATAACATGCTCCAAATAGGCGCAATTGAGACCAACGCAGAGCTGGATACATTTGGCAAATACCCTTACATATTCCGACCTTGTTATGGCATTACATTTAGCATTTATTGCCACCTTTAGGTCAGCAATTGTCTCAGGATTTTTTGGTACACATTGTCTTTCAAATTGCCCCACAAAAAGAAATCAGGTGGATTCAAATTTGAGGTGTATGGAGACGAAGCTTATCTGACCTATGGCTTCTGACTCAGTGGTCCCACTCAGTTACAGTATCATCCTAAGGAGGTTTTGGGCAGCCCTTGGTTTCCATATGGGATTTAATTGTGCCATATAGTGGTTTTAGTAACATGGCACTATGCCCAATACCTAAAGTGACTCTTAAGATTGGGTAAATCAGCACTTTGGCAACAGGATGATGAACCACATGTCAGATAACCCTTCATTGCCATTACAGCCTAGACTTGAATCCTGCTGATTTCTTTTTGTATGGATATTTGAAAGACAATCTATACCAAAACAATCCTCAGACTATTGTTGACCTAAAGAAGGCAATCACTGCTATATGAAATGCCATAATAATGCCATAGAGGGCGGAACATGTAAGGGTAGTTTGCCATATGAATCCAACTCTGCGTTGGTCTCAATTGTGCCTATTTGGAGCATGTTATGTAAATGATCATAGCTCCTGAACCAGTTGAATGCTTGTATTGAAACATTCAGTAACAAATTTCCATATAACTGTTCCAGTGTATGCAAAATTTCATTGATGGCACTTGTCTAGTTTAGGAGAAATTGATTACTTCAATGGTCTCCTTTTTTTCCGGTCACCCTGTACATAGATTTGATACGGATAAGTTTTTCATCAACCCAAGAGGTTGTCATGGCCTTTCACGAGACTTTGAAATGACAGTTACTTGTGAACATACATTTCTATGACTACATTTACAGTTTGAATGGGCTTTTTTTATTTGATTTGATCAAAGAATTATCTCGAATTCAAAGAGTGTGGATAAATCAAATTATTGAAAAGGTTGCTGACTCACCTGCCGTGTGATTTGAATTTAAGATGAAGATGAGGTTCTGTGGTTGAGCGCCGAGCCCTCTGGTGGTCACGGTGGAGATCATTGGTACTATATGTTAATCCCTCAAAATGGGATATGTAATCATTCAAACGCTTCTTTTCTGAAAAATAACATCATCAATATGGTTACCATTTTTATCAAATTGTTAATATAAGCCCTTGGCACAGGATTTCATTCTTTGATTTCATTAACTATAATGCATCTCTATGGCATTATACTTTGGATTTTTCACTATACACTGTAGTTCATTAAATAAAAACAACGCTTTATACAAAAGATGTAATTTAACAAGGATGGTGCCTCATAGAATAATAGTACAATAACGTCATTTCAAAGGGCAATATTTCACTTTTACTTATTATTACCACCATTTATTACCAAGCTGAAATGGTAAAACTGACTGACCACTTAAGCGAAATTATACGCACTGAACGATATCTCATTTCCCGGGAAACATTGCTGGGCTGAAATATCATTATTGGCCCGCCACTATGACGTCACATATTACTCAGGTCAATATAGTAAAATAAACACCTTCAATTCTAGTACTATTACCCCAAGAACAGGCCCGCCAAGGGGGTAATAATAAGTATAAACATAATTGTTTTTTTCATCTATAAGAAAACATCAAGCTTGAAATATTTAGGATTATCACAAAAAAGTTCTTGTTCCCTCAGTTTAAGTTGTCTAAATATGACATCATCGATCATGTTCGTCATTGATAATGGATTTTCAGTATCTTTCCAGGAAAGTCGGTTTTAGAAATAAACCCTCATCCCATATTATGGATGAAACATTAATGTTCATTTGTGAATGTGAAGGTAATTCAAAGATTGATTAGAGCTTAATGAAAGTGAGCCCTTCACTCATCCCTAAATGAAAATAATAAGTCAAGTAAATTACTAAACATATCAGTTATATAATTAAGCCCCTTACTGTAGTCCATATGATAATGGAAGACTGGGGCCGAGCCCTGCCCTTACCCCAAAATAGGCAAAAGAAAGGCCCAGTTTTTCCAAATAAATTTTGTTAAAAAGGCCCACATTTTCTAAAACAAAACTATGTGTTATTTTACCTCCCCCTCATTAAATGTACTTGAGTTAGGAACAACCAAGTAAAGGTGAGTGTTGAATAGGTTTAGGAGTACACTAGTAATTGATACAACTGCATTAATCTTGTTGGCAATTAGGCCGTTTCTGACTAATTAGGGATGCCTGGGTGTATGATATATGGCCACTATGGCATACAAGGTGCAGAGGTCTGCCAACTAGGATAACAAAACGATGAAGCTAATTATGGTTTTATCTTGGACATTTTTAATGAGCTAGACCAGCTTCATTCTGTATTCAATCAAATCTTTCTGTTTCACGAAAACAAGGCTGAGAAGAAATGGTGCCATGGGTTATCATGATAGGCTAGCTTGTATATAACCTGAAATCATGTACTAGTTCAGCTAGGCAACTAAACATGACAAAATTGTTCTACCTGATAAGCTATTGCCAATGGTAACAAAACTGTAACTACATGTTACAGATACTGACCATCAATACCAATTGTTTAGTTTAGAAAACTGGTAAACAAGGCATTAACATGCAAAATATCACCACCTACTATTTGTTACTGACAACGAACACCAACCGCCGACATCAAAAACCATTGAAAACCATAACGATATATCATCACTTGTGGTTGTGATATGGTAGCTTCACTTCTTAGTGCTGACATAAAATTATTCTAACTATGGTCTATTTGAAGTTCCCATTTCTAATTCTTATATAGCTTTCATATATTTTGAAGGCATCTCATATCATTTGACAACAAGGCATTAACATGCAAAATATCACCACCTCCCATTTGTTACAGATACCCACCGCCAAACACCAACCACTGTACACAAAAAGTTGGAGAATAAAACAATATGCCACCACTTCTAGTGGCGATAAAACATGGTCACTTATTGCATGTATTTCTAGTTGGACTTATTTGTAATGACAGCCCCCCTCTGGTGTCTCCATTAAGCCGTCATGAGATTGCATGATTTAATCATGACGCTAATCAATTATTTTGAAATGCTTACAGTCAGTATATTCAGCAAACGACATGAAATATATCATGAAATTGTATTACAGTATTACACTGAGTGTCAGAGGGTATCAATTAGGATTGTACAGTGTAGATGGACATGCTAATAGCCAAGGGAGAGGGGTTCAGGGGGGGGTCTATTGGCCCAAAATTCTTCAAAATCATGCAGTATTCTGAGCACTTTTCAAGTGGTTTTGGACCCAAGTTGTCAAATCTGAACCCCTTGGAATTTTTAAAAGTGAACCCCCTTGGAAATAGCTGATCAAACTATAAGAAAAGGTACATGTAAATATGTATATATCCATAACAGACAGATATGTTATAAAATCTGCTTAATGCCTTGGTCACATTTGCTCCGATTCATTGAGTATTCTGTTCAAAACTAAATACAATTGTAAACAGAATACTCTATCGGCTGGATGTCGCCGATGAATTGGAGCAAATGTGACCCAGGCATAACACAACAATAAAATGCAGACAAAATACAAGAGTTCTGAGCGGGTAATGTTGGGCGAGGAGATAGATACTGACTAAGTCAACTTGGAATGAAAGTAGCATATAAACAAACAGATCCATTACATGAAATAATAATTCTGGTATGTTCAGATATCTCAATTTCTGAGAGAAGCAAAATGAAACCACAAGTCAAGATATAGTAGTGGGGGGGGGGGGTGCAAACACACAAACAATTCACCTGTCTGTATGTGATATAATTACCTTGGGATTCGTTTTTGGTATGTTTCTAGTTTACGATTCCAAGAAAACCAGAGCCTATTTTATGAAGAACAATCGCTTGCGAGGATTACGTAAGTTATGATAGTTCATAAATGGACCCCTGGGACACAGAGCCTAGTAATAATTACAACTACAGTACATAGATAACACTTTTGAAGATGAGAAAAACTGCTGTACTGTTTTACAAAGGATACAAATGTTACATGGCTGTGTTCCATGATTTAACTCAATGTAAATTACTATCTGAGAGTGCAATGATTCAGTAGTGTTTTGAAATTGATAAAGATCGTATACTATTCAAAATATGAATTTCATAAAATATCAAATATCTTTGTATTTCATAGAACCACATATATATTCAAAGAATGCACAACGAAACTTATGAGGGCAACTTGTTCCTTATCACGTCTAATATGTCCCATATGGAATATCAAATAATTTATTTAAACTTAAATGGCACCTGGTTCCAAAAAATAAAATACCAATAATTGTCAAAAAGGTCAAAGGTCAAGAGACCCTAAGATTTAACAAGACTGTTTAGATTTAACCCTCTACAAGAGTAACTCACTCTCAAGAGACCCTAAGATTTAACAAGACTGTTTAGATTTAACCCTCTACAAGAGTAACTCACTCTCAAGAGACCCTAAGATTTAACAAGACTGTTTAGATTTAACCCTCTACAAGAGTAACTCACTCTCAAGAGACCCTAAGATTTAACACAAGACTGTTTAGATTTAACCCTTTACAAGAGTAACTCACTCTCAAGAGACCCTAAGATTTAACAAGACTGATTAGATTTAACCCTCTACAAGAGTAACTCACTCTGAAGAGACCCTAAGATTTAACAAGACTGTTTAGATTTAACCCTTTACAAGAGTAACTCACTCTGCCAAAATACTCTACAAATGAACTTCTGAACACAATGAACCAATCAGAGCTGGCCATTGCTCAATCCTTGTTTATGAAAAAACTATGAAACATGATGTGGTTCGAAAGGTGAAAAAAAAAAATAATTTGGAGTATAGTGCGCTCCAAGTATTCTAAGTTTATAACAAGGTGCAAGTATTTAGGATTGCTGAATTAAAAACTTTTTGCCTATTTAATCATTGTGGTATTTACAGTACATATACAGTTCCTATTCTTTCACGAGATGCTTTGTATTTGAGAGAGTGTCTGAAAGACCAGAATGCTAATTGATGAGAAAATGTAGATTGAACACCTCATAGTTATCGCCAAGGCTTCAACACCCTCGTGTAAGCAACTTAGCTCAAGATCACTCGAGAATGAACATTCAACATGTTTGCATTAAGGATCAAGAATTCAAAATTGCACAATTCTGATCGACCTACAAATATTTCCTTTTGTATTTCTTGTTTGTAGTGCCCATTATCACATTTTGACATAAAACAGAAAATACAAAAGTGAATGTTTTCCAACATGTACAATGTTCAATAATTCGAGTATGAGCTCTTAAGAAAATGATTACACTATCATTGGGTAAGTTCTCACATCATTTTCCAATTACTGCAATTGCTGTACAAAGCATGAACAGAAATAAAATTATTTCAAAGCATGCAATCCAGGTCCTTGGTATCAAATGAAAATACTGTAGCTGAATTTACAATTTACAAAATAATTGAATTACACAACAGTTTTTTCATAAAAAATATTTGCATGTTAAAATAAAAATCCAATACCAAGGTTAAATAATTCATAATGCACTAGTATGAAAAAATCCCTTTTTCGATGTAAAGGTCTAAATAATATCAGGAAGCAAGTTTTCCCTTGTATTCAAAATATTTACATTAATGCTTGCCCAAACATGAAAGCATATGGTGCGTGGGGATTCCACCATCCTCCTAGTAATCAGGTGTCCAGAATCCGTACCTGCTTCTTCCCCCTGCTATAACCAATTTGGAAGCGCCCGATTAAACTGAGTCATGTAATCTAATTATGCACCGATAACGTATACATGATTGCTGTCGTAGTGTTGTGACAACGAACAAATTGTGAGTTCTTAATCGGGGAAATTCCAACTGCTTATAGCAGGGTGGAAAAGGAAAGAAGTATTCTGGATTTTGAAGCCCTGTGATCCGAGGATGGCATTCATTCTTGAAGTTTTGAAAAGAGGTTTGTGTTAACCTAGAAATCAATTGCAACAACTTGGCAATGAAAAAATTGTGAAGAAAGGCATTTTTACCAATTTTGGTCAGAAATGCGAAAATGTGTGTTTTATAACCATTTGAGAAAAATCCTGGGGGAGAACGCATTAATACTTTAAAA